CGACACCAAAGTTTTGTAGGTCACTCTTGAATCTGTTTTTGGCGGCTCAGTGCCTCAGCTCTTTCGATAATCGGTCAACTTTACAGCTAATCATCTTTATTTACAAACAGTCTAGCAGCGACAATGCTTTTTATATACATAACAATATTTTATTTTTTAGCTAAGTAAATAGATTTCAGTTCATAATATGACTGACTAGTTATTTCTGCATATATTTTCCAGTCCCACGAATTAGTGATTAAGGGGCTTCCTGAAAAGATAAACATCTAGCTAGCTGTACATGTCTTGTTACCATGGTAATGTCCTTTTTGGATAAAGTCTAGTTAGGCTCTATTATATATATTCTTTAGAAAAATAAGGCCTTTAAACCAATATCAGCTGCATTTGTAAAACCGTCTTCTTGAAGTTGAGAGTAGGTAAACGAGGCAATTATTGTTCTTGTCGCTTAATTCTCAGCTCGCCTATATTTCCCTGAATTGTAGAAATTTCAAATTTCGACGATCAATCAATTACTTTTTGACGAGGTGGAATAAAATTTAATTTAATTTCGAATAAATTAAAGCTTTGAGGTTCCTGCAAGGTGTGAACTCGTGTGACATCTTCTTATAGACGGTAAAAAAATACAAAATCACTCAGTGGTAAAAAAGAAGAAAAAATCTCCGTTAAAACAACAGTTGAACGATACATTATTGTTTAACTGTTTTTGTTTTTACTTACCTTTTTGTTCCGTTGCTTGGTTGAAGTAAGGTGGTCAAGTCTTGAGCTCGAGTGAAGGTGGTTACAAATAAGAATATAACAAGAACTTATGATAGTCATCGGAATAATGAACTGTACCAGGAATAGACAGAGAAAATAAAAACGTTCAAAATCCAGACTTGGCCAGACATCCGTGCATACTAGGCCTCTTTCTTGTTCAACCAGCTTTAAGGCGAAGTTAAACGGCAGAGTTATAAGGGCAGAAAACACCCAAATGGAACAAATCACCATTTTTGTAATTTTGACAGTAAATCGACGCCCCAGGGGAACTGTTATAGCTCGGTATTGGTCAATTGTCATAAGTACTAGAGTTGCAGACGAAGCGGTTATAAAAAGGTACGTTAACATTGGTATTATTTTGCATAAAAATGCACCAAACGGCCATATATACGAGTTTTCTTGGTATGCCAAGCGAATTGGAAGATTTACGGTTAAGACGGCGATATCGGCGGCAGCGAGATTGCAAATGAAGACATTACCAACAGTTCGAAGTTTTCTTCTCTTTACGACCATGCGAAACACCAGTATGTTACCAATGACGCCCAAGAGGAAAACCAGCGAGTAACAAAACAGTTTGAATGTTTTAAAAGCCACACTTTCTGGCGTGGGAAAGCCCCGTGTTTCAGTGGTGTTCAAAGAAACACCGTTTGTTGTAGTTATATTTGGTGAACCGAGTTCTCTTTCGATCTCCATCATGAGTACACTCCGTGTATTACTCTGACACAGATCTTGCGGTAAACATCAGTCATTAGGAAACCCTTTATGAAATGAAGTCAGATCATAATTGCCACCAGCTTCCTGAATTGTTGTCAGGTTAACCACTCTCAACTTAAAAAACGCTTTTTCACACCTCGTTAGCCAATAGAGATATTGGTCCAATGAGGTTCATGGACGGTTTGAAGACTGCATTCAAAGCAGCTGTTTTTAAAAGAAGAACCGTGATTAATTAAGTCTTCTAAACTATTGTTTAATCATTACGAGAATCAGTATCAGCCTTGCTAGGGCCCATGAAGTTGTTTATTTACCGGGGTCGAGAAAGGTATTTTCAGTCGCTGGGATTACCATTTTTTTTATGTAAAAGACTTTTTACTGTCAAAGCACCAGTCAGTGGAAAGCTTCACACCTCCATAACGGCCGGGAACAGCCAGGCATCAGATCAGGCGATCCGAGTCTAAATAAGCAATTTCCCCGCCGCTATGCGCCGAAGCAATTTCTCATACGTCATACACGTTTGCCAGTTAACAAAATTAAGTTAAAATCTGCCACTTTTTCTTTGTTACTTTGCTTGATTACCTGAATGTATTTATATCATGTTGGCGGAGCTAATAAAATAAAAAAAATAAAATAAAATAAACTACGTCGCCATAAACAAAGATTTGGAAACATTGCCAACATAGTTGTATTAGACAAAGATGAAAATTTGTTTATGATCAGGGTTGCAACGACATCGGATTTGTCATCGCAACGAAATGGCTTCGTTACCTATTTTACTTAGTAGTATTTCTCGGCACTGGGAACTGTTCTTCCAAAATCGTTCACCGGAGCTTTTTCCTCCAATAGCCGCCTCGATGTTCGTGAAGTTTACGCGAAATCTGTAAGAGCATTTTCTGTAACAGTAGTTTCAATCTTTTTAAAAACGTGTGTAAAAGATCATGCGGATAGCTCCAGCCGATTGGTAGAAAGAAGCAAGGAGAGAAAACGCAAAAAATTGTGGCTAAATACGTATGTGATCGCTTCCGCGAAAGAGAAAGACGCGTTAAATATAACCATGTCTAGTTGTATAAATTCTACAAATGTACACCTCTGTAATTATTGCACTAAAATCTTTGTTATCGTTGTAAACACATGTCTCTGTAGGCGCTCTTTTGATAATAAAGCAGCTATCCTATCCTAAGAAGGATTTGATTAGTATGTATCGACAGGAGATGGGCTCTTGGTATCGATAGTTATCGATTGGTTTTTCGACATCGGTTTCTGTAGATTGAACACGCCAGGTTAGCCTCGTTATCTGCGTAAGCATGTACGTCTGCCGCTGATATTCTAGTACGCTAAACGGTTTGCTTGCATATATGACAAAAAGCAGAGCGACAAGGCCCAACCATTGAGGCACACCGTCCTGCTGGTCAAGAATGCTTGCGCCATTTACTGAAATAAAGTAACTGAGAGCGGTTATTGAGGTAGTATGAGGACCATGATAGCACTAGTCCTGATATTTCAAAACTAGAGCGTAGTCGATCATGCAAGATTCTTTGATCTACAGTATCAAATCCAACACTCAGCAGATCTAGTAGCACAAGTAGGGTGACGACATGCCACTTGTTCATAAGGATATCACGCTCACACGTAGAATTACGCTCTTTCTGTGCTGTGGAATTCACGATATATAGACGGACTACTGTGCTTTAGGGTACAGGTTGTGGACTGTCATGTGATTGTGACCCTGCATTTGGTAATCTTTTAATAGTTTACCACACGGTCCACACGCATTAGTTAGTGAAATATGTTTAAGAATTATTCAATGCGGAATGGTTTTAAGGCGTGACTTTTTAAGACCTTGTTTTAATTGAACGAGTTGTTCCAGATGGCAAATTGTTGATGCTCGAAATATCTAGAAGTCGTAACGGCCAGCTTTATTACCATTTTCAGGCTTTCGCGATCGTTTTCGGGTGCTTAAAAACTGATTTGTACAAATAGCAAACGACATGGGACGAAATTTACCAGTCCTGTGTTTTGGTTACAATTTACCTAAGTCGTGACCCGACCCGTTTGCCCAGGTAAATGGTAAGCGACCTACGTCTCCCTCCACACGAAACCAGTGCTCCGCTCAACGAACCAGCATAGTTCCAGAGTAGTGTTTTTGGACCCCTACACGGATTTGCAAAAGAATTTGAAACCGGATACGCTTGGATACGCGGTTTCAGACCGACAGGATTCGTGTCGACAGGTCCCCTTCCTTAACGGTGTTTGCAAACCATCGTTACTAGAATGTATTTCTTTTCTCTTCTTAAGCTTACTGATAGGACACTGTAAGACGACAGATGAATAATAGCTGGCATTCAGTACCCTGGGAGTTTACAGTAAATTCATGGTCATTCATCAAGCTAGTTTGACTCGAACATTTTTTCAAGTAGTACGATATCCATCACCTTGTAAGACATGTTTAATTACAAAACCAAACAAAAATATATGAATGACTGAACGTGGAAAATGCATATATATCATGTTTTAAATGAAAGAACCACAGACCATGTTAAACCATGTCAGGTAATACAAATATTTGATAATGGGATAGGGATAAGTTGGGGATGAGACGAGAAAACTTTACATAAAAAAAAGTAGGCACAAAATTAACATTAATAAAGTTTTTAAAAAGACTAAAAGAGACTTTGACATAATATTGTACACATAACCTCGTCCCCGAGATTCTCTCTTTCTAGAAATGCTCTTGTCAGAAGCAGCAGCAGTCAACTCCCCGTGGCTAACATGCCGGCCAGCCAGCTTTAACTGGCTCCTGCTGTTCTTTGTTCATTGCAATGGCGGACACCTCTCTTAGACAGAAACTTAGTGTCAGCCTCAAAGATGGCTGTTTTGGAATGAGTTGACTGAATTAGCTATTTACAAATCCGAACACAGCTATTAAAACTAATCCCTCTCCTTTTGATAGAATATAAGTAAAGTCATGCTTACTGATAGATATGACAGGTTGACATGCCCAACTACCAATCATACAAGTTTAAAAATCAGTGTAAGAGGTCAATGAAGTAGCCTGAATTTCATCCGATTACGTCCAGTCGTTTACTCCCTCAGTAATGTTGTTGAGAGGAAAAAACGACTCGAGGCAATCGGATGAATTTCAGGCTATAAATGAATATCATAGTTTAAATATATGATCTAAAAGAACACGAGGCTTTCTAATCAAAGTGGTTCACAACGGTTTCCAGAATTTCGAGGTCTAACACCAGGACTACAACACTTATGGATCAATACTACAAAACTTTTTCATTTGATCCTACAATAACGGTATCAAAGAAATCCCCAAATGAGTTACGGAATTTTTTGAGGACATGACAAGTTGCCATAGCAGCTTTTTAACTGATCCCCATTTTTTTTCATGAATTGAAATTATTAGGTCAAAATTTACCTTTCTGTAAAGTACAAAAAATTCCCGTTCAGAGGGTTCAGAGCCTTTTTCACATTTTTGAAAACTTCAAGGGGCCCTGAATCCACCTGACAGAAATGTTTTGAACTCTCAAAATGCAACTTTGACATGCCAATGACATTCAACAATATTACGACAATGAGGGTCACTGACAAAACTAACAGGTTAAATTCATGATGGTACGGTAACTAAAATATGTACATATCGATCGCTTTAACGTATTTACTTTATAATTTGTATACAGTTTTAGGTTTTAGGTAAGATCGTTAATTTAAAAATCATGTAATAGATTAGTACGCCAGTACTTAAAGTGTTCCCAATTAGCTAACTGTTAAGCTTAAGACATTGACACTAAAATAAAGTTATTCATTATTATTATTATTATTATTATTATTTTGCATTTCATTGTAAGATAAATGAAAGGGGTTTTACTATCAGTCCATAAATGCATACGAGATGAAGAAAGCTGGAAACCATTTTGAGCCACTTTAGAGAGGTTTTCATTGGTGTACGATCATTCCCCAAAAACTGATGTGAAAATTTGTTTTCTTTGTACGGAGTTACTTTGCATATTTCACATAAAGATTTGACAATTTGAAATATAACCTGTCAGTTCTAAAAAAACAAAACAAATCATAGCCTCCAGATATGCAGTGCAAAACAAGAAATGTTCCTATAAAACCTACAATTGGGTAGCTGCTATAGTTATTTTATACTGTTATAATTTGCATTAAGTTACCCATTACTCTATAAGATAGTGTAAGAAAGCCCTATAACAGTACTTTCCTGTAGAGCTGCAGATTGTATTATGTTACACACAGTAGTTCCAGCCTCTGAGTTTGTGCCCTTATCCCTACGTGTAATAATCATTGTTGTTAATCTTTTCAGTATTTCATGAGCATGTTGTAACTTTTTGATTCAGATCACTCAGCCCAGGGGTTGAAAAGACTACACTACATTTTCATCACTTCTTCCAACCAGGCAAACTTTCAGTCTCGATCGTCTCGATCATCCCTTAGTGATTACTGGCTGCCTGTTTCTTAGGAGTCCCAGTAACTTTGCTGGCCCAAAGCCATGTTTTAAAATCAAAATCTTAAGACCTGGACTGCGGGTCCTATCTCATAAACTACTTCACTTTCCAAATTATAAAAACCTAAATCTTGCACATAAACATTGCAAACATAAAACGGCTTTCTGGACCCGGTAATTACTACGACACATGAGAAACAGGTTCTAGATTTGAAATGTTCCTGTTCAGTTGTGTACCTATGGGCCGGGGGGGCTGGGGGGCATGCATTACAACAGAGATGCTACACACTGCTTAGTTTAACCAGTCCTCTTTCACTATCAGCTTGAAGACTATCTTGCTGTTGGACACTTGACTCCAATTTTTGTTTTTCGTCTGTTCTACTAGAATCGTAAGTGACACCATTCTTTGAGCCTAGCTGTGTTGGAGACTAAAGATCCAAAAAAGAAGAAGAAATCAGAAAAAAGAGTCACTCTTGCAGGGCTGTCATGAGTAGCCAGCCACTGGCTATTTGAGCAGGCTACTACAGTAAAATCAGCTGGCTAATCTAAATTTCAAAATGAATCAAACAAAACAAATTTAGGAGGATTTGTGGGATAAATGACTCTCTACTTTTCCCGGGAGACCAGCTTCTTAAAACCTTAATGACAGTCCTGCTCTTGGCAAGAAAAAGACATAAGCTTCAGTTAGTGAGGTATTTACTTGGGGGAGTACTGTTCCCTGCTTAAGAGTGAGATAAGATCCTTATTCATATGTGGTCATTATCCCAATACAGGTCACTGAAGGCAGCATCTTTATTCTCATGTATTGTACGATTTTGAGCAAGTAAGCTAACCCTAAAGCAGTTAATAGTTTCAAGATTTATAACTCTACCAAGAACTTAGCAACAAGTCCCTAATTACCATAGGTGCTGTAGTTGTTCTAACTGCTCCATACTTGTCTGATTCAGGAGGTTCAGGTATGATAAGTCCTCTTCTGTTAATTAAACTGTAACATTCAACAACAAAAAAGCAAAGTAAATAATTTGAATCAGGAAGGTCATGCTAGTCACTGTCAACAAAACTCCTTTTGATCACCACAATTAATTTTTTACATTTTTTTTATGAATATACCTAGGATGAAGAGGACCACAGAGCACTGCAGCACAATTTTGCAACATTGAGCCTTCACTGTATGGATTAAAATTTCCTTGTCCACTCCGTGAGGAAAATGACCCTTTTATCTGTGAAACAAATAGATACGTTAATTTTAGTTCATCAAAACAAGATCTTGAAAAACGGGTTCTAAGAGCGTGTGAGTACATAATACATACACTCAATTCATGTGTTGATAGCTGCTGAGTTGGGTTATTTACAATGTAAAACACAAAAGTGATGTCAAATAAAAAAAGTAGAAAAAAGAAGATGAAAGATTACGACAATTATAATATAGCGGGAAAAAGAATTTAGGCTGTTACAGGATACCTTCAAGGGTGTCTTCTCTGCAAGTGATATAACAAAACCCAGTTAAACGGGAGATACCCAAAACCCTATGTTAAATTAAAGCTTATTGGAGTGGCTATCTTAATAAAGCAACAAGTTTTTGAAAATTTGCACTATCAGTTTTTAATGATTTTTTTTAATCAGTGCGTCTGAATCAGCTTTCTTATGCTAAAACTCAAAAGGAATTTGTTTGACTGACCTATAATTTTGAGGAATGTTATTTTAATGTGTAAAAAGCAAAAACATGTTTGAGAATTCTTTTTTCCTTAAAACGTTTTGGTTGAGAGACATTTCGTATCGTTATCCAACTGTTTTAGCCCTGTTTCCATTATTGTTCTCACATTTTTCATGGCAATAGAAAATGGCAAAACCCCAAAATGTATTTTTAGCGTTTTGACTTGATGACTGCACCTGCACCTGCCTGCACAAGCACCTATCTCGTAGTCAATGACCGTTGGACCGCCACGGACGTTGCAACCCTCTCCCTCCATTTTATTTTCAGCTTCTCTTACGGAGTCGCAAAACTTCAACCCTCTCCATTCAGCGATATTGTTCTCCCAACGCTTCTTTTGTCGGTCCCTTCTTCTCCCTCCTTGCACTTTTCCTTGCAAAATCGTCTTGGCAAGCCCTGATGATCTTGATACATGCCCAAACCACTTTACCCTGCGTTTCTTTACTGGGCTTAACATATCATCATGGGGCTCAATGGCTTGCCTGATTCTGTCTCTGACTGCATCGTTAGTGATGTGATCTCTGTATGAGATGCCGAGCAGTTTCCTAAAGATCTCATCTCAGTGGCCTGCAATTTCTTCGGGATGTCCGCTGTCAATGTCCAGGTTTCGTAGGCGTACCATAGTACTGAGATAACTAGGGAGCGCATTTGTCTGGTCTTTGAGCTTACAGAGATCTGCTTATCACTCCAGATGGTCTTCAGTCTCGCTAGTGCTGCTGTTGTCTGTGCAATTCTAGACAGTACTTCAGGCTTGGAACCCTGATCTGTGACGACTGCGCCCAGATACTTGAAGCTATCAACCTCGTCCAATTTTTCACCGTTGATTCTGATGTCAATGCTGACACCATTCGCGTTATTGGTCATCAGTTTGGTCTTCTCTGCACTGATTTCCATGCCAAAGGCTGCAGAGGTCTTATCCACGCGATCCACAAGGGAGGCTAGTTCCTCCTCTTTTCCCGCCAGGCCGTCAACGTCATCAGCAAAACGTAACTTGGTAATTGTTCTGCCTCCGATGCTGACTGTTTCTTGGTGATCTTCTGGTGCGTCAGTCATAATTCTCTCCAGAAAGATGTTGAAAAGAGTTGGTGAGAGTAGACGCCCTTGTCTGACTCCGACTGCGGTTCTGAACCACTCTCCTACGTCACCATTAAGGTAGTCTGCACTAGTGGCCTTGTTGTAGAGGTTTTCAATGACTTGGATCAGGTTGACATTGATGTTATAAAGCCTCATAGTAGACCAAAGGGCTTTATGCCATACTCTGTCAAACGCCTTTTTAAAATCAATAAAGACGTGGTAGAGGTCTTGTTGGTGTTGGAGGTACCTCTCGCACAGTATCCTGAGATTGAAGATCTGTTCTGTCGTACTGCGACCTGATCGGAAACCTGCGTGCTCTTCTGCGATGATTGATTCTGCCTGAGGCTTCAGTCACCTGGATGAAAACACCTAACACCTAACACCTTCTAACACCTTGTCAGAAATTAACAGGGGGGGGAGGGGGGGTGGGAATTTTAAATTTGGATTTGGAAATGAGGTGACCCATCCCTGCAGTGGGAGTGAAATTTGCTAACCCTCCCCTTGACATTGGCCTAAAATATCATGACCCTCCTCCTCTTCTATAAATGATAAAATCTAGTTCTTGCGATACACTAGGGTGAGACAGTATTATGAAATCTCAAAATATATTCTAATCTGTTAGATGACAGCATTAAGAGTCCGACTCTAATTCTGACAGCTGATCACTCGACTCTCCTATTTCTCCCAGGTTTTTTTTACAAAATAAAGAAGTACTTTTTTGTTCCGTGGGTGAACCTCTACATGATCCCGGACACACATTTACATGACCCTCCCCCTTTTAATGGCCCATTTTTCATGACCCCTCCCTTTTCTGCAGTCGCAAAAGGTTGTGACCCCCCCCTCTGTTTCCACCCCCCCTCCCCCCTGCTAATTTCTGACAAGTCCCTAAGTGAATCAAATTAGTGAAAGAAAACAAACAAACAAACAAACAAAAAAAACAACAAAATAATCATTTTGAGTTTAGGTTTTGAAAACAGATTTGGATGCTCGTATTAAAAACCTCATAAAAAAATCGATGGTGCAGTTTATTACACAGAATGTTGGTTTCTTACGATAGCCAGTTCAATGAGCTTTAAGTTGATATAGGGTCTTAGGTACGTGATGTTTAACCCAAATGTGCTACATCACTTGCATGTGAGACAGCCCAGAAGGCATCTGGTAAGCTAATAACCTAGTTTCAAATTAATTACTTGGCTCAATGGATGAGAAGTAATGACCAAAAGAAGTCCCATTGAGATTTACCATTAAAAAAGCATTGTGTAACTGACAAATCATCATGCTATAACGAGTGTATTGTCAAAGAAAAAAATGTGATTAATTTTATCTTTTATCTGGGAGATTCCCTGGAGCAACCACGGTTTAGACCCATTGCACCACTACCACTCTGACTTAACACTGACTTAAATTCCACATAGAAATGCCTGCCACCTTCCTGTAACTTTCCTCACTTCCTTTATATGATTTTCATATATTCAATTCGTTTCTTTGCCATGCACGCATTTATAATGAAGAAACTCAAATGTCTAGCTCTAGTGCTGCACTGTTATCAAAGAGGTTGAGGGTTTGAATGTTGACAAGCCTGAATTTTTTCAGGCTTCCTTTTCACCACTGCAAAAGTTGCGTCTATAACTGCAATGATCCTTTTTTGTTTAATTCGTCACCACACAGTGCCTATACATAATTTTCATATACACCTGATTGAAAAAATGCTGTCAATTGAAAGGTATAAACCATGAACTGTGGCACCTAATAAATTTATGAGTAGAATTTTTTTTAGCACTGCAAATTTAAAGTTCTTTCCAGAAAAGTATAATTATCAAAGCTTTTCACGACGATGTATTCCAAAAAAGTTCAAATGGTTTCCAGTTTTCTTGGCGGTAAGCTCACAACTTCACCTGTGCAGGGCACATCAGAGATCTCTACGGTTAAAGAGCCTAGCCACATTGCTAACGCACACTTGAAAATCATAAGATAGGACTTTTAAAAAAGCTTTCTTGGAAGACCGCATAAAAAGACAACGGTATGCCTCAAACAGAGTACTATAGGGATTTGCATCAGCATCAGCATCTCATGTCAGTGTAAACTTTTGATGAAAGAACTTTGAATTTGCCTTGCTAATAAATGTATACTTGTAAATCATTGAGGCCTCATTGTCCATGGTTTATACTTCTTAAACGACGTTTTTTCAATCAGGTATAAATATTCAATATGCTTTCTTGGTTTGTATTTTTTTTTGTAGGTGTTTTGTTTGTCCTCACCTTAACTGGTTCAGTTGGCGTTTCTACTCTTAAATATACAAACAAATAATAATAAGTTTTGGTTATACTCACATCTTCATTTGTGGTTTGATTAGAAGAAACTAAATATCCATGAAATCCAGTTAAACCAACTATTGACCAAACTGAGAAAAAACAGATGATGGCCTCCAGGATAGTAGCATCAGTCAAGGAAACTCAAATTGATTGTTTGGCTTTGGAGTGTGACATTGTAAACGAAGTTCAGAGTGTCTCAGGTTATGGCATCAAAAATGATGATGATTGCTTTTCAATTCCAGTCAGTGTAAAATGCAGACTGCAGCCTATTGTTTTACCATGCAAATGAGTACGTAACAACAATAGTCCCATTGTTTTCTAACCGTAAAAAAAATAGTCTGCAGTCAGTGCGCAGTCTGCATTTTACACTGCTCCTTTTCAATTCCCGAGCTCTAACTTGTAAAAAAATATCCATAAATCTTCCTTCCATTAGCTTTATGGTTCACATACACCGATCATAAGATTAATGGAGAAGAAGGGTAAGAGCATTTGCCTCCAACCAAGAAGGTGTAGCTGCAGACCTCTTACATGTAAGTGATAACATAATTATAGCGTACTAGTCCTTGATACAAGATGACTTTCTTCATTTTCCACCTCCTAAAAAACTAACAATCATGAATGCAGACCAAGACCTACTTTGTAGAAGTGCTACCACTGTTATCGTGAGTAATTTTTCATTTGCTTAATGAACTGCAACTGCTTTACTGGTATATAAGTAACTGAGTTGGTTAGTTTTTTCTGTCAACAGATGCCTTTACAACAATTTAATTTGTTTCTGTTACCATTAAAAGCTAGATATGGATAACAAAAATTCACACTGAGAATGAGTTTCTACACCTACCCAAGGAGAATGCAACTTAGCACACAATTATTAGTGCAAACTAAAGGATATCTAGCTGGAGATTGCTTCATAGCAGAAATAAATGTGTTATTTTCTCCTTTAGATACTGCAAAACAAAAACAGAAAAACTGATTATCTTCAGACACAGATGAGATTTATACTGCAGAAATAACCTGTTACTTGAACAAAGCAAAAAATGAAAATTGTGACAAGTTGGGGAAAATACATGTATTTTTACAGAGACCATTTACTTTTCACTTCAGTAATAGGTAAAAAAAAAAATGAGCATCCATACAGATTGCATGTGAACAAATTGATATTTCTAAGACTTCCTGTTACTTAAAGTCATTTTTGCCAAATACATGTAAATCAAAGGAAAATATAATGCAAATTACTGAGGGCAATTCTGTTTCAAGATTACAAGTAATTACATAAACCATTTTAATAAATCAGATTCTAAATTGTGCTAAAATGATGTTCACCTTTCAAAACATTGTGACAAATACTTCAAACCAGGAAATTACAGTTATGTTATTGTCATGAATTATTAATATCAATGGTACAAGAATTCATTAATATTATTTTTAGTGTGCAAGATATTACGTTGACAACTTTAGCGAACAAACAACTGGTTCATGGCATAGGAATATCTTAGAAGGCTTCAAGTTCTTTTAGATCTCTTTTATATAGACATCTTTCTAAAGCATAAACTCTGAGGATGGCTTGTGGTAGGAAACTCATGTGACCTGGAATTCGAAATGTGGCAACATTATTCACATAGCTCTTGGTCATTTCAACTTAGCCTGGCAAGTAAAACCTGTGAACTGCTGTTCTCTTGGTTGGTTTACAAAGTAAACATAGTAATGTAAACAAAATAAAGACTTACACATTACAAGATGAGTAACAACAAAAGCAAAGAGGTAACAGCAGTAAATTGACAGCGAAACAAGAAACATAAAGAAAAACTTATAGTTTCTCTTTCCTACGCAGTTACCAACCTAGAAAAAAAAACATACATAAAGAAGATTACACAGGAGAGTTTAACATCAAAGAAAAAATATTTGATTTCCTTTAAATCTAAAAACTCACCCAAGGGCAATGATGGTCAAACCGTTCTGAAAAGAAAGGATAAATTGGTATGATATAAGTTGGCTGTGCTTAGGATGCTGTAGTTAACTTTTATCTCGGGTAATTTTTGTTTTTCTTTTGTTTTGGGGTATGTTAATGTATGCTAATGAAGTTGAACCAAAGAAAGAATAAAAATGAACCTGAGATAAAAAAATTAACTACAACATAATAATACATGTAAACCTTACAAACTTTATGTGACAGACTTCTCAGCTATTATATGTATACCCAATGAAACTAATATAAAGCACTGTTTGAAAAAAGAAAATGAAAGATGCTCCCAAGCTGAAAACTTGTAAGCAGAAATTAATGCAGGGTGTGTAATAGCTAACAAAAATAAAAAGCAAGAGGCTTATTTGGCAATATTGGGTTCACTACTATTTCAATACCGCATTACAGGTAGCTTGTAATCCTCTATTACATAGAGTTTGATGATGTTTTGAAAAACCTCTACACAGTTTAAGTACTCATGAAACAGAATAAGTAACCAACTATAATAAGACATTATTATTGGAATAATAATTATTGTTTATAAATTGACCTTATTTGAATAGGAGAATTTTATGATCTTCTGTCAAATTCTCGCAACTAGTTCTTTAAGGAATGTATGAAAATCAGTTTGGAGAATTTGAATCTGGATATTGGGACTTAAAGGGTTAATCACGTGATACTGACAGCTAAATTATACTTATTGGGTTGTACATGTAGGAGAAAACAGACTCTTCCCACTATAACTGCCTTTTATGAAAAAGGCTTAAATTACACTGTAAGGATAAAAGTGTATTAAAGTTTCTTTCGTGTAATGTAATGTAGTAGTATGTTGTAACACAATGTTATGCAATGTTATGTAACATTAGTATTGTAATGCTGTAGAGTATGATTTAATAAAATTTTGTTATTAAAAAAAGAGTAAGTAATCAGCTTACCAACACAGTTGTCACACATGCTACAGTGTGAAGCCCTTGGTGGTCGAAATATTTTGCACGTAAAGCAAAACTTAAGTTTGACTGTTTGTCCATTTATTGTGATCTCCTTAACTCGAGGAGGAGGACGGTATGTCTGGGGATCCTGACTTGGAGTTTCTGTAGATTTTAAAAACATCACATGTTAGAGTGACACCCTGCTGGTAATACCAAATACAATAATTCTGCAGGAACGGTTTAATATTGCTACAGCAAAATTCATTCTCCAATGGAAAAGACAACAGTAGTTTGAAGTTATTGAAGTCTGAAGGTAGCAGTAATAATCGAAATTTCCTGAACACAAGGCCAAATTAAAATTTGTTTATGTTAATAGGGAATTTGAGTTAATTGAGGGGCGCTCTACTAAAGATGTGGTTATGAATAACATTATTCTTCCGATCACCCCTATTACCGCTACCCTATCTAATATTTCCTAGCCCCCTTGCTGCCAAAACACTGAAATGGTCTGCTTTTTTGTTTTTGTTTTTTTTTACTTTTCCATTGTTTTTAACATATTATTGTTAGTACTTGTTGCATGGTCTGATCTCTGTCCATTGTATTAACTGTGCTATTCTGAGTATACAGGAAAAGTTACAAAATAAGGCACTGCATATGTGTTGTATGCAATAAATTTTCTTCAAAAAAGTAAACCATGTTCCTTGCACCAATGTATGCTTACAAAATTGTGTTTGAGAGGAAGACATAATGCCTCATTGTGTGCAATATGGTCGAATAGCCCATAAATAGTTACATACATGGTATGAAACAAAAATTGGAATGAATTATCTTGTCCCACTAACCACCCATACTTCTTGATAAATATTGTCAGGTTACTTTCTGTAAAACGTTTCCAAGAGGAGTGAAGCCTAGTAAAAGCACAGCCCTCAAAATAGACAGAAAAGGCAAGAGAAGCAACAAATAGAGAAGCATAACAATATTTTGCCTTCTGTACATACCAAACTTAGAAAGCTATTTTTAAACTGTTTTTCAGTTTACTATCTGGCCAAAATAGGTAAATTTGTCTAGATTGTCATTTACAAGTTAAACACTATGCTAGTGGGTTTGGTGTCTGATGCCAAATGGTTGTGCTTTAAGTTCTGGTATACACAAGGCAGAATTCAAGTTGTTTTAAAATTGAGGACATCTGTAAGTGGTTCAGGGGAATGGTTCCATGTGGACAGTACAGGGTTTGAAGTGAGAATGGCTAAGTTTGTAGGGTCAAATTACTTGATTTAGACAGAGACAGTCCAACAAACATTCTTTATTGCATGCAATTGAAGTAACCAACAGATAAACACCCTGTCTTAGGACTGTATTAATATTTTTTCATGACACCATACACCATGTATTAAACTAAAATACTACTTATGTTATTACCAAGGGAGGGGTACCCAAATACAATATTAAAGGAAAGCCACAAAGACCTTTATTGCCCCTACTCCTGCATGGCAAGGAATTTCTTTTTTTTTGGGGGTTACAAACTGTATTGTGACTTTTTGTTAGAGGAGAATTAGGAATTGTTAGAAGTAAAAGTTAATGAAAAAGACCTTTTTGAAGGCAGGAGGCTGGGGGTGATTATCGGCTATGCTGCTAAAACTTTTCTGGTTAAAATTGAAACCTATAAATGACCCTCATTCATACCTCCTTGCCATTATTAACTGTAACAAACATTTGGTACAATAATGTAGTCTTTAAATTGTTAAGACTATTTACGTTAACTTTTTTCTGCAAGAAACTGTGAGGTAAAAACTAAGTACAAATACTAGAAAATGCTGATACCATTCATTAGTCTGTTTTATCAAAATTTCAAACAGTAACTTTAAAACCAGTAAACTGAATCACTGTCTATTACTTTAAATTCTTGCAAACCTTAAAGTTGTCCATTTATTGTGATCTCCATTTTAACTCGAGGAGGAGGTTTAAACCACAAAAGGAAGGTAAAAAAAAGTTCGTAGCTCAGTATACACTAGTCAGTAACTTGCATGCTTATTACAGCCTTATTTGGACTGCTCTTTTGGGTTAACAACTTGACCAAACCTTCAGCAATGTCCTACCAGTTCATTATTTCTAGCCTGCAAATACAGCCATCTCTCCTTGCCCCTTGATGCTAGGGATGTTTTGCAGGAGAGACATCAGTGCCACAACAACAGAAAGGTCATAATGATAACGTATTCACAGGCTAACCAGTCTGAAGTGTGACTCAAACTCTTCCACAGAAAGCTGACTACAGTCAACTGTAGCATGTAGTGACCAGCTTTAGGTACCACCACTTCTTCAAATTTCTGAGGTTGTCGTTTGCAAGAATGTTAATCTCTGAGTTATTATTACAACTTGAGTACTCTCTTTTTTTAAAAGCAGGGCTCAAAGTTAACGACTAACTGGTCACACATGCGACTAGATTTTTGGAAGTGCGCCTAAAAATTCATGTGTAATCGCACCTGTGTGCTATAAAACCCAAAGCACAGTCTAGTGCGACGACTTGCTTCCGACCATACTTACGTACTCGAACTAGTAAGACGTTAAACAGTAGCTTCAAGCAATGAAAGCAAAAGCAATGGAGAAATAGCACAACCAGGCTCTAAATAATAAGTTACATTGTTTTTCTTTCATCTGTGTATGTTTCATTTGTCTTTTCTCCCAATGGATTCCACCAACTCTAATGTTCATAATTTTCATTTCGATGTTTTATGCCATCCCAGATTCTCCTGTTTAGTGATAAATGCTGCTGACGCATGCAAATATGCTACGAATGAAACACATGCTTTTTGTGCTATGGACAATCATGTTGAGCGTTCAGTTTTAAGGCCAATCAAAACAAAAACAGTGTAAGAAAGTTTTTCAGTCATATCCCAGTTACATGTAAGTCATTGCCAATTTAACAAATTCATTAAAGCTTAATTTTCATTCTCGTTCGACAAACGCATTGTTGTCAGTTCTGAATTTTTTTTCATGTATAAGTTTTCTTTAGTCACAACTGTCTGTCAAAAAGAGAAATTAGTATTAAAAATAACAACAGTATTACTGCATAGCAAATTGGCAGCGTTTTATCAGTCACGGACTGAAATAAAAGTAACAATACAGGTTTGACTGTATTGTGAATGGCCAATAATACATTTACATTGTACTTGTACAATTCATTCACATGAAAACTGTAATCATTGTCTTATCTTGCCTATATGTAGCTTATAGCCAAATTTGTTGTATCGCACTGTGTGTTTGCAAACTTTGAATGGGTTTTTCTGTTCCGTCAATCATTTGAGTGGGGTGGAGTTGATGCAAATCACAACGCAATGCACTTGCTCAGCTTGGCCGGCAAAAACAAAACTGAGAATAACTCTACACTGCTCAAGAATAGCAGGGTTGTCACTAAGATTTCAAGTTGCCGGGTAAATACAACAAGTAGGCGGGGAATCAAACGGCTAGGGATTTCTTTCGGTTCTATTTTTCTTCTATTTTCCAATAAAAGTAGCCGGGGGCCACTCTCTTAGTAGCCGGGGAAAATCCCCGGCCCCCGGCTCTTAATGACAACCCTGAATAGCGAAGGAAATCGCGATGATGAATGGAATTTTTGTTGAGGGCGGAAGGCAGACATTGTTTTATTCTTCCAATGCAAGAGACAAGAATAAGAAAGTTCAGAAAATCTTCGAAGAAAACTAGTCGATTATTGCCCGAAACAGGGCAATCACAGAAACAAAAACAAAGTGGATCGAAATGTACCAATCACAAATAAACATGTGTCTCCAAAGAGGTCCACTAAGATGATTGACATATCAGATTTCCATCACTGAAATCAACAAGAGCATCCGTATGAACATTTCCAGGGTAAAACTGCCCGGAAAATAAGAACTGCCCAGGCTCAACTCGAAAATGAACGTTCTTGTAAAAAAAAGAGTGTACGACAAAAATATACAGTACATCACTATGGTAAAGAAACTGATTGGAAACAAGTAACTAACCTAAACTCGCTTGAAAATTCTTAACCAAGAAAAATTTAAAATGCACACAATTGGAAACACTTGGGAAGGAAAAGAATGTTAGGTTTCTTACCTAAAGTTTTTTCTATGTAAGCTGCTTCTTCGGCTGACGCTCGTGGTACTATACCAGGGTCACTAAATGCAGTGCGAAGTAATGTTGACATAACAAAAATAAATAACCAAGCTGCTATAAATGGAACTGCTGGGGAAACCTCTTCATACAAATATGGACAACTGCAAGAAAAACAATTTCATTAAGAATATGAAGCTAGTATGCAAGGAAGCTAAGGAGAGTAAGGGTAAGTTCTCAGTCCGGATGAAAGTTTACACTTTCAATTTACATTCTCAGTGTCTCAACTGAAATCACATGCGTACAATATGTGTTTTATGAGTGACCAATCGCATTTGTAAATAATTTTTAAAAAAAATCAAAATGAATGCTCTTTCATTTTTTTCAAAATATTTAGAACATCTTGATCATAAAGCTTTCTGCATGTTTTTCCAGCTTTGTATTGAAATTTTAATATCAATGTCAATGCCAGTTATTAAAGATTAACAACTTTAACATACACTTCAAAAGCTGTGGTATTCAAATTTCTCAACAGGGAAAAACAAACAGCATGCATTAATTCAATTCAACTATCTCTTTGCGTACTTTGTGGTCTGGACCTAAACTGCATGTTTGGGCTTTAGTACCAGTAAAACTCACTTTTTCCCCTCTAAAAAAATATTTTTACAATTTTTAAATATGCAGAGATTTTCTCAATTAAAATTCTTGGTAAATTATAAAAAATATTGCAATTTTGGAAAGTTCAGAAAAATGACTGAAAAAAATTCTCTGATCTTCAACATGTTTCACAATTTGCGTAAACTTCATGTTCAGGAATCTTAGACAATTGTTGAGAATCTACAAAACACACGTGCAAGTGTAGGAAACCTATTAATTAGGCGGTTGCTTGAAATTATAAAAAAAGAAAAAAATCATCTTATTTGATACCAAGTAGAGCATTTTAACAGAAAGGTGGAACTTCTGTGCAAATGAAAACCAAACAGCAACCTTCACATGTACATAGAATGTGTAACAAACTAATGAACAGCCCTGCTCTCTGCTTACTTGCAGGTATCCATGCTTTAATGTGTACTTAGTTCTATTCTTAGCTTGCACTGTCACGCAATGAAAAATAAAAATGCAAACCATTCAATACAGAAGGACTAGAATCTGGGAAATGAAAAAAGATAAATATACAAAAACCCTTGCCAAGAATCAGGTCTGTGAAATATTTCAAATGCGAGATACTGAGAAAAACGGTTTACCTAAATTTATAAAGCTTTTTATGGAAATGCCATGTTGGTGTCCCTTTCAGGAACATCAATATGGCCGCCGGATACCAACAGAAACATCTGTTTTCGAGTGTTCCTACTAATGCGTGAATTCTTCGCTTGAGGAACTCATAAAGATTACAGTAATATTTACTCTGAGACAAGGAATGTTTAGATTGCAAAATCTCCCAAAATCTGTAATGTTTTTAACCCACATAAGAGCTTTCCCGCCCGCCAGCTAAATGCCGCGTCATGCAAAAGCCTGGAAATTCAAGCGTCCTCTCTCACAAAACGAAGAACCCTTTCGAACCAAAAATTTGTTTATGTAAAGGTGTCTAGGTACTGTAATACCTCGTGAAAGTAGGAACTCAGAAGAATCGATAGTTTCTTAGTTTGATTTTTGGTGACGTCACGTGCAACCCAAGAATTCTTTAAATATATTAATACCATGGTGTGGATAAATTTGTTTCAAAATGTTAAAATCATCGAAATAAATCTGAATTAAAGAATACTTTTTCCTATTCTTTGTACCTTTGTAATGTTAATAAACAAAAGTAATTTCAATTTTCAGTGGACAAAACTTTGTCACAGAATATCTTGAGCCATATTATCCCATTTTTTTTACACTTTTCAAGGACAAAAAAATGATAATATTAGTTATCTGTGATAACACCAAAGACAACTTCTTATGGGAATCCGAAAAAATAAATTTCAAAATTTCACAGGAACTGAGAAAACACAGGTAAAATTGTCTTGCGTAAAATTTCATTTTGTGAAATTTGAAGATTTTGAAGTTTGTTTTCTTGAGCTCCCATACAAACCTTTTCTTTGGAGTTATTTCATATAACTTATTACATTTATAGCCCTTGGAAAATGTAAAAAGGATGCAATAAGTTTGAAATTATTCTGGTACGAGGTTTTTGTTAGCTGAAAATTAAAATTACTCAACTTCCTAATGGATTCTGCTTTAAAACAAATCAGCTATTGGTGCTTCGAGTGTATTCTATAAAATAATAAGCCAGACTCTTGTCTGATTGATTTCCAGCTTTGAGACAATTACTAATAGCATCTGTCAGAGTATCCCTCCACCTGATGTGCTCTTCTCTCAAAGATGGATCTGTAACCAAGTTTCACACCAAAGCCTGTTGCATGCAAACAAAATTCTGCCACATGATAACTTCAGTTTTAGGCTCAAGTTAATCATTATCAGTAAGAAAAATCAACCTGTCAACGCAGGACAAAAAGGCAGCACACTTTTCATTAATTTTACTAGATTATGTCCTTTAACTTCTGGTGATCCAGTAATACATGCATACTTAAATCCATTTCCCAAAGTGAAATAACCACTAAAAATATCACTGAAGAGGAAGAAAAATACAGCTGTAGTTCCTTATAACTTTCACAAAAACAGTTTGGCCTTGGAGATGAGCTTGGGATGGTCCAGAAAAAAAAAACTGTTATAAGTGGTCAGAGTCAGAGTTGAACTCAAGACAGGCTGCAGATCACAAGTTTGTCACCAGACAACATAACCATAACAGTGAAGAGAAAGATAAGATGTTAGATCTATAGTATAAGAAATAACATCTAATAAGAACAATACTTGTGGAGAAGGCACAGATACGATAATATTTTTAGTGACCATCAGTTACTGCTTGATTTAAAATTTTTGTGTAACAATATAAGCTCATAATTTCCTTAATAAGTAGATAATGCTATTAAAGCTTTGCTATTTTAGCTACAACCCTTAAATCTCTCACGTTTTGTTCTTGATTGATTTACTTGCAGGCACCCTGAACCAGCATATAGTGTATACTGTGTTGATTAGGCCTTGTAACACTAAAATTGCTGACAATACAGTGTAGCTGCTTACATTTGGATACATGTAGCTTGCAACATTTGTAAGCCCAAGACAGTGTAAGCCACTATAGGCGGCTGTTTTAATTACTTTGTATTTCACAGATTGCCTGTTATCAATATGGTCATGTTTGGCCATGTCAGTGGCTTTAAGTTGTTATAGGAATGTGGGACAGCGAGTTTACATCTATTAAAAAAAATTGTTTAGTTGCTAAACTCTTAGCTTCAAATGGATCTATTTTTCTGAGATACAGGGGTATTTTAATCATACTAGGCTTGTATTTTGTAAAAAAAAATGCTTGACTTGCAGCCGGAAGCAAGTTGGCAATATTGGATTCACTAACCATTAGCTTATAAAGGAAGATATACCAAATCAAGTTCCTGTTTGATATGCTTCATTAACTTCATAACGTGTAAATCAACTGCAAGTTATACCTAACTTTTATCAAACTAAGTAATGCCTCTTCTTAAATCACAAATGGCAATATCCCCAGCAATAGCATCTTATTATACTCTTTCATTCTTCAGCAAAACCAGACAGCATAGCTCAGTAAAGCAGCTTAGTGCTGGCAGGCCATGCTGATCGACAATATCAAGCTCAACAAAATTTAACTCTAACTTACGCCTCGGTACATGTATTAAAATCATTTTTATAATTGGCAAAACAAAACATTCTCATACAATAACCCACAAGACTACAAAAACACCTTGTAAAAATAGTGAAAAAGTCAATTTTAAAAAATAAAGGAAACGGTAAAGAATTGGCGAAACCTGGCCGACTGTCGAGGGCCCGAAGATTTCTGACAGCATGCCTGTTGATTACATGACCTCATGATCCTACACATATAAAAGGGAATCAACTAATTCAGTTTATATACTTACTCAAACGCAAAAAATAATCCGCTAGTAACAACTATAAGCACCACAGTGAAATAAAACACGCCATTATTCCTAGCCATAATAATCCTTCCATCGCAGTAAAACTTGTTTCTACCGGGAAAAACCTCCCAATTCCTCTTTGACATTATGGGTGTGTATTGTTTCTTTTGAGTCATGGAGGTTTCCGTCATCACTTACAACTACCACGCACACGGGAACCTTTTCTTCGCTGATGAAGCTGTCATTACAGTCACTCGTTCCTCTGTGCCGAAGTATGAGAACGAATTCAGCTGGTAAGATCCACCTGAAACAGTCTACATCGCTATCAACCGGAACGAACTTCGAGTCTCACACAGAATCATTCTAGAGCGCATGCTTAGCTGAGCCCGCGATTGTTAAAAAGAAAATCAAAATGGCTGACGAAGAAAAGCAAGAGTCGCCAGAAAGGTTTGAGCACGACAGACCAGCTTCTGTTCTTCCAGGGGCCTTGTTTATAACGGGTGTGACTTTCGCATCAATAGTTGGTGGTTTTGGCTATGCCATTGGGCAAGCTCGTCGAAGAAGTTCGGAAGCTTTTGATGCAAGAACGCAAGAAGGGGTCAAGTTGGCCCTCAGAGCACTGGGCTGGGGTACTGTTCTAGCTGTCAGCGGTGTAGGTCTTTTGGTCCTTAGTGTGAAGACTGCTTTGGGAGTCAAAGACGTAAGAATTGTTTTACAGTTATTTTCTAAGAACCTGGGATCCCTCACTCCGTATGAAAGTAAAACGTAGCGCAACGTTTAATCGACCACTACGTCCCGGGCGGGGGGAGAAGGGGGACTGCTATATATGGGATATATAGGTATGTGCCGCTGTGAAGGGTATGGTTTTCAAGCAGTTTACTCTAGGATAGGGTATATAAATCAGAAAGTTTGGGTCTAGAATAGGGTACAGTCGAACCTCTCAGTACAGGCACCTCTCTAATCCGGATATCTCTCTATTATGGACAGTTTCCAATGTCCTGACAAAAGTCTCATATCAAAAGTAGGTTGAGTTTGATCATGCAGGTGAACGTAGTCCTGAATAGGACTGTTGTTGTTGACAGTGACTGACGTTTCGACAACCTACTGTGAGGTAGTGAGTTGTATCACGTCAGTTGATGGTATTATACTCTGGTTATTGATGATCGGTCAATTACGTCTCGATGTTATTGGTCGTCTGTCAGTTAAGCCGAGATGTTATTGGCTGTGAAGACTTGTAGTAAGTAATTGGTGCGTTTTGTTCCGTCTATTGTCACAGTTAAACAGTCTCGGGGGTGGAAGCTGAATAATTGGATCATGATTATTCATTATTCTTTGCTTTTTTCTCTAAATTATTCATTATTCATTTCAATTTTTTTCCGTGATATTCATTATTCATTTTTTTAGTTTTTGTATCAGTTTTCCTTTCCCAAATTTTCTGCAATGCAATTCTATACATTGTTTATCAAAAGTTTGCATTTCAGTATACATTCAACCTTATCTTTAGCAAGTACCATTCTATTTTTTCTATAAATGTGGTCAAAATAATGTTATCCTTTTCGATCAATAGACCGTCTATGCAATGACTAGAATGTGAAGGACCAAACAACAGCAGACTAATAACCTTAAGTACTAAAAAATAATACCGGTAACTAATAAACAAACTATAGCTGAAGCGAACACTTTTCATAATCGTAATTGTACGTAATTGACTTGGTTCACAAGTCGGGCAAGATAGGCTGCTTGCTTGCACAGGACCTGCTATACTGCACCACTTACCAGGTTACTCACTCGGTCGGATTTTAGGACTTGTCTATTGGCAGGTCCAGGTTTCATTGCAACCTTTATGCTGAGTCATTAATTAATTTCCACATTGTCCAAACACTGTGGAACATTACAATGGAAGATTCTTATGTTGCAACTTTTTAGACAGTTGCATCTATAACTAAAGTAATAGAATCAAATATCTTAATTATAAGGGGATGGGCTTTTATTTTAGTTTCATCTTGAGCCTCTGTCAAACGATATCAACATTTGTTCAACCATTCGCTAACAATAATTGATGAGAGCCGATGTGAAGGCCGCGTGACATACCACAGGAGTGTAGTGTGGGACTGCAAACATAACTGTCACGACAATGTTTAAGCTGTTTTACAGGAACTGTTCAGGGTCGACGTTAGAGTTCGAGGGTGTACGCAAGCGGGGGAAGTTGTAGCGCCGAAGGTGGCCTAACCTAGGGGGGGAGGTGTCTGGGGGCATGCTCCCCCAGAAAACTTTTTTTAATTTAGGGTCTTGGAAATGCCATTTCCAGCGTTTTCCACAGGAAATTTTCTGTAAAAATATGTTCAGTTGTTTATTTTATCCATCTCCAGTGTTGTCGGTAATAAGGTACAGTGTTTAAGGGAAAAAAGGCCAGTGACGCCATCAGAATCTGATGATTATGGAATAATACTGAACATAAAAGAAATACTAACACAAGAACACCAATATATGGCGAAAAATATATCAGTCATCACTCGTTTCTCGCGGCTTTGCCGCTTGCCCCTCGCACATGCTTGCATTCTACCATGTCCAAAAGAAAAAATAAGAAACTACTCGCAGTCAAAACCTTAAGGAAGCCTTTTCGGTGATCTCGATCTGGACAGAACCATATGATAAAGACAAGACGGTAAGAAGTTGATTGTTTGAATATCATCGAGTATAAAATCTTTTAAATGATTACTGATAAGCTGATTAAAAGAACGGTGCGTTTGTACTGACCTGCTCTGATTGTGCATTAAACGTCAATTTTCAGGTGACCAGGAACGCGAGCTGGGAACATTGTCAAGAATGACAAATAGACCTACCATCGATGACAATTTCTCTTCATTCTCTGACTTCTTTTTTTCCATTGTTCAAAATTGAATGAAGAAGCGATAGTAGTCTGTAGAATACGTTATACATGTCCCAGAGTCCCGGTCAATTTGATGTTTTGTCTGTAAATGGTGCTCAGCAATGTGATTGTTGACGTCACCATTCCTCGTCGCTCGTTTTTGTTTGGTCAGTCACGTGCTTAGGTTTCTGCCGGTTTCACCAATGTAATAAGCCTGGCAGTCGCAGCATTTGATCTTGTATACTGCTCCCTGTCTGTCCTCAGGTTTGTCTTTGTCCTTGACATTAGTAAGTAGTCGCCGTAAAGTGGTTATCGGTTTGTGTGCAACACGTATAATTATTGTGAGGTTGTAATATAATTATGTGCAATAGTTTCAGACGTGCCTCTGATGTACGGTATAGTCGCTGTCGTAACAGGGCCAGAGTTGAAACTCGTCTGGGAGACTATTCCACAACCTTTGGCCTCTGAAGGTAAACACGCGCTGACCTGCAGCCGTCCTACAGAGTGGTATATGTAGGCGGTCCCTATTCCTAGTGTTGCAGTTGTGCACTTCCGATCTGGTTTTAAACTTCTGACAAAGATATGGAGGTGCAAGTCCATTTTAAGCATTTAAATACCATGGTAGCATCTCTAACCTCAAGTTGTTTAACAATTCAGGGCAGCCACTGCAGCTGCTTAAGAATAGGTGTAAACTATCCGGGCTGCAAAATTTTGCACTGTCTGTAATAGCTCGATGTTTTTCTTAGTGGTATTAGCCCATACTGATGAACAATACAATAATTTACTGAATACAAGAGAATTAATTATAGTGACCAGGAACGCGAGCTGGGAACATTGTCAAGAATGACAAATAGACCCACCATCGATGACAATTTCTCTTCATTCTCTGACTTCTTTTTTTCCATTGTTCAAAATTGAATGAAGAAGTGATAGTAGTCTGTAGAATACGTTATACATGTCCCAGAGTCCCGGTCAATTTGATGTTTTGTCTGTAAATGGTGCTCAGCAATGTGATTGTTGACGTCACCATTCCTCGTCGCTCGTTTTTGTTTGGTCAGTCACGTGCTTAGGTTTCTGCCGGTTTCACCAATGTAATAAGCCTGGCAGTCGCAGCATTTGATCTTGTATACTGCTCCCTTTCTGTCCTCAGGTTTGTCTTTGTCCTTGACATTAGTAAGTAGTCGCCGTAAAGTGGTTATCAGTTTGTGTGCAACACGTATATTGTGAGGTTGTAATATATGTGCAATAGTTTCAGACGTGCCTCTGATGTACGGTATAGTCGCTGTCGTAACAGGGCCAGAGTTGGTTTAAGTGTTGGAATCAGTGTTACTGTGAGCGTTCCATCTAAGGTCTGTGTTGTATATTGTTGTTACTAAAAACGTTGTCTTATATATATTTTCTTTAACAAAACCCTCTATAATACGAACTGTCTCTAATATGGACAACGGACACTAAATCTTGGCCCCAGAGAGTAAATTCATGTATAAACTTAACCTCTTTATTATGGACACTGCAGTGATCAGGTAAATCCGCATAGCATGAATTCCATCAAGTCTGGCTAGTGAGCTATGCCAGGTGATATAAAGCCCAGTTGCTGTATACCAAACAACGATTTGTGAAAGGTGTACAGAGGAACATAACCGACTTTTTGAAAGCTTCAATAACTACAGATAGCATGAAGATCTTTTCTGTTACATTTTGTACTCTAGTTACTGTTTACGGCACTTGCAAAATTACGAAAGACGCTTTCAGAATTGTGCTTTACATTAACTTTTTACATGCAGCATTACGCTGACGCTGGTTTTGTTTTTCAACAGTAATTTGTCTGTAGCTGAGATGTACAATGTTGTATGCTACTGAAAGACAGTATCTTGTACCATGAATTGATACCTTTAAATGCAGTTTAAAGATGAGTGTTAGCCTGGTTTTAGATACTGAACTCTTAAAACTGTAAGTGGAGTCATAAAAGTGATGTCATCATAGTGACCTCTTTTATAAGGACACCTCTCCAATACAGACACTTCACTCCATCCCTTCGGTGTCCGTATTAGAGAAGTTCGACTGTATTATTTTCCAGGAAAGTGATCAATTAGTTGAAGATTTTAGTTGGGAATTGCCACTCAAAAATTAATATAAAAAATCAAAATCAGCAAGTTTGAATTTACACAACTCAGCCTAAAAGCTATTCTAGGATGGGGGGGGGGGGGGGAAGGGATTTGGGGAGTTTAGTGTAGTGTAGGGTAGCAAAATCCAGCTGAACTAGCTCTTGTTTAGGCTGAGGTTTCCAGGATGCCAGCGGCACATCCCCACCCGAAAATTCCTAAAATACCTCCCTGAGAACTACATTTACATATACCATATACATAAGTTTATAGTCACCGCCAGCATAATCTTACCAGATTGTAACTGGGCTCATTAATAATAATAATAATAATAATAACTTTTTTAATCCCCTCAAAAAGGCTTTTCAGCTTAATTTACAATGTCAAATATCTAAAACTTAGTTTTCCAAAAATACCCTTAAAAAATGCTGTTTTATTTTAACCTTAAATACATCTAAATTAGTGATAGACTGAAACTCGTCTGGGAGACTATTCCACAGCCTTTGGCCTCTGAAGGTAAACACGCGCTGACCTGCAGCCGTCCTACAGAGTGGTATATGTAGGCGGTCCCTATTCCTAGTGTTGCAGTTGTGCATTTCCGATCTGGTTTTAAACTTCTGACAAAGATATGGAGGTGCAAGTCCATTTAAGCATTTAAATACCATGGTAGCATCTCTAACCTCAAGTTGTTTAACAATTCAGGGCAGCCACTGTAGCTGCTTAAGAATAGGTGTAAACTATCCGGGCTGCAAAATTTTGCACTGTCTGTAATAGCTCGATGTTTTTCTTAGTGGTATTAGCCCATACTGATGAACAATACAATAATTTACTGAATACAAGAGAATTAATTATAGTGATCAACGTACGCCTATTCACATCATACCCCACTCACTAGACAGCTTGTGCTCATGTTTTCATGATAATTGTCTGCAGACTCCTTCTGATAGCAGGGATACTTTGTAAGCCCCCTGAATTGACTACCCTGAGTGAAACTTATTTTTTATTTTGATTTTTTTTCTAAATAAAGAGCCAAGGCATATATCTGTTATACCCCAAGCCCTTCTTTTACATCATACATGAACAGTAAATGCATTATATACATGGAGGAACAAAAGAAGAAAAATTAAAACTTGTTTTTTTTAATATCCTGTATCACACAATCCTTTCTGATAACATAACTAAGATGATTAGCACACTTTTGCAAGGTTGTATGTTCTGAATATAGTGTTTGCAAAATATTCCAATTCATGACTTTTCAGTTATTGCAATCTTTCAGGCAAAAGAGTTTGGTTTGAAAATGAAAAGCATTCTTCCTGCAAAAGATGGAGAATTTGTGGCAAAGTTTGAATCTTGGAGAATTCCAAGAAATAAAGGAGATGGAAGTGAACAATGGTCATCTTTGGGTTCGAATTCAAAGACTTAGAAAACAGTGCTGTTCTTGTTGGCAGAGGTTATAAAAGCAGGAACGAACAAAGTAATGGAGACCTCACAGTACATGTATGCAAATAACACTGGGCCCCCAGGTGGGGGTAGGTCACTGCAGCTTGTAGGGACTGTCAGTTGAGGCAACTCTGGGGAACTTGCCTGCTACAATCATAGCTTTTAATCAAGAAAAACGAAAGACTGAGAGCTACACTTCATTATAACAAAGACATCAATTTTACAAACTCCAATAATTTGCATCCAACTTTTAATACTTGTTTGCAATTTACAATAATAAGCCCATAAAGTGAATAAATACCATGTTGCTATGTTTTTCAGTACTCTTTAAATAAAGCCATAATGTATGATTAAAAGAAAAAATGGATATGCACCATAACATGAAATGTATACAAGGTGTGTTTCAGTGTTTCTTTTCATGTGTCAACAAACAATGTAATAAAAAATAATATGTTTATTACAAATATGAGGAAAATAATTATTATTTAAAAATCTAAGCTTAAAATGTATTTTTAAGTAGAATTTATGGTACATTATACACTCTAGGTCCCTCTCTAGTAATCTACATCCTAAAAAACTGAGGCTAAGCACAATAATTCTAAAGGTGTGTTCTTTTGAATTTACAATCCAGTTTTGGTCTTCAGTTTTCTGTATCAGACTGTTGCATGTGTATTAAGAAGAAAGAACCTATTCAACTGCATCATTCTTACACCTTCAAGGATAATAACATGCCTACCCTCTGTTTTGGTGCTCAAATTAGATATGACAATTATTGTTTTACCTTTAAGACTAAAAAATACTAGTGCAGTTCCTTTGGGAAACTTTATCAAAAGCCTGTATATTATTTAAATCCAAATTGCTAAATTCAACAAAGTTTGCATTGTTTTCATGCTGCCTGGATGTTTTACCATTACACCAGCACTATAGAAAGTCACTGTAAATTAGCCTAATTTTAGGTACAGTCTTCAAGCATGCTCAAAACTTGCATCAGAGGTGCATTGTTCTTATATACGTTTACCGTACATTGTATAAACATTAAATTATCCATCACTTGTCATGACTGATTTACTTTGTTCTAAAAATACCAGTAAATATTGCATTACTTGACTTTCGACCTCTATATTTTAGAGAAAAGCAACCTAGGAGTCATGTCATAAGTAGGTGGAATATGATCATCTGGGCTGAGTTATTCAAAGCCGGGTTAAGATAACCCAGAGTTTTAATTCTTTTTGTTTACAAGTTGCTGACTCGAAGCTCTGAAAATAACAGAGAAAATTATCCGAGAAAATGCCTTTGAACACAAAAAAGAAAGCCGGGTTAAATTTAACCCCTGGTTAAGTGCTAATCCGCCTTTGAACAACTGGGCCCAGGGTGAGTGTCAGCATTGTCCTGATTGGCCAAAGTCACGTTGACTCACAAGATGACTACTGTGACACTGGTTGTTAAAACCTCAGTCACTGAGTCATCAACATTCCTACTCAGGATTTGGACTACACTCAACTGGATTATCACATTCCACCTACTTATGAAAAGAAATGTCTATCTCCCTTTATGAAATACATGTAAATTATCACAGAAGAAGCTGTACTCAGTGAATAGTGCTAATTAAGAGCAACTTGGATCTCATTGTCTAATCTAAATTTAGGGATATATTCCCAAGCCTTCACAGACTGTAGTAATAATTCTTCTCCTGCTTTTCATTGATTAATTCTTTTCTTCTTCCAGCTGTGCTTGGGAATACCTGTAACTAGAAATTGATTTTCTTTTATGTTTAAATGTTGCAAAAAATTCCTCATCCACTATACGAAATTCACAAGGACAAAGTGGCTTACTAAACTCCTTTTTAATTATGACGGCAAAGGTAATGGGAATGTCAGAAGAAACATAGGGTAAATGAGCAAAACATATAACCTCTGTGTGTACATCTTCCTTACTGCAAATTTTTTTCCCTTCCTTCTTAACAGAGGTGAAATGAACCAGTTTTTATCTTTTTTGGAGTATGAATGGCAAAGCCATAAATTACACAGTATCTATCTTTTTAGGTCCACGTTAATTTTCTACTTTTACATTTCTGAGCAAAAAGGTGGGATAATTGCAAAAAAGCTTGGAATACAGTGTAATGAGAAGTCAGTTTTTTAGTCCGTCTTCCATTAGTACAGCGTTGCTGTTGTTGGAGCGTAAGGACAGTATGGAAAATGTTTGTTGAAACATTAATATATTGTTTAATAGTTGGGATTTTCATGTAGCTGTGTCACAAAACCGAACCAAAACAAAACACCACTTCCTATTTCTAAAGCATACTTCCTCCTAAGTGTACATGTATCTCAGCAACATGCAGTGTTGGAAACACTTTTGGAAAGTGGCAGAGTTACTTCTTCTCAGGGAATCACCTTAGTTAACTTTAATTTAATGCTTACCCTTAAGTTAGTCAAGAAAAGATTAAAACATATATGTAACATTCAACCTACTACCTGAAATTGAGACTTAACTGCATTTTATTTGGGAATTACTTACTATGCTATTCTACAAAGCTGATTTATTCCAGTTAATCCCAGACCAATGTTTACACTGAAAAGAAGCCAGTTTTTAGGGATAATGACCAGCGAGTATCGAGCCCATATCAATCCTGCAAAAAAAAAAAAAATCAACTTTTTAAATACTGCATCCACAACAGACATCATTCTGAACCAACAGATTCAGATCGTGGATGAATCTACCTGAATATTCACCCAGACCTTTTGTGCATGTGATCAAGTACCTTATTCGTACTTATTTATTTTATTTACTCACTCACAAAACCTTATACAACATGAACAAAAGTTGTTAATTAAATTATAAAATTAATGTGACAAGGAAGCCTACTGAAGCTTGAAGCTTATATTAATAGGCTTCCTTCAACTACCTAATGAACTAAATTCATGGCTGAGTGCAGAGTGAGCAAGATCAGAAAACTGAGTGACAGATCGGCCATCAGTGAGATAATTCTTTACATTTTTTTTAAAAACAAATATAGAAGGAGAGCTAATTAAGGAAACAGGCAACGAATTCCAGATTTTAGGTCCTCAGTAAAGGATACTGAATTGCTTTATATTTGTTCTACAAAAATGAGGTCTATACTGAGAGGCTAGTCGAGTTTCGTATTGATGGACTTGATTACTACTTAAGAACAAGTCATGAAAGCTACTAGGCGAAAGATTATGGTGATAAGAATACATAAAAGTAGCGACAGAAAATGAATTAATACTAAATATGTCAAGGACTTTAAGCTGGCTAAATAAAGGGGCGGTATTTGCTAGATAGTGAGCTTTTGTTATGAGCCGTACTAGAAGCTTTTGCAAAAGGTAAAGACAGTTCAGCTTGGAACAATAGGTGGAGGACCAAGCGACATTACAGTATGTTAAGTAAGGAAATACAAGGGAGTAATACAAGGTCATCAAAGTTTGGGATGATAGGTAAAAGCGGGCTTTTGCAATAATTCCCACACTTTTCAACATTTTTTTGGAGACAAAATCAATATATGGTTTCCATAATGTTAAAGTTGAAAGTTTCACGTAATTAAAGGCCTACGCCCCCACCAAGCCTACCCACTCTATTCAATGAGATGAAACAATAGCCAGTATTATGTTTACATAATCTTCGTTAATATCATTTAGCCACGTTTCTGAGATACCTATAGCTGAAAACTCATGCTCGCGCTTTGTAAATAACATTCTGGCGGGCAGCAGTAGCCACTAGAGAGAATGTATGAGAACCGCTAAAATTGGGCCTGATCTCGGGTTAAAGCTGCGTGTAATTGCTGATAAATAATTGGTCATTTGTGTGGGCTGATAAAACAATTTAGAAAGGAAATGTAGTTCAAATGTGAACAGCCATTTCTTAGGGAGGAGCATCGCATGACAAGATAAAAACAGCTGCATTGGAGACTACATGTAGATACAACTCATGCAATGTGTGCTTACCTGTAGCGGCTAAAGCAGTGGACTGCGATGGACTGAGTTTGTCTGCTGGCCTGGCAAGATCAGCTATTCCAGCAAATACAAGTCCCTGAATAATACCAAACAGTGGTTGAGAATCAAACTCTACTAAACACCGTAAATCCTTGGGCAACTGCCAAATACATGTAAGGAATGAAAAGCTGCAACTATTAACCAAAAACTTTTTTTGGTTTTCAGCCAATTTGCATACTAATCCTATGCAGTAAGCACATGCACATACATGTATGCCTAAATTTGGACTTCTTTTTTGTCTTGTTTTTTCTTTGAAAATCTATTTGAATCTTCCTATCTTGCTCCCTTTTTTCCTTTGCCTTTCTTTTTTTATATGCAGTCATGCTCAATTTCCAGATGAAATATTCTCCTTTCCTGAAAAAAATAGCATCCACAATAGATGCTATTTTTTTCAGGAAAGGAGAATATTTCATCTGGAATGAGCAAAAGGTAAACAGCAAAATTGACAGTGGAGTTTTCCTCAAAACGTTGGGAGGTTTTTGCATTTAACTCTGGCAGGGTTGGTCAGATTTGAAATGATGTACCTGTGCAAAGAGCTACCCTTGCTGAATTCATTGTTTACCAATGTAAACGATTAAACCAAAAGCTAAATAGGTTTAGAAAGGAAATACATTGTATGCATTGTTTCATGCAGAATGAAAACAGCCAAAACAGTCCTCCAAGGGTTAAATATTTTACATTCATGAATCTTACCCACTTGAAAGCTGGTGCCCAGAAAAAGATAGTCTGAGGACCTGAAAGAAAAAATACATGTACAGAAAGTTTCACAACTCAATTGTAAAATGTAGTCATACACTATCTTGTTTGTTCCAAATCAACTTACATGTATGATAATTTGTCCTTACTTTACAGTTCATTGAGGCTAGGCCTGTATTAGTATTTAATATCATTCATATAATAACATTTTATATTTCATGAGATATAAAAATTATCACTTGCCATGTCAGCAATAATATCATAAGCAGGAGACAGAAACAGCAGTCCCGGAAACAATAGGGCCATTTATCCGAGGAAAAATAAGACGCGTCTTAAATAAGACGCGAACTGTACCATTTATACGAGCATGTCTTATCTAATAAGACGCGTCTTAACTAAGCCGCGTCTTATTTTAGACGAAATGTGCCATTTATACGGAAAGTTCGCGTCTTATTTAAGACGCATCTTATTTTTCCTCGTATAAATGGACCTAATGTGATACTAATTTGTCCTAAAGGAACGGGAAAAATTATTTTGGTTGATTGGTCCAAACAGTCAAAGTGCACCACCTTCAAAGGTGGACCCAGATACAAAGTATCTGGTCAGACTGAACGAAGATGGACTGTACCATTTGACTTCTGATTGGAATTTCCAGAAATTAAGATTGAATGGATCACGCCCTGTGCTCTGTGCCATAGTGCGTTTGTTGTTATTTTTCTCAAAACAATGTATAACAAAGCAATAACTATTAGATTTGGTACCTTGATCATTCCAGATTATCACAAAAACCTCATCCAATAATCGTTTATTCACTTAACAAATGGTAAATGGCTCAGTGTGTACTATAGCCTGATTATCAGATGTCTCACATCATTTGCAGCCCCTTCGAGAGAGAGAGGAGAGGGAGAGAAGCAAAGGGGCCATGAACGACCTCATCTGAAAATCAGGCTATGTGTACTATTGAGTTATAGTTGCATGTGGGAAGTTGCTACATGTACATAAGTACAAATCAAGCGTAAGAGATGCACTTGGCTAGCAATCCTCCCAAGTGCAACCATAACTCAATAATACATGCTGAGCTGCCTAATTCTTGTTTTATAACATGAGCAAAAGAGAACAACTTTTAATTTTGCTCACAGATACAGTAGTGTTGTAATCTGCTCGCGCAGAGACTCGACTTCGTCCCGGGTTTGCACACATGTAACTGTCTCGAAATCTACCAAGCCCTCCCGAGTTTATATCAGGCTATGCAAACAAGGAAGAGGTCTTCTATTGTTTTAATGTAAAATAATATAAGCTTAAATTCATAAGGTCGTTTGACGTGGTGACACTGCCGTCAACAGGATGTCTTTATAGAAACCCAACGTTGACTGTCTGGACAAGGTCCTTGAACATCGAAGTTTTAAAAAAACGTGAAACACGCATCAAAGAAATATGAGCATATGCTGTTTAAAGTCCGATACTATAAACTTCGTCGATCGAAGGCGATTGTGAACATCGCATTTACACACATCATCATTCTGATATACTCACCCGCTGGAGCTTTCCAAAACGGAACAAGTTTACGCGGTAATGCACCCTCGATCTGCCCAAGGAATCGCGTCCAAATCACTCTTCCCGCATTCATTGTGTAAAGAAACTTCCGGAAGAAACTACTAAGCTGTACCGGCAAAACTTCGATTAGATAATAAGATGGCGCACATTCTGCCACGGAGCGACTGGGGCCCATATTAATGTTTTCCAATAGAAGACCATCATTGATTGGTCAAACTGCGAAACTATGCAGAACTAGCATCCAATTAAAAATCTTGTAAGAAGTCGCTAAGAGAAGGGAGAGGAGAAATATCAAATTTCCGAATAGGCGGGAAAAGATTTGACTCGCTCCAGGGAACGTACTTTTCGGATTGGATTTCGGATGGTCGGGTTGATTAAAATGTGAAAGAACACATAATGCGGCTGTTCATTCGAAATAAAGTCAAATATGATCCTTTACATGCTGGTAAGCCGTTGGTGTTTGTGGAAATCCCCGATCCTCGAGAGTTTTCAGTTGGTCAGGTGAAAGAGGTAAGACTCAAGTTTTCGCTGATCATCGAGCGTAAGATGAGCTAATGTTTGCTTCTGATAACAGCTTTCCTCCCGTTGAACGTTACCTCTGCAACTTTTCTCCCACTAAGCTTAGTACTTTCACAACGTATGTGTGGAAGTTGATGTTTTTTTCGTCTGTTTATAGTGTTATGTGATCTTTCTGTTTTACATGTAAACTAACACAACGGTGACACACTTGTTTGGATTCATGTGAATGCAGGGGCGGATCTAGGGGGAGGGTGCAGGGGGTGCGCACCCCCCCCCCTGAGATTACCTGCGGTTTTCTTATACAACTGGTATTCTGCCAAAAAACAAACTATGTGGTTTACTGGTGTTGAAGTGGAGCAAAAGACGAGCGCACCCCCTCCTAAAAAAAATCCTGCATCCGCCCCTGGAATGTATGACGATAAGCTTCTTTTTGTGTTGTGGCCGGGTTGGGGGGTGGGGAGGGGGGGGGGGTGCGTTGAGTGAAAGAAAAAGCTTGCCAGAGTATCATGAGAATACGTGCATGTACTCTTGTTTATAAGAACTGGAGTGAAGTGATCAGCAGCACATTGTTGACTCTTTAAAACAAAACCCTAATATCCACAAACAAATTCTCCAGACTGAACTCCACACATTTCCTTGAATTATTTGCGAGAATTTGGTAATTTTTAATATCAAAGTGATTTCCCTTGGCTCTCATTACTTTAGTAATTCTCATAACCCTTTCCCATGCTGATATGTGAATATGTTAGGAGAAAATTGATGATGGTCACTTGTAACCCTTAAAGGGTTAAAGAGCATGACAGTTATCTGGTTATGACTTAGTTTAACCTAAGTCATAACCAGTTAACTGTCATGCTGTTTAACTATACTGAGAACTCCACAGCTCGGGTATGGGGAGAGGGGTACTTTAGGAATTTCTGGTTGGGGATGTGCCGCTGGACCCTGGAACCTGTAACCTATACCAGAGCTAGTTCAGCTGAATTTTGCTACCCTATACTAGAGTAAACTCCCCAAATCCCCCCTCTCCTAGAGTAGCTGTTTCCCTAGTCTAGATAAAATCTTTAACCAACTGATCAGTTCCTGAAAAATGATACCCTATTGTAGACCCAAACGCTCTGATTTATATACCCTTTCCTAGAGTAAACTGCTTGAAAACCATACCCTTCACAGCGGCACATACCTATATAGCCCATATATGGCAGTACCCCCCCCCCCACCCCCACTGGGCTCCACAGAACAACCTTCAAGCATGAAAAATTTTATTGAAGGTGCTTTTTGTTACTCTTACATTATATTAGTGCTTGGTGAAAATGTTGTCACGGCATTTGGTGTAGATTCCTAAGGCACAGCAACGAAAACTCCACCTTCTACATTTCTTCCAATTTCATTGGCCAGAACCCACAAAGGCCATCAGAAAGTTGTTGTAAAGTTTTAGTGCAATGCTGTCTCGTAGATTTCAAGTTGATGGTTATATCAAATACGTAGGCTTGGATTTGAGTACAAAACTGACCATTTTGCTTCTATTTTACTATAAAAGTAGCTGGGGTCATCCTAGTAGTAGACAGGCAAAATCCCAAGTCCAAGCCATTAATGAAAGCCCTTGACTGAAATTACCTACAGCATCTTTGAAAATGGCTGAATTAGCATCTCTTTTTGAATTATCACTCCCCTTGAGGCTGAAAATATTAGTTAAGCTGTTGCCTTAAAGTAAGTGCCCCCCCCACACAATCCTCCCCCCAAGAAAGAAAATATCACTGAATATATGGTAAAGAAGTAGAATAGAACAATTTCAATACCAGTGGTAACAACTTTTAGGATTTCTAGTGTGCTGTTACAGTTCTTATTTAGGTAGTGGTTATTACAATTGCTGGGAGCTAGGGGGTGAGGGCTGAGGCCTATAGGTGCTGAAATCGGGACAGCTGAGTAGCTAATAAGATTACAGAATTTTGTTTAAGTTATGAGTAGATGGAAAATCCAAGGTAAACAATTCTGATGGCAATGAGCTTTACAGGTGTTGACAGTAAAAAAGGCACACAAAACTCTAAAATCAACTCTGCGCTTTTATGAAAACAAGTCATCAAATTTGGTACATACCATTAAGCTTGGGTGAGTCTTTGCAACTGAAGGCTCATGCTTGATATGCAGCATGAAATAAGATGGCTCGTGAGAATAAAAGCATCATTGAACAGCTAATAAAGCTGTCTATTCAGTAAAACTCTACTCACTACTTACCAATTATACCTATGGGGTTTAACATTGTTTTCTTTCTTATTGTGTTAATTACAAGGAATTTAAGAAGAAGGTTAGGGCAGCTAAAGTTGACTCTCTCTATCATCGCCAAGCTGATGGGTCCTATGAGGTCTTAGCTGATGACAGGTAAGAACCCTCATTTCATTCCTACACATCACGTTGAGTTATGTCAAGGCAATGGCAACAACCTTTTGGTTAATTCTCACAGTAACTGTTTCATTAATCCTGCTGATGAAGTCAAATTGTCAAATTGGAACTTCAAATGTAAATTTACATCTAGAAGCAGCTTTTCCAGTATCAATGTCTTTAAAAACTTTTTGAAACAAACTCTGATAAGCCTTTTGCAAACAACATTTGACATGGAATGTCCGTGTACTTAGTCACTTGTAAGAGCATGTGACAAAAAAAAACATTTCCAGTTATTTCTGCTATGGAAGAATATCAACATGACTAACGACTGCCTAGGGGGAGATTTCCTTACTTTAGCTACATTTGAGACTCAACAGAATCACAGATAAGGCTATCAGCTTGGCATGATACTCAGCCAGAATGCATTGTTACACTTCCTGTGACATCTTCCACTGGTTGACATCCTCAGGTGGGGGTCTGGGTCGGGATCTGGAGCTGTTGGGGCTGCAACTGTGGCCGGAGTGGTCTCCTGGACGCAGGTCATGCAGGGGTTGGTCTACTGCAATGTGGACCCTGTCTGTGGTAACAGTGGTTTGCAGTTTTTTATGTGGGACATGATAAGGAAAGGTCAATAACTTTGTGTAGAAGTGTTTGCATTTTGCTGTCTTCAATTTCAGGCCAAAATCACAGAGACGTTTAAGGACAATTTCTGATCTCTTAAAGAGTTTTGTTCAATGTGTTACTGAATACTATAATATAGTGGCAGCAAACAAGGTATATCTTCAGATTTAGACCAGCCAGACTCCTCTCCATTAGTCTCTGAAAGGTAGCAGGTGCATTTGTCAACCAGAAAGGTATCCTGCTAAATTGGTCAAGGTGGAAGGGTGTGGTCAAAGCAGTCCCTCCTTCTCACATCCCTACTTGTAGCTAACCACTGTGAAGATCCAGGGAACAAACCATTTTGCTCCATTCAAAGCTTCTAGTGTTTTACCTATCCTGAGAATTGTATAGGCATCCCTCACTGTTTAAGAGTTGATATTGTGAAAGTCAACACATACTATCAGTCCACCATCATTCTTCCAACCAAATTAATATAACTGGCAAAATGTAAGGGTTACAAGACTTTCATTTGACTCCTGCTTCCAACAGTGGGTGACCTCAGTGGTATTACCTAGGTCTGTACTGTCTTAAGAAAACTCATTTGACATACTTGTCAGTACCTCTTTGACTTGGTCTTCCTGGTTGGAACTCAGTGTCATGGCACTTAAAACCCAATGTCAACCTTTTCGCTGGGTTCTGACTTGCTTTGTGCCTCATAAACTTCAAGGGCAACCTGGAGGGATGCCAAGTTGTCTTTTGGAGGCAACAGGACCAGCTGTGCTGAGTGATGAGTCAACTCAACAGTAATTTGATAAGTGGAACCAGCAGGTGCTGAATTGATTAAACCAGGTGTGACTTCAAGAGTGGAATGGTGTGGCCTTTTATCAAGTGGTTCAACTATGACCTTAATCTCTTCTGGGCAGGTATGTGTTGGCCCCCAGAGAACCACAGTTTGATGGGCTGCTATGGTAGCAATAAATTGAGTAATGGAACTTCTTGCACATTTTGTAGACAATAACAAAGGTACATCATAATTTAAAAGTTCTTTGTGAACTCAGCCTCTGGATATTATCCATATTTGCTAATCGGCGGACATCCCTGAAGAGAGGCCAACAAGTTTAGTGATTATTAATAATCAACTTAGTAGTTATGACTGCATCCTCTTGATAATCATTTCAGGACTGTTGGCTTCTATAATATCCAGGATAATGCAATCCTGGAGACAACAAGCAATCCTCTGTGGGCCGCTACCATCTACTACAGATTGAGAGAGGTAGAAAGAGATGCCGCTGCTAATCAGTTAGATGATGCAAGGACCAACAGGGGACTGGAGCAATCAGTCATACAAAAGTACATGGCACTGGGCATACTTTTTAATGGAGGCAACAAGTAAGTAGTGGTGATGTGCAAGAATTACTTTCCATCCACATTATGCATCTTATGTGATTTTATTTTAAGCACCTTAAACCTTAATTCTGTGGCAGAAGTAAAAAATTTAAAGACACGAATTTGGAAAAACTGATCAGTATAATTCATTGCACCAAATATTTTCCTATTATCAGCATGCCTTGATGTAAAGGACTATTTACCTCCTTTCATACAAGTTTTTCCCTTATTCCTGTCCAAGTTCCAATTCCTTGTTATTTTTAAAATAGATGGTTATAAGGGAACTGGTACTATTAATAATTTTCAAAAGATAAAGTAAAATATGAGCATTTACCTTTCCCTAGATGTAATCTTCCCTGTGAGAAGGCTGCTGGTTGTGTTTACTGTTAATGTGGTTATTGATAATTTTTTAAACGGTCAGTGTAAAACGCAGGCTGCAGACTATTGTTTTCACCATGCAAATAAGTATGTGACAACAATAGTCCCATTGTTTGCTAACCCTATAAGTAAGTAAGTAAGTAATTTTATTTAAACACATATCGCATATGAGCGATAGCTCGTTTAAATGCAAATGTGCCATAAAAATTACAATGTGATAATTTACATAATCTACATGTACAACTGATAAATAAAAATAAGAAATAGAAAAATTAAATCAACTAAAAAATAATAATAAAACAAATGGTCTGCATTTTACGCTGCCCCCTTTTTAAAATAATGTTTGTTACATGCAATAGCTTAATCACTGTGATGTTAACTGCATCTTTTCATAGTCCTGAACGACAGCATCCTCCATTTTTTGAAGAGTTAGATCAGTTATATGAGCATCTCCAAACTGCTGGCAAAAAACCAGTTCACATGTCTCAGAGAACCTTGGACACTCTACAGACACTGAAAGATGAGTATGAACAGAATGACATCCATGAAAAAGATGCTATTGGACGTTTTGTTAACCGGCAAGCTGCTAAACTAGGGCTTGTGCATGCAACAAGTGAGTGATGCTCATTCAGTGCATAACTGCAGTATTTGGACATCTGTCTTATCTGAACCTATTAATTTGTATCTGAGTCTGAATCAGTAATTGTTGGCTTATGTGATTAAGTGTCTGACTGGTTATCTGAAGACAGGGACACACATTTTCCGCCTACACTGTACTCTCCTGACATACATTTTTTATGCTTGTTTTTGATCTTTTATCATTATTTTACATGGTTGTTGTCCAGTTTTAATGCTTGTTTAGTAATGAACTGGATGTAAATGTTACATCATTCTGTTTAAATTTTTTGCACTTTGCCTTTGCCTTCCTCTACAGTTGTCCACAGCTAAGTTCCTTTCTATTTTGCACAGTTTCCATTACGGTGCAATTAACTTACAATGTAAAACAGCTATCAAAAACAGTAACTTAGATTAAAACTGACATTCCCAAATACATTGTATTTTAAACACACAGTCAATGAGACCAAGTCTACTCGGACCTTGTTTACTGTGGGTAATGTCGACTGAGATATCGGTCGACATAGCGGTCGACAGTCGGTCGATAGTCGGTCGATAGTCGATGGATGGTCGGTCGATAGTCGGTCGATAGTCATATAGACTATCGGCCGAGTATCGGTCGATATTTCGTTGACGCACCTCGACTTACTATCGGTCATATGTCGGTGATATATCGGTCAACTGTCGGTGATATATCGGTCAACTGTCGGTGGTATATCAGGCAACTGTTGGTGGTATATCGGTCAACTGTCGTTCGAATATTAGTCGTGTGTTAATTTATCAGGTGAGTCCAATGGCTTTTTATTGTTAAGCAAAGACGTCATTAATTACTGTTATCATGCGATGGGGAACATGTGGCAGTGCAAGGCGCGATTCCGCTATGAAGAGAACCGAAGAGCACTGGGAACTAAGGACATGTCGACCAATTACTGACCAACACATCAGTCAAGTATCGACCAACTATCGACCAAGTATCGGCGAAGTGTCGGCGAAGTGTCGGTGAACGAAAAGCTATATCGGCCGAGACACATCTGGAACGACTATCGGCCGTGTCTCGACCGAGTGTCGACCCACTATCGACCGCTATATCGACCGACTGTCGACCGAGTGTCGACCAACTATCGACCGAGTGTCGACCGCTATATCGACCGATATCTCGGTCGACATTACCCACAGTAAACAAGATCCGTCTACTCTTTCATGGTTAGTTGCTTATTCAATTTACCCTTCTTGGTGCTATGATGCAGACATGGGCTCTATTTGTTTTCCAGTGGTTCTGTAATTTCTTTCTTCTTTTTCTTTTCTTTTCATTTTAGGTTCAAATGTAAATGGTGATAGTGGAGCTGCTGCTGAAGTGCAGAGGTAAAGGGAAACACTCACCTGTGTGAATATGCTGTTATGCAATGACATCTTGTACCACTTACTGTCTTGTTATTCAAAACAACTACACACTATAATTGTGCAAAATCCTCTAACATGTACATTATTATGAAAAAGTTATACTGCTTGCTAAACAACAGTGTAGACCAGCCCAACTGTCTTATTTTTGTGCCTTTATAGAGTCCAAGTAGGTGGCCGAGGAAAGGGTAACAGAGTCACTGTAGACAAGGGAAAAAGACCAGCTGCAACTGGCAGAGGTGGCAGAAAGGCCCCTCAGAAGCAAAGAACATGTGAGGACTGTGAGGAAAATGTAGCTACTCACTTCTGCGCTGATTGTCAACCACCTTTAGTTCTTTGTGATGACTGTGCAGCTGTACTTCATAGAGGAGCACGAAGGCGAAATCATCAATTAAAAGGTGTGAGGGCAGGACACATGATTGAAGGGAGGAGCACAAAGGGGCTAGGAGTGGGTTACTAAGATTAAATCAAAACAAGAAACAATGACATCTCTTTGGCTTAATGCAGCACAAAGGTAACGGGGGCTTAGTGCCAAGATGACAGTTTCATGAAAGTGAAAGCTGAGTGTGAGAGACCTTGTTTTACTGTCTCATTTCCACAAGTCACCGCCAGGTACTCTAAAATATTACTGTAGATTAAGGGTACTCTAGTGAGAAGCCCAGAACAATTAACTTGGTAATAAAGAGCAAAATTAAATCTCATTATAATGGACTTGTAGCAAATGGCCAAGAAATGTTGAGGGTTTAGTACAATCGTTTTCTCAGCTTTTATAGAACAATCTTGTGTTGAGGTCATGGCCTCTTTGTATTGACATTTGAAGGCCCCTTGTGACTTCTGCTAAACCTAGTTATTTCTTTTTCCCTATTGCTTTGTATTGTCAAAGAAAGGTGTGGTTGAAAGTTCAATAGGCTTTATTAAACACACTACCTTAGTTTTTATGCTCAATATACTTAAGCAGTTTGGTGCCATAACCTGTTAGGGATATCTGCTCCTAAGCAAAGCAAAGACAAATACACACTTTTTGTTACCTGCTCTTCACCTGTTAAAAGTCAATATGACATAGGTACACTAACAAATCTTCTTGTGTTCATTCAGATGTGACAGAAGCACCTACCCCATCTAAGGGCTACACCCCTAAAGTAAGTAGGTAAAAAAGGGTTAGGTCATTGTATTTTTGCTGATTTTAGTAATTCTGTTTTTTCAAGCATTCAAATAATTATTACTGTCAAAAGCAACATCTTTTATTGACACCACTAAATGAACAGTGGGTACCTTGGGTGTCCAAGGGCTTCTAGGCAATGCCTAGATTGAGTCCTGCTCCCATGGTTGGCAATCCTGCAACACAGCCATGAGGCCCCATACTATATTGATGCATTTGTGGGCTGAGTAATAACACAAGAGAAAAAAGGGCGGAACCCCCACACCACCAGACCTGGGGCACGTACCCCATCTCCCAGAATGCTATGCAAACAATACCAGGAGAAAAATCACCTTTCACAGTAAGGGGCTTGAGACACTAGTAGCAACAAGTTTTCTGATAAGGCATCACTGGACCACAAGCCTAAATTCGTCATCAGTAGATCCAAGGAGCCTTGCTGAACAGTAGATTGCATTGTCCCAATATCAATATTTTCCCTGTGATCCCACATGTTAAAAAGAATAGCGTGGATTGAGGTAATGGATAAAATTTGTTTCATGAATGATGGATGAACTGCCCAGGGTCAGAAGGTAGCAAACAAACAAACATTAAAATTACCCTGAACCAAATATATGTAGCAGTCTGGACTAGAGGTGTGTATCTCTTGCCTTTGATGCCAGGATAAGATGACATGCAGCACAAAAAAGGCAACTGGTTGTTAACTCACACACCCTTAATAATCCAAAGAAGCTAAGGCACCATGCTTCCCACATAATTTCATTTTGGCATTAAGAGATTCATGGATTTGTCCTTTTTATGTCTTAGGTGTTAAGTTTATTTTATTTTTGCAGGCATACAGAGCACCATTTGCCATGTTGGTGGCATTTCATAGGTAGGTACTGATTTGTAAAATAATACATAGATTCAGCCAGGGCTAAAAGCGAAGCTCTCCATATTATTTATATTTTGTTCAAACAAAATATAAAATTGTGTAATGCTAAACGGTGCAGGCAACGCCGGAGAATGGTGAAAAACAACAATAGGTCTAATTAGCAAAAAAGGAACTTTGCACGTGCAGCACACTTTTTTTGTACATTTCTTTGCTGTTGTCTTGTACGACTGCAACGTGAACCTTCCAGAAACTTCTTAGTTACATATTTTGTGGACTGAAATGTTGTACGCTTTCTTGTTCATTTTTTTTTCACTGCCGCTCACTTTCACCTTGCATTGGTGGCCGCTAGCATTTCTTATTTTGTCACCACCGCTACAAAATTGTCATGTTGTTCTTCCAAGGAAAAAATTTCTCCTTTGTTTTTTATCTCTCGCTCTAGATATATGTCGCCCTTTATCTCATTGAGCTTCGCTGGCCTGCCGCCTACTTTCTCTTTTTCTCTGTCTTTCTCTTGCTCTATATTCCAAATTTGTGGACATAATGAATCTAAGCTTAATCCATTTTCGTCTTTATTGACTCTTTAGTTGTCTCTGCTTCACAAGACGCAGGTGGCTATGCAATTTCCTGTCAAAATAACCTCAAGTTACATTTGGGTTGCCATACCTGTTGAATGAGTTATTTTACATTGGGATGCCTGTGGTGTGGATGGACGGTCGGGCGGTCGGCCGTTGTGTACAGTCACATGATTACCAAATTTTCTCGGATGGGTAGTTTACCACATTTTCTTACCCATGGTGCTCCGCTGCATGCGCTTCGCACACGAGAACTCTGCTATAAATTTATTGCAATGAAGCCTCATTTCATTCATGATTGAGAAGTAAGCAGTTTGTAATGTAAGCAGCTTGTCACATGCCAAGACCAATACCTGCAAGGTCCCGTTTGTTTGTTCACTTGAGTCTTATAGACATCATGACAACAAATGTGTGACAGAGCAAGCTGGCTCGCTAGTCAGGTGTAATGAAGTAACAAATGTAAAAATACCAATCAGGCTGGTTTGACTGCCAGTTATACTTAGTCTTGTAATGAGGTCTCATTATACACCACAAAACATTTAATTTGAATTTATGAACTTGAAGAAGACCATCTCTTTACAATTATTCATCTCACCAGTTCTGTTTATACATACAGGGCTGCTAATGAAGTTCCTAGTAAAATGAGTTTAACTGCAGATGAACTGAAATCCAAAGCACAGCCTTTAACAAACACAGACTTGGAAATCAAACAAGGTAAATAATGTCTACAGCACATCAAGTTAAAGATAGATTTGTGTGTAGATTTAACAACATTTATGCCTCTACAATTTGTCAGACTTGATAATGGTGTCATGACGACTCATTTTTTTCCCAACAGTGCTCATTGTCATTGGTTACTTGAGGTCACATTTAATCTCAATGTTTCCCTTTGCTGCACCTCAGGAAACATTGAGATTCTTGGGAAACAAATTAACTGTTTCGCTCGTGACCAATCAGTGTTTATTAATACAAGGTGAAAAGTTATTGATTAATATGCTAAATTTTTACGCTTAGTTAGAAGTATCAATAAAACCATTGTGTTCATTTTGTTATAGATTCCACTCCAAAAGAAAAAAGTGTTTTGGTTGTATGTTTTAGAAGGGTCAGTTTTTATCTTTTTCTGACTTGCAGGAAGGTGGTTTGGAGGATTTGACTCGCTAGAAAATGCATTAATGAAGAATGAACTTGTACGAAAGGAAGCAAGAAATCCAAAGTATATACACCTAGTTGCAAAAATGTTGTCATAGGAAAATGAAAAAAGGAAAAAGCCAAATAGGAATTAAGTTGGGTGATAACCCTTACGAATTCATTGGCAGCGTCTGCACATGGACATCAGTCGTATTTGCCTGTTGGAATTTTGCTATTGTTTGAAAGCCGAAAGACAATAACACTCAAAATTCCAGCGGGGAAATGCAACGGCTGCAAATGAATCCACCATGAGAATGTGGCTTAATTAGCCTATTTAATTCCTATTTGGCTTTTTCCTTTTGTCATTTTTCTAAGACAACGTTATTGCAATTAGGTGTATGCAGAATATTAGCACCTTATCTGAGACTCATTTCATCTCTTACTTTACCCACATACAGTATTCTTAAAATCAGCTTTTAAGGTGATTCCCTGGTTTTGCACTGCGCATCTCTTACTGCACATAATAAGATGGCCGCCGTAAAACAGAGCATTTGAAGTAACATTATTAAAATGAAGTTGACTGAAGAGAAACGGTATTGGAATTTTTGCTTGTGGTTGTTTCTTGCCGAGGTGAGACTCAGTGTGTTGGGAATGTGCATAACGTAGGCAGTACACGTGTTGCTGAGTTCGACTTCCTCACGGAGAAACTCGATAGTGGATGTTTAACTTGTGCTTACTCACTTTGATTTTTATTTAAATGCTTTCTTTATCACATTGTATCCTAAATGTGATATCTCGATGTAAATTCTGTAAAAACAGATTTTTTAATACTTTCTTCCCCCTTTCACATACATTCTTTTTTGAAACTCGCCCCAGTCCTCTCTCAAAAATCGGAGAAAATGCATTTGGTGCACACTTTCTGCAGCTCTACCGCAAAAACGAGTACGGTGACCCCCATTTTTTATTTCATGATTTTAATAAGGACAGTGCTTCCTTTCGATGAGAAAAAAATTGGCACAAATCTATGTTCAGTTTTTTGGCAATTTTACTAAATTTTACGGATTGAGCTATCACGGGTCGAATAGCGCGTGTCCAATTCAATTCTACTTTGGAGCATAAAATAAAAACAGGAGCATTTAAAGGTATTTTTCTGGTATGTAAGTGGATAAACAATATAATAAAGTCAAATTCTGTGCGATACCACATGCATCATCAAAAAAATCTCTCGTTTTTGTCTAGTTTGGGGCTGCGCGCGGTTTTTGACAAAGGGTCCAAAATAGCCTTATTTCTCAGCATTGTGACGTAAAAACGAGCACGGTGACCCCCACTTTTTATTACTTTTTTATCATCTTCTTGACTTATGTTACATCAGTGTACCAAGTTTCATCTACAATCTATGTTAGGATCTTTTACTAGGGAATCACCTTAAAATTGATTTTTTAAGCATAAATTACTCCTTAAAGGTCTCAGCAGGGCACTTTTAGGTCCGTGTATGGTAATGACAAGCTTCATTCCATTATTTCTGCTTCAACATTGTACCAGTCTACTCTGTCTTCCCCTTGAAAGTGTCTTGACTGGTAGCTACCTTGACCTAGTTTGGTCCTGGACTGCAAATGCCACTATGTGGAAAACACAACGAGCAAGAACCTGTATTGTCTTTTCTAATCTCTTGCTAATTTGAAGGAAATTTGTTTTCTCCTGTATGTGTGCTACAACAAAGCAAGATCGCCTCTGTTGATGTAGCATCTCTGTATCTTTTCAATTGCATGCAGAGAATTAGAGTGTGCAAGGTCTTGGACTTTCTCCATATACAAGCTGCCTCATTAAAATCCTCAACATTGTTCCCAGGGTTCTTTAAGTTCCTGCCTCCTTTTCGGGTTCCCTGATTACATGGTGGTTAAGAGTGAACATGTTCCTCGCCCACCTCTGAAAAAGGGCTTGATCAGATGACAATTCCAGAGACATGCCAAGGTGGCCAAAAAGTCTTTACCTAAGTGCATTTGCTACATAACCGCTTCCATGCTGGGACATGGTTCCCTCTCTGGCCACTTTCTAAAGTAGTTCGCTGCTATGGACAAGTTTGTAATGTTATCAGCAAACTCTTGTAGTGGTATAAGATTGTTGACTGTGGCACATTCAATCCTCCTGTGTATCGTGTATGAGGATAATGTTGCCTAGGCTTTCTGGCTGCACACAGATTTCATAATCTACACCATTCCTCCACATCATGTGTTTTTTTTTGCCCTAGACTGGATTGTGCTAAATGACTTGTTTATTGCTAGATGTCCCTCTGTCTGTGAATTATCATGGAGTTCTATAGTGCTGGTGGGAGCAATCAGGAAAAAAACCGAGCTGTAGACTGGACACACCTTTCATCAGTCACCCGAAAGTTACAGGTGCAGTGTACAATCCAAGTGGCATTATGAGGCCCACAACCCATTTTTTCTTCTCTCTATCTTCTGGGCTGATTGTAACTTGCCAATACCCACTTTGTAAATCAAGCGTTGAAAATCTTTTTGACCCTGATAGTTGATCCAGTGTGGGCATTGAGGCTCTCATCTTGCAATTGAAGTCTTTCATCAGTATGTGGTTATTTTGGAAAGTTTTTTTTTTTTATTTTTTTTATTTTTTTTTTATTTGCTTTACTTAACCCAATAATTACAATATTGAACACTGCTTACACTGCTTACATTATTTACAACATTCATACCATACTTACAATACTGACAATACTTATTGCTTACATTGCTAACAATACTACTGTTTTCAAACATTATTACATTTCGTATGCTTCAAGTACTCAGTTGCATCGGAAGAAACTTATTTAAGGATAGTTGGCGTTATTGAGGCAGGATAAGCTACGGATGAAAGACATAGAGAATATCAGGGGCGTTGGGAATAGCGCCATGGTAGAAACGATAGTTTCTACGTGATGTCGTGTAGGAATGACCATTGTTTGGGCAGAACATTGTTTGCTTCTGCTTGTGCTTGTATGTTGTAAATTGTCTTTAGGTGTTTGAGAAATCCTTGCAATAGAGGTATAGCTTCTTTTGTTTTGCAGAGCCAGATATAGTGCCTGGCAATAAGAAAACAAAAGTTGATCTGGCGTTGAAGTTTAGAAGAGTCTGATCTCAGGCCTAGTGAAACAGTCATGTCTGCAGAGTAACTATCGGGAATAATTTGGCAAAGTTTTAATCGCGTTATGATGCTCTCCCAGAAGAGCGCCGTTTTGGGGCAGGACCAGAAAAGGTGTACGAGTTTTTCTGGTTCTTTTTTACAAAAGGAGCAGTTGGAGTTTTCTTTTACTCTTATCTTAGTTAAGAAAGCGTTTGTTGGTATTCTTCTGTGCAGCAATTTAAATTGAAATTCCCTGAGTTTTATGCTTTTTGTGATTTTATGAGCTAGCTGGTAGGTCGCACCCCACGTTATTTCGTTTTGACCTAAGTTGCAGTCTTGATTCCATTTTTGCTGGCTTGTAGTAGGGGGGGCACTTTTCTTTGTAATTAATTTGTCATACACCAACTTGCTTGCTTTTTGGGCTTTCATTAGTTTTGTCGAAAAGCTTTCGTAACTATTACCTTCGTTTGTGTGGTCACCTTGGTTGAATGTGTTGCATAGCTTTTTAAGAGCAGAAATTATTCCACAGTATGCCAAGGGTTGGACCTTGATGTCGTATTTGTTTAAAAGTTCTGGTGGAGTGAGGAATTTTCCTTCTCTGTTCCTTAAGTGCTTAACTTTTGTGATGCCTTTACGATACCATTCTTTAAAGAAAATAGGGCTGTCGTTAATCCTTACAAGTGAGTTGTACCATATGCCTTGTTCTGAAAGCTGGCTCTCTGATGTTATCCTCTCTTCAAAATTGATTTCTGACCAGATTAGGAGAATTTCCTTTAAGAAACTGTCTTGCGTTTTGAAGATATTAGCTATGTCTATCTTATTAAGGTTGCTTGTGAAAGGTAGGGTACACTCAAACTTTTTCAGTTCAAGATCTAGAAAAAGTTTCCATTTACCCTGATTATCTGTATCCAGGTACTTTTTTATCCAAGTGGTTTTTAGCGCTTTATTGAAAGATAGTATGTCAATCATTTTGAGGCCACCTGCTGGGTAATTGTTAATCATAATATCTCGCTTTATTTTATCGCCCTTTCCGTTCCAAAGGAACAAGTAAAAGAGCTTGTTAATCTCGCTAATTATTTTTTTTTTGTTTGTGCACAAGGGTGCCAAGACGTACACAATTTGAGAAGCTACCAAGCTTTTCAGAACAGTGATCTTCCCACTTAAGGTTAATCTACGGTATTTCCAGTTGCTTAGAATATTGTTAATTTTTTCCAGTTTTTCCTTATAATTTAGAAGTACAGTGTTTTCAGGGTCTGTCGTAAACCAAACGCCTAAAGATTTTACTTTGTTTGTTTGCCATCTGAAATTTCTTTCTGGAAGAAGAATTTCTGTTTTTCCACTATATGTTCCGATCCAAATTGCTTCTGTTTTTTTTACTGTTGAGTTTGAGACCCGAGGCTTCTCCAAAATCGTCGAGTGTGTTGAGAGCAGCTGAGAGCGACGTTTGTGAACCATTCAATATTAAGGTTGTATCGTCTGCATATTGACTTATTTTAATTTCCTCTTGGTTAACGTGTATTCCTCTGATATTGCTGTTTCTTTTAAAAGCCTTGGCTAAGACTTCAACTGAAAGAACAAATAGATATGGAGACAACGGGCACCCCTGCCTGACCCCTCTTTCAATTTTAAAGAAATTGCTTGTCCAGCCGTTGTTTAAGAAGCAGCTCTCTATGTTGCTGTAAAGGCATTTGACCCAGTTTACAACACTTGGGCCGAAACCGAAGTATTGAAGAGAATTTATGATAAAAGGCCATTCAATCGTGTCAAACGCCTTTTCGAAATCAAGAAATAATAATAGCCCTGGGATATTTTTTTCTTTGGTAAAACGAATAACATAGTCTATTAATCGTATGTTCTCGCCAATAAACCTGCCTTTCATAAAGCCAGTTTGATCACAACTGATGAGATCGGGAAGAACCTTTTTCAGCCTGTTAGCCACGGCCTTTGCTGCAATTTTGTAGTCGCAGTTGAGAAGAGTAAGCGGTCTCCAGTTTTTAATGAAATACGGCTCAGCGTCTTTCTTGGGAATGAGTTTGATTACTCCTCTTCTTTGTGTGATGGAAAGCTGACTCGTTTCGTGCGCATAATTAAGAGCATTAATCAATAAGTTTGATATGTTTGTCCAAAATACTCTATAAAATTCTGCAGGTAGCCCATCAGATCCAGGGTTTTTCCCTGTTCCATGGTTTTCAGGGCTGCAAGGCATTCCCTTTCAGTTAGCAGGCCTTCACAGTTGTTCCGTTGTTCGTCATTCAGGACGGTGTCGTTTTCGTGTTTAAAAAAAAATCATATGTGTCAATTAAATTGTGTATATTTCTGTTGGATGTATATAGATTCATAAAAAGATTCCCCTTCTGCTAATATTTCCTGATCCGAAGTAATAAAGTTATTTTCGTCCACTTTAAGTTGGCTTATAATGCCTTGCTTATAGTGTCTCTTTTCTAGGTTGAGGAAATATTTCGTATTTTTTTCTCCTTCATTATGCCATTTAATTTTAGCTCTCAATATGGAACCTTTCGTACGAGTCTCAATAATTTTTTCTAACTCACTCTTTAGATCATTCAGTTGTTCTGCAAGTTCAGAATTTTCTGTTACGCTAGAGTCTCCGTTCTCCATTTTCGATTCTAGTTTGGAAATTGCATGCTCTAGTTCTGCCTCACGGCCCTTTGTTTTCTTAGTTTTATTCATTGCGTATTGGAGCGATTTTTCCCGTATTTTAAGCTTAATCATGTCCCACAATAGAGCAGAGTTTACCATGTCATCGTTTTCATATTCGTCTTGAACTTCCTTAATCGTTGTCTTAATAAGATTAACATAAGCAGTTTCGGTTAAAAGAGAGGTATTTAATTTCCAAAGGCCGGGTCCTCTGCTATTTGCATGAAGAGACAGATCTAAAGTAATCATGGAATGGTCTGTTTTATATCCTGGCACTATATCGGTGTTAGTGACGTCCCCAATAACGCTTTGGCTTATTAAAAAGAAATCAAGTCTACAGTAAACCTTAGGTTGTCGTTGTCTCCAAGTGTACCTTTTGTCATCTGGATTGTGAATTCTCCAGACATCGAGAAGATCTAGGTTCTCTGAAATTTCTTGAACGGTCTTCAAGCTATTTTGGTGAGTTTTGGCAATGCCACCTTTTTGTCATTTTCGATGTTAAGAACAAGGTTGAAGTCACCGCCAATTATTATGTCTTCACATTTAAAATTTAAAAGATGATCGTAAAAGTTTTGAAAGAATGAAGGTTTATCCTCGTTGGGAGCATAGATGTTAGCGAGGGTCAAAAGCTTTTCGTTAGCTTTTAAGTCACAGATAATAAATCTCCCTGCAGGGTCGGTGTAAAGTCTTTGGAGCTGAAGGTTAAAATTATTGTTAAAAAGAATACATACCCCTGCTTTGTTGCTTTCAAAAGAGGTGAAGTAAGCTTGATAGCCCCATTCTGCTTTCCACAAGTGATTTGTTTTTTCTATACAGTGTACTTCTTGGAGCATGCATATTGATGGCCTTTTGGCGCGAAGCCAATTAAATACTTCTCTTCTTTCAGCGTCATCCCTAAGTCCCCTGACATTCAATGAAGTTATTTTCAAAGTCACGATTTGTTCAAGTCTTTTGTAATAAACGTTGTCTCGACGGGAAAAAGACATGTGCGCCTCAATAAAGGATTTGCATTCTTTCTATTAGGTGTAAAATGATTGATGCAAAAGGTACTCGATATTTTAAACAAATAATGAAGACTAAAACGTGCATATGATATTAGACTGAAGCAAATGATCACAAAAGGTAAATTAAACAAAATAACACTTTGAATAAATAAAAAAGAGTAGCGCAAAAACAAAAAACAGAGCATAGACAAATTTGTAGTTAGTAAAATTAAATTACTTTGGCAGCGAGAAATTTGAATGGTTGATAAGACGTCCCTCTCCAGACTTAACGTAGATTATTTTGCCTGTTCAGTTTATAATTGATCTAAGTCCTCTTCGGAAAAAATTCTAACAGGGGAGCCATAGGGTGATGTCTTAACAAAAATCTTACCATCCAAAGACCAAACACTGAGTAGGGTACCCTCTTGTCTTCTCTTGTTCGCTTCTTTCATGATTCTACGCCTATAAGCCGTGAGGTTCTCGTTTATAAAAATACGTTGTCGTTCCTGTGCATTTGAAGGGTAGCTGGGAAATAGATCTTTGATTTTGACATCCTTTAGTTTGGTGCGTTCTTTGTAAAGTTTCGATTTCACTTTATGATTGCAAAATTTCACTATAATGGATTTGCCCCGATTCAGCTTGTGTGAAATCTCTATTTCTTCAGGCTCTATGGTGATATTTAGGGCTTCAGCAACCTTGATGACCGCGGCCTCCGTACTGGGATACGCATCTTCTGGAATTCCATGGATTTCCAGCGAGTTCTTTCGAGTGTATTGTTCCAAATCATCATGGTGTTCCCACAGTCGATCGGATTCTTCTTTTTGCTTTCCTAGATTCTCCTTTGTTGTTTTAAGCTCGTTCCTTGTTGAGGCTAGCATGTGTTTTAATTCTTTGTATTCGTCCTTGGTCTTTTGCAAGGACTCTTTCAAATCTTTAAGCTCCTTCTCGTAGAAGTTGGCAGATTCTTTTAATTCTTCGATTTCCTTCTTCAGCGTTCGATTTTCGCTAAGAACTGCAGCTATTTGGATTTGTATGTCGACCAGTAGAGCCTTGATTTCAAGAAGGCTAGGCTCTTCTTGTTCCTTGCCCGCTTCAATCGATTCTTCAACATCAATGTTTTCCTCGGCCGCCATGTTGGATTTCTTCGGATTTCTTGGTTCGTCTTCGGTTGAGCCACGATCACCTCTTTTATTCTTTCTGGGAGGCATTTACATTGAAGAAGGTAGATTACATCGTCAGGGAGCCAGATAGTGTATTTTCATAGGAGTAGGTGCCAGAGAGGGGTCATCTTTGGCAATGTTAGGCAGACACGATGAATACACGTCCGACCGCTGCGATTTCCCGCCAAAAGTCTATTTGGAAAGTTGCTCTTTCGGTGCACCAGTGATTGTAGCCGTTGGAGAGAACTCGAAATCTCCAAACTCTTGCTGCAAGAAAATTGTGCATTATTGCTTCATTAGGAAGGATAGGAGAAACTTCATTTAAGTAGGGTAGCTGGTTTTATGGAAACCAAGAGCATTAAAATTTCCATGCAAGTCTTTTTTTGGTGATGTGCATGAAAAAGTGGTTCTGTTTATTTTCAGTTTACTATGCAATGATATTGGCAGTCTCTTGTTCCTCCTCTTCTTTTTATTACCTTGTTCAGCTGTGGCGCAGGTATTCAGAGGAGCCCTACATAATGTACATAAACCTAAAAACCAAAGTGCATTAGGCTAAACTGCCAACAATTTCGGAGAAAAGTAACTTCCTGACTAAACTATTCTTTAGACAGCTTACTAGAAAGCAGTTGTTTTCAATGTGAGTTTTGGGTGTTGATTATACCTTCTCATGTGATGCAAATTGTATTCTGGTCGAGACATTGTGGTACAAGGTCACACATAGCACAAGATGAGTCTCAGGATTCATCATAACTGTTTGCAACAAAATCACTGCTTTACTGTTTTGAAATTTGCCCAGACAACAACAGCTCACACAAGACTAAGATTAAACAACCACTACTGCCATGTGTCAGGGGTATACATAAGAAACACATCCAAGTGAGGACTTTTTGTACAATTTGCAGGTACTCACTCATGGAAAAAGGTCAGGCATTAGCTGCTAGATGTTCAGAATTTGATTATGCAGTTCAAAACCTTACTCAAGCAGCTTCTGTGCCAACCATACCTGTCACTGGTGCAAGGTTGGCTTTAGTTTGTTATGTTTCATCCTTTATTGTTGCCTTAAGTGTTTTTAGTTAAATTACGTACTAGTTTTTTTCCTTTACTACCATGTTTGCTACAGGAAATCAACAAATTATTCGCTTTCTTTAATATTTGAGCAACATAATAATACTGCTTATAGTACCTACCATCAGTAGTGGAAACGTTTTTAAGTTACTATTATAGGATGGTATTTCTGGAATAACATACCTTTATCTATTTGAACAAAACATCACCAGGAATTATATTAAAATAGTTCTGCAAACATAGCCAAAAAAGTCTTTTTACAGTTGACAGTTTCAACGCCTTGCCAGGAGCTTAAAATAAGCTCCACTAGGTGTAAGTTATGCAGGACGTGCAGAGTCACTCGAAACCATCAACAGTAAAACGATTTGTTTTGGCTATTATATGTTTAAGGAACTATCGTAATATATTTGACCTTTCCTAGCCTAATGAAGTTCTTCAAGAATTACAATGAATTGCTGAAGAAAGCTATTCTGAAATTGTGCTCCTTTCAGTATTACAATAGGCCAAGTAGTGGTATAATTATTTTGCTCTTATCATCCTTGTTTCAGTTATACTTAATTTATATTTGTTCTCTCTGTTGTCTTTTTCTTTTGTTAAACAAAATGCATCTTCATTGTGTTATGTGGAGATGAATAAAGATATAAACCAGAAATATACCACCACTTTAGTCAGCTGGTATAATGCCTGCTTCACTTTAATCTGATATGAGTTAACTTCAATAGTTTCTTAAAAGATCTTTTGACTCTTGTTTTAAGACCAGTGCTGAGAAATCGTCAAGTTTGCCTGCTAGTTGACAGTGAAGAACCCCTGAGAGAGAGATTTGTCAGAGTGGCTCAACAGCGAGGACTTTCAGCCAGGACAAGGAAACTTCCTGTGGGAGACTTTCTGTGGGTGCTGCTACCCCCCGGGGTGAATCCTGATACTGTCAGAGATATGCCAGAGCAAGAACTGGTGTGTAAAACATGATGGTTGTTTACCACTTACAAAAATTTTCTGGAAAATCTGGTTCCAGCCAAAAAATTTTGAGGAGCAATGGAACATCCAAAAAGGAAGTCCTGTCTTTCCGGACAGAATATTCCAAACAGAAATTTGTTCCATTCTTTCAAAGCTGTCTTTGATGCCAGTTTCAGGCCAAATGGTAACCACAATTCTGAGATCAAATTTACCAGCCCTGAATTTGTGTACCATTTGCTAAAACGGTGGACCGACTGGTTTGCCCATGTAAATGGTAAACAGCGGATGTTTTAATCATACATTAGTTGCCAGTTGAAAACAGTTTCAAGTTAGTTCATTCAATGAAAGGTCAGTTCTCCCTCTAATAAACACAATTAACTCTTCTGTTTTGTCTATTTGAGGCCCCAAATGAAGCTCTTAACAAACGTATTTCAGGATATATATTATCCTTATAATAAAGCTAGTGGATTCTGCAGTAGCAGGCTAAAACAGCGAGCATTTTCATGCCATTTAAATAGTTAATTTTCTGCTGTCTGTCTGAAACATCGTGACAGGCTCTTCAGCAGCTTCCAGCAGGTTGAGTCGGTGAAGCGCCATGTGATTGTTCATTTTTTGCAGGTTCTTCCAATGGTTGTTGAACGTAAAACATGGGATGACTTGTGGTCAAGCCTTAAAACCACACGATTTGAAAAGCAGGTCCAGAGAATGAAGGTTAACAATCAACATTTGCTTGTCAAAATGCTGCACATTGTGTTGACTGAAAAAATTACAGGATTTTAACAAAAAAACTGCCATTAGGTCAACTGAACATATTTGCTTATAACAGTCATGCAGGGTTGCGACTTTGTTGACTTTGCAGTGTCCTTGATATGACACCATTAAAGGGTTATGAAATGCTTCTGTTCTAACTTCCATTCTGTTGACACTGATCATGATTACTTGACTCTTGGGTCATACTTCACTACTTGTCTACACTGTGAGAATTGTTTAAGAAACAGTGCTCTTTGAAACGTAATGTATATGTCTACTCTTGCTGACTTGACACATCTTGAAGGATAATCACTAATGATTCAGTGTATATCTAATTCATAAACAAGTGTTTTCTTTCTTTCAGAAATGTGGCCTAGAAAATCTTTACTATTTGGTGGAGGGTAGTCCTAAAGAACTTAAAGGAAACCCTGGTCCTGAGGTGGAAGTTTACCTGCAGGTATAATCATGGTAATTAAAGAAAGGAAAGCCTGTCTGTAATAAATTAAAGCATCATGAGATTAATGTGATTGATCTTTCTAATCACATGAAACTGTGTTACTTGATTACGTTTGGCAATAATTGCCAAAAGTAATCAGGCAACACTGTTATTATTGTAATATTGTGTGAAATGTATTTTGAAGATATCTTGTGGGCATATTTTGTTTGTTATATAGATAGTCACAGCCTCAGTGGTAGTTTTATCATCCATATATTTTCTTTAAAAAAATGGTGTAAATGTGATGGCATGGATGTGATGGCATCCTGCTCTGCCCTTGTTTTATCAATCTTTGAAGGGAGAGACATGAAATTAAATTTTCTAGCTCCTCAAACTGCATCCTAAATAACATTGCAAAATGATGAAAACTACTATTTATGAAAGTCACTTAAAAAGGCAAATGATGGCCTAAATTGAAGGCGTTAAAATCTGAAGTAGGGCACAAACTAATCTAAAAAACCTAATCAAAATTCTTTTTTATATTAAAATAAAACCAATCGAAATTCTAGAAACAACTGTAAAATTTATATTTACAGTATAAAAATATGTATATTTATGTAAGAAAATTATCTTCTGGCTTGCTGCTGCAACAAAGGAATGAAGGCAGACGGCGAACCATTGCTTTGGCCAAATGGTTCCAGGCTGACTTAGTTCACACAGTTGGATGGGTTATGATACTAATCACACCCCTTAAAACCTGTAGAGGTTTTGTCAAAGCCACAAATTTGGAGTTTTTCTATTTGCATTCGGCAATGTGAATTTTGGTCACAAACATGGCAGCCAGCTGTTTCTGTTTACTACCAAATGTTACAAGTGGTGGGCTGAGAACCATAAGGACTTATCAGTGCTCGAAGTGTAAAAATTCTAGAGAGTTCAAAAATGCAGCCATCTTTGGTGCATACATTTCATTTTTTAACTCCCAAATTCATGAGAACTGTGTGTAACAAATTAGTAAAACTGATTGCTTGTTTACTTTTTGCAGACTTTTTCTTAAATCAACTGTTTTGCATTAACTTGTTATTTTCATTTGACTGAAAGGACAAAATAGACAGTCTTCTCTTAGATGATCAGTTTCTTGTGAATCGCACTGGTTCATGGCTGAAAAGTGTTGAATGGCTCTGTCATTTAACCAATATGTCCATTGAATTTCTTCAGTCAGGTAAATCACAACTCCACTTGTATATTTAGCTAGGGCCAAGAGCAAAGCCCCCATTGATATACTTACATTAAAAGCAATCAAATTGAAACTAATAACATGAACTCTAAGCCAGAAAAAAGAAATCTTCAAATCCCTATTATTAGTAGTAATTGAACTTAGGAGCCTTCGGCATAACTTTACCTTTAGAGGGAAGTGTTAAACGATTAAGAAAAAATATCCCACAAACACACCTGAAGTGAAAAAACTCTCCCAGCAAGCTAAAAGTCGCATATTTACAGAAAAAAATCACTATGTATCAAGTTTGATCCAAGTAGTAGAATTCTTCCAAACTACGTCTACATCATTGAACCCCGCTTCCACCATACCCCTTTTCGAAATTATAGAACTCTTCAGTAGCATCAATTTACAGGTTACATTTTCTAGGGTCAGTATTTCTGTCTTAAAGGGACGACCTAAAAGGAAAATCATTCAGTACCCCACTCACATGCAATTAGTAGAGGAAACAACAGTTGGCAGGTTTAAGCTGACTGTGACATTCATTAAATCAAGCGTACAATAACAAGTTCTCCTCTTTCACCAGGAGAGGAACCAAAATTGATGACATACCATGAATTTTCGCACAGTACAAAATTACAGAGAAACCTCAGTGGAACATTGCATGCCGCCCCAGGTATGTTTATTAAAAGCCTGATTTGTGATTTGGAATTTATATGGTACTTCTGATCTGTTCTACTCCAAATGTGCTAAAGATACGTTGTGTGCTTGCTTTTTGTAGCCACTGTTTGGTCAGCAACAGAATTTGCAGATGTCATAAGGAGGTATGAATAGCTTAACTGTACAGTCGTCATGATCATCATCATCATCATGTGATAAAAGTTCCTCCTTCCATCAGTAACTTATTATAATTATATGTATAATTTTCTGACTTCTTGGCAATTCCTTCTCCTTTAGTCACAAATGTGGGGGAAGGGTTCTGCATGACCTTCCTGTCAGGGAAGGAGAGGAAAGGTCTTTGGTTGTCATCCAAGGTCTCACTCTTTACAATAAGGTTAGTTTTTATTACCAGTTTCTTGAATATATTCGAAGGTCCCTATCACAGCCATTTATTAAATAACTATCTTAGACAATTTTATGATTATTGCAGTGATGCTTTGTTTTACAGCAACGTCATAAGGTACTGGACAAAGCTCTTGCAGGTCTTCTAGAGAACACACATCAAACTGCAGATGGTATGATCACAAATGCTTTTCAGCTGATCTAGTTTATAGTGAAACCTCGCTATAACGTAGGAGCACCGCCAAAATATGTTTGCTATAACAAGGTTTCGTTATATCAAGGTTCTGTCCCATTTATTTCACTATTATTGGGGTGAATAATATCATATGTTATACTAAGGACTTTGTAATATAGAGGTTCCGTTATATCAAGGTTGAGTGCTTGACTGTATACTATTTAAAAATGTTTGTAATTTCAGTGAACCATCTGAATGGTTTTTCGTTGAGTAATGACATATCTTTTATTTAGCATTTTGAGGACCACTGATGCAGTCCTAAATGACTATACAAACAATGTTTTGAACAGTGCACAGGTCTATTCAACTGGTGAAATATTTTTTGTATGCCTCAAAGAAGCGCAAACCAAAACAGGTACCTAAAATTGAAGTGCACAAGAAGAGTTTCTGTTTTTGTTTCACCATCCATTTCATTCTTGCATTCTATACATGGAATATACCTATTTCTGTATTTTTAAAAATATCTTTCACTTTTAGCTACTGTTCAAAAACATCTTGAAGGTGTGACAGATCAGCTTATTCCAGAGGATGTTACACAGTGGTACATTCTTTGGTTGCAGGTCAGTAAACTGCCAATGAAAAAATTCAATTGTATTTTTTGTGCATTGAATTTACAGTGGACTCCTCTTAATTTAGTTACCAATGGGTCAAAAAAGATTGGCCGTACAAATGGGGTGGCTAGATTACCTGGGCAGGATCAAATTTTAGGACGTAAGGGCAGTCATGAAAAATATATCACATTTGCACTTCCTTAACACCAGTACTTTTAAATTAACAACCGGAGCGATCTATGTAAATTGCAGGATCCCTAAGGGTAAATAAGAAATAAATAATCAATCAAAACACAAAGCTAAAAGTTTAAGTTCAGTGAATCAGCCAGATTAAGTAAACATGGTTCGTACAATCTTGAAAAGGTCTTGGATTTTACTAGTTGTCTTGAAAAGTACTTCATTTCTTAAATAGGTCTTCCAAAGTCCTTGACTTTCCCAACCTTGTCTACGCCAGATACCTTTTTCTGTAAAATTACATTATTTTAACGGGGAAAATTTGGCTCATCCTCGGTGTAAGAACCTGTAAAACTCACTGGTAATGTAAAAATCCAGTCCAGTTTACCAGCCGGGCCTCAATCCAAGCCAGTGCCCAGCCCTGGATACTATAATGATCAAGTTTTAAAATTATCGCTTGTGTGCAACGGTTTTGAAACCTTTGGAAAAGTCAAGTATTAGTAGGTCAGTTTGATGTCAATGCTCAATTATTGATTGTGCCAGGTGCTCGATGGTATTGATTGATTGGGTCTCCCATGACTGGTTTTGTCTGAAGCCATGTTGGTAATCAATAAGAATGTTATGATCTTCAAGACTGTTATATTCCAAGATCTTACTTGGTAGGGATTTATTGAAACTGGGCGATAATTAGCTGAATCTGTTCTAATACAGTAACTGTTAAGACTACCTTACTATAAACTTCCCTTATTACTATGAATTAAACACCTCTAAAAATTGACAAATACATTTCTGGGTGAATATAATCATCAGAATCAAACAGCTGGGTTTTTTTTGTTCCATTTTTCTTCTATTATTTTTCCTTTGAACGTAGCCAGAGACCACGTTCATAGTAGCCAGGGGGAAATCCCCAGCCCCTGCCTCTTAATGACAGTCCTGTCCTTGGGAATTTATATTGTGACCATTAGCCTTATTAACAGGTGGCCACATTAACAAGGGTTTGATGGAAGAAAAAGTGTGGCCATTTTGCCGGGCCAAAAAAGTGGCCATTATAACGAGGTGGCTGTAAGGCCGGCTCCACTGTAAATTATTCATAAATTCAGAGGTGAGTTAGTCAGTGTATATTTCTATGTACTGTGTACTATTGTAAAGGAACAGAAACACATCATGAATGTTTCAAGTCCAATCATAACGAGTGAGTTTTGAAAATACTTTTCCATACATGACATACAGGTTTTTAAAGGAGCCATGGTTCGGAGAACAGAAACTGAAGAAGAGTCAGCAGAAATCCTCTGCAAATTTTATCAGAACATATCAGGTAAGAGTCACCATGAAAAGTAAATTTTGTTACTAATACATCTATTTTTAAGCATTGTCTATGACATTTACTTATTCAACTTAAGACCTGATGCATTATCATGCCATATCTTTTTAAATCATTTCATCTATGCGTGGCGTAATAAGAAACTAATAGATGCCAATCACATTTTCTCTTTCATGGAATAGCTGCTGCAGATGTTCTGCCGTATTTTGATGATCATGTTCGTCCTGTTATGGGAGAACCAGAGCAAAATTTAGAAAGGTAAGTAGTCATCAGGGTGCAAAGAAAGTTAGTTTTACAGCTTGCCATTCGGGCAAGCTGTAGCTAACATGTACTAACCCCAAAATAATTTCAACCTGCCCGCTAGAAAGTTTTGATTAGCGGGACTGGTTGCAATTCTTCTGTGATTTGAATTCCCCAGAAACTTCCCTTGCCCATTGGGCAAGTTAAGAACAGAATTTACTAGCAGGGAGGGAAAAACAATTTACTTTTTTCAGGTCAAAGAAAAGTCAGTAAAAGTTGAAAACGTCAAGGGAAATCTAAGCTCTTGTCGCAGTAGTTGATGGATATTGATCCTCCTTATCTTTGAACGAAAATGAACAAAATGTTATTGGCGCTTTTATACCGGAGGACACATTATTGGTCCAGACTGATATCATGTTTTTCATGTTATGAGTCTGGTGTAAAGACAAGATGAATAAAACGATCTATGAGGAACAAGAACGATCTTACAGGGGCTTTCAGTCTCGCTTGCTTGGCGATTAGATCGGGAAATGAGGAGGCGATTAATTCTACACGAAACAGGATTTACTCAGGGTTCGCGCAGTCTTGAAAAGTCCTTGAATTTTAGGGGAAGTCCTCGAAAAGTCCTTGAATTCCATTTTTGCTTGAAAAGGCCTTAAATGTCTGTGCAAGTCCTTGAAAAGTCCTTGAATTTTCTTCAGTTTTAAACGTAGTGGCCTGGAAAGTGTTTTTTGATGCTTTTTGGTTGTTCAAGACAGAATATAAATCATAGCTCAGAGAATTGCTCAATGTTGCTCAATGTTTTATGCAATAATTAACCAACAGTTTAAGACCAGTGAACTGAAAAATGTAGAGAAGTTGGTGAAGCAAACAGTTCAAGCCTTATTAGAATAAACTGGGAATATGCATTTATGTACAATCTGTGAAATTATATTCCTAGTTGGTGGTCCTTGAAAAGCTAATGTGGCCCTTGAAAAGTCCTTGGAAAATACTTGCGATTTTTTGTATTAACCCTGTCACTCGCTAAAGGTTTCTTACTTTCTACTTTATCATCATCGATACTTTTTATTTGTTTCTGAATTGATTTAGTACGTGTGTTAGCGACGACCAGAAATACGTCTGCGTCCTCAGGCTATATGTGTGTATAAAGACACGAAAATTCAAGGACCTCGATTCCAGAGAAAATACATCATTGCCAGAGATCAAAGAAGTGATTTACATGGCACGTCATCTCAATCATCGCCGAAAATGAACCGAAGGCTCATCACGAGACCATTTGCATACAATGAAAGTTTTCAGCACCCGACCATCGCAGTTTTGCTAATTAAGTCGTATAGTAGTGTGTGGTCACTTGTTCCAAAGTAATCAACGCTTTGAAGCAATAGAATTCCTGGAACGACACGTTTTGGAAAAGCTCTAAATTTAATCTTTTCTAAGCTTTCTTCAAACATGCATGGCTTCGATAGCGCAACAATTCTTTTTCCACGGTCTCCCCTAAGAACGCCTGGCACATAGACCCCCCTTTGTGTCCTAAATACGAAAAAAAAGTGTCGCAGATTACGAGTCTCGCTTCTTACGTAAGCAAGACTAACACAATGCGAGATTTTACATGCAGGGAAATAAAAACGAAGAAGTGAAAATTTTGGCAGTTAACGCCGGCGTCGCAAGTGGACGTTGAGTGCCCAAGGGCCAGGGCACTACACCGGCAATCACACACCAAGGCAGAAGAATACCCGCAACCCAGCCACAAGCCCCCCTGTGCCCAGCCCCCCACTATAGCACCCGTCACACTGAGGCTAGGAGCTCAGTCGAAGTAAAATGGAAAACCCCCAGAAGGGGGGAGACCCTAAACCAAGAAAGCGGAGGGAGGAAGGGGAACCAAGAGAAATGGTACTATAACAGAACTCCACACCAACAATGCTTCGAGCACAACGCAAACACAATGTAGGCACCTGCCATGGCCTGCGCATGCACAGAAGCGACATACTGCTGGACAGGAATCTGCTCCATGCTCGCGAACAATGGTAAACGCTACAAACATTAACAAAGTCACGCAACAGAGCTACAGACAGCCAACACGCCAGCAAAGAATGCCAAAAACACTAGCGACCATAGCTCATAGTTGTTTAGTACATTAAGATTTAATAGTTTTAAACGCCCATGTCGCAAGGGGATGTTAGGGGGCCAGGGGGCTGCAACTTCAATTAAACCCCAAGAGGGAAAAACACCCACAAGCCTACCACGCTGCAACTAGGTCATGAGCCCTAAGTCCTCCTCCCCTACCCCCCGTGCCAGGCCACGGGGGCTCTGGGTTACCGAGTGCCCAAGCGTGAGGCACCTAACCCAACGCAGCCCCAAAGGTAGTGGAGATACCTGGTATACAACCAGCTGTCAGGCCACTTACTAATAGACGATGGAGCTAACTGGAGTGCAAATATAAATCTGGTAGGCATCACTAGACCACTGGCCTAGGGTCTTGGCAGATGATCCGGAACTCCCTGGCAGTGTCCGTAGTTGCTGCCCCAATGCAGAAACTATGGCCTAAATAGGAGCCAGTATTACCAGCTGAGTGCAAGATAGACTGAACTGTGGAAGACAACTGTTGCTGTGTAAGAGGGCTTCCATCACTATTAATGTAAAGAGAGGTCCTGCAGAAGAGCCATGCAAAGCCAGAAAGTCGCCCAAGTTGTGGATGGGACACACCACACCCCACATATATATCACAGCCTCACAGCCCATGCAAAACAGATCGGTCTTTGAGCTTTTGATATGAACTTTAAAACAGGTAGGGTTCACCAGCGAGTCAGTTTGCAAGTCATCAACAGTCATGGATACTAGGCTGAAATTCACCATGATTTCCCTAACTTGTAGGAAACCAAAGAAACCCAAACGGCATGCCGCCCACAGCATCACATGGTCTCTCCTGTCGAAGTCCAGTCCCTGCTGAATCGCCTGCAGATGATCCAGGGTGATAGAGAGGCATCTGGGTGACAATGGACCGTGAACCCGCTTTATTCCTGTGAGCACATGCTTCGAATTTGGCAGTTGATGAAAGGATCCGACAAGTCATGGTCAATGTGAAGGGAGCATACTGCAGACAAGTATACTTAAATAGATGCGTGGGTCAAGTTGTTGGCCAAGAGTGTAGCAAAGCACATGAGAGTCTCCTCATTGGCAGGAGGGAAGGAGCCATCCCTGTTAAGGTAACCGTCCCAGCGGCAAAAGTCAATATAGTGACGTTGAGAAGAGATAAACATGCCAAGTGGAAGGCATGAGTCCTTGGGTAAGCAGAAACTGACACCTCAGGGTCAAGTCTTCGGAAGTGCTACCAGAAGCGACTCGGGAATCATGTGTGGAGTCAGGTGAGCTTGACGTGACCGATGATGAAAATGATGAAATTGAAAGCATGAGAGGGAATCAGCTAGTGGATTGGCCTTGCCACAAACTGAAGATGCAGTAAACATAAATGAGTGGCATGTAGCCAGCAAGGATAAATGATGCAGCAACCCCATCAAGTGTTGGTCCCGTGAAGACACAGACTTAAGTACAGCCACCAGTGACTCATTGTCGCACAGGAACTCAAACCTGCTGAGAGAACCACTGAGAACCCTATAAGGCGTTGGCTACAATGATGGGGAGAGCGCCTTGTACCTGATCAATAACGACCTTTGCTCCATTGCCCAAGCACAGCAAAATGACCAGGCGTTAAAGATCGTGCCATTGCCCAGTGAGCCTACAGCATTCAAGGAGACTTGGAAGTCTGGGACGGGCGCCCACATGGGCATGCAAAAGAAACTGAGGCCATCCCTGGTCTGAAAAAGCTTTTGCCACCAGGTAAGGTCCCAACGGAATTCTTGGTTCATCCTGATGGGGGTGATCGTGGAGGCGGAAGGCTCTAAGCAAGTCAATCATCCAAGAAATGTCCTCCCTTATGGGGCAACCTTGCAGATGTGAGGGAGGTGACCAATCAAGGATTCTAAATTCTGCCTCTTACAGAATTGGATCACTCCTCAAGTAATGCAACAATCCAGTCTCTTTTCTCTGTGGGTAGGCAAGCCTGAAGCCTAGCGGAGTCAAGTTCAATCCCGAGGATACTTAAGCAAGTGGCAGGTCCCTCTAATTTGTCAGGACGAAGGAGAAGGCCTTGCCTGTCGCGAAGGCGAACAAAGGTAAGTAGACAGGTTTGCCAAGGGTAAAAAAGTCATCTAGGTAGTGGCGTAGGAAGTCCACACCACAACTTTGAACCAGCATCCATTCAACCAGGTCCGCAATGGAAGTGAAAGTAAAGAGTGCTAAGCACAGCCCAAATGAGAGAACCATATTGACAAAGTAAAGCCCATGCCACCGCATCCCAGGTAAGGGGGGATCGTCTGGATGGAAAGCCTCGTTCCTGTATGCACTAGCCACATCAAACTTAGCCATCAGCATTCCGTGACCCTGGGCCATGATGCCCCCAATAACTGCATTGACTGAAACGTACTGTACTGTGAAGGAAAGGTTGGGGATGCCATTGTTGTTGTTGTGCCCAGCAGGTGATAAGAGGTCAAGGATGAGACGCCACTTGTCTGGTTGATTGTTCTTGGGAATGACCCCAGCTGATATGTAGAGAAGGAAAGGTTGAAAAGGTGCCGACCACCCTGCCAGAGGAAACTTTGGTCTGCAAGTACGAGTCTATCACTAAAGGGTGCTCGAAGGAGGAACACATGTTTGACAACTCAGACGTAAGATTGACCATGGATGCCTCAAAGCCAATACAAAAACCTTCGTTTATTCTGGAAATCACATAGGCCACTGCTGCCTGGTTGGATGATGCTGCAATTCTGTCTGAAATTGATCTAGCCACAGAGGAGAGACTAGGGCTAATGACGAGAAAGAACAAACGAAAACTGCAATGCTGGGTATGCTAACTGGAACTATAACAGAACAAGACGTCTTAACCATATTACGCTGCCGGCCTGGCGACACAACAAAACTATTTACACTGCGTACACAGGCCTTGCCGGGCATAACCACCCATTCAGTACCTTCCCCCCTCCCAATGGGTGGGGGAAACCGGGATCGTGCGCTAGAAGAGTGGGAAAATGGGCAGTTGATGTTGGTGTGATTACCTTCACAGTTGCTGCAGCAATGTCAAAATTTGCACCTGTCAAAAGGCCAGCTGCACTGCCAATTGTTCAATGCATGACAAAAAGGAGGGACCAGGTTGGTGTCATGGGAGGTGGCAGCTACGAGATAGAGCTGATGCCGCAGAAGGAGATGGCAGAGGTAGCCGGGTTGAAGCCAGGGCTGGAGACCTGAAAATTGTATAGTAACTATACAATTTCTAAGTTCATCCTAGACCAGTTGCCGAGGCCAGAGGCAGCTGCATCTTTCTAAATGCCAGGTCATACTCTAACCAGGCCGAACCAGAGAAATGATGAATCGTTTGAATGATGAGTAGCTTATACTTGGTTAGACTGAGCCAATCATAAGGGTGAATTATGCACAACACCATCTAAAAAATAGTGAAGGCTTCGGTCCAAGTCCAAATGTCTTATATTTCCACTTGCCTGCATTTTGATGAAGAAACCAGGAGCTCACCATCAAGGAACATTTGCGGCTCCTGCTCTACCGCTCAGAGATTCGCGGACAACAAATCTGCCAATTTGACAACCTGGCCACCTATAATTTTAGACACCAGTTTTGAAGGAATAGGGGCATGCCCTGGACCAACAATAAAAGTCTTCTCCAACTTAAGTGATGCAAACGAATACTCAAGGCTTGGAAGATTGCTAGGAATGCGGGTGAAATGAAATTGGAGGGAGTAGGAGCCACGTGGCGGGTGTAGCTCAAGACGGTAATGGCCAACACTGGCGTAGACTTAGCAACAAACGCAGGAAGGGTAAATGTACCTGACGCCACTGAAGAAACACTTTCACTTGTACTCACACAAACAGCGGACGCTGAAGAAAAGAAAGGTCGTGGTGCCGCACTAGCAGAATCGCCTGGAACCTGAGAAGAAATGCGCAAGGAGGCATTATTGCTCTGGATCGATGAAGTAATGGCGGGAATGGAGTTTTTAGTTGCTCGAACCACAGTCTCTGTGAAGGAGTCACCCAACTGAGGTGACCAAGAACTGGAAGCCGTACTCGTCACAGGACTTTCAGATGTTGCTGTAGACGGAAGTGAGTCTGGGGTAGGAAAGCCCACAGATAAGCTGTTGTTGGTCAAGCGCGATGGAAATGCAAATTAAAAACTCTCCAGCGGAGGACGAACTACAACAGGAACTACAAGGAACAACGGTAACAAAAACCACGTCATCCTGAAAAGCTTTTGCACAGAACCAAAAAGGATGCCATGATACTCAAACAGAACACCAAGCCAACCAAAATTTGGGTAGAACCAAGAGAAGTGCTACGCTACTATAACAGAACGCCATGCGAACAACATTTCGAGTACAATGCAAACACAATGTAGGCACCTGCCATGGCCTGCGCATGCACGGAAGCGACATAGCACCGGACAGGAATCTGCCCCCATGCTCACGAGCAATGGTAAACACTACAAACGCTAACAAAGTCATGCGACGGCGCTACAGACAGCCAACACGCCACCAAAGAACGCCAGAAACACTAGATACTTACTCTTCCCTAACTGGCTCATCCATTTTGCGCTACAAAATAAACTGATTACCAAATAAAATCAAAGAAGCAGCAAATTCAGATGACCTCTCAGGAACTGTACTTCAGATTGTCCTTCTCTGGTGCATTTCGATCCTCTGCCCATGATCTCTTCTCACCACAGTGACTGCACATTCAATAGGGAGCTTTTAACAATCCATTTTTGAGATACGCAGTCGTCAACTGGAACTGAACGTGTTTTCCCTTTAATAAGCTTTGACATTTCCAAATTTGTATTGCTAAATGTCCTTACTCTTATAAAAAACAATTTACGAAAAACACTTTTCACAAATGCCAAAACTGCACTTCCAATTGCACTCAAGTCCCATTTAAACTACAAAAAAACCGGGTGCGGACCCATTGAAAAGAGGTCCGGACCAATTTTTTTTAAACGTTTACACTGGTAACAATCAGGTTAGGCTTATGATTGAAAAGTGCAATAGTGCACATGCGCAAAACCACCGTAGAGCACGGCAGGCTCACATGAAGAAGATAGTACTGAACGAAGATGCATTTACACAGTGCTTTCGAACAGCAAAAGGGGTCCGGAGTTGTTGTTTTTTTTTTTGGTGTTGCTATGGCCCCAAAACTAGAAAAAAGCGAGTCAGGATCCATTTCATGAAAACATGGTACAGAAGGTTTACGCAGCAAAAATATCTGGTCCATACCAATTTTTTTATGGGTCCAGACCCATTTTTTCTGTAGTATAAATGGGGCTTCAGTTTCCTATAAGCCCAAAATAACATCCTCGCCCGCCGACTAATCGGTGTTCTGCAAATATACCCCCGCCAAAACATAAAGTTGCCACTTGCCCAAATTAAAAATATAAACCCACAAATCACCGATCTTTGACTTTTATGCATCAGTCTCGTCTGCATGATCTAACGGGGCAAAGATAAGTCACTACAAACCCTGGGCAAGCCATTTTCTCCTCCTGGGATAAACTAACAGCTTGAGCTGATCTCGAGAAATTGACTATTAACTTTGTGGTTAGCTCCTTAAAGCTCTGGCACTCTACAGTATTATTTGGATTATTTGTGAGTATCTGACTACAAAGCCTGCACACTAGCTGGTGCAGCTCAGTGCAGTTTTACTTTGAATAAAACATTAACAAAGGTTTTCATGATTCATATGATTGAAAAACAAATGTTTGGCTTTCTTGTTAGGCTACCCGATGAAGATCTTTTGTTTGCAAATGATTCACAGGAAGAGGGTGCAATGATCCGTCAGGTAAACCGTTGTTATTGATAGCTTGTATTATTATCACCTACAAGAGTAGTGTCTTAATTAATGAGGGATATATTTTCAAAGGGTATTCAATCAAATGACACCATTGGCACTGGCATTAAGGCCCCCTATTTACAGACCTTCCTCAAGTCAAGTACTCTCGTGGATGGTGTTGCCTGTCCCTAAATGTTTCTATATCCTAACTTGAGGGTGAGGGAGGTGTTTTAAACCAAGCTTCTGTTAGTCAAGCCACAAACCGTGGACAAAAAGGTCTGCCTTGATGGGAATGAGGACTTCTTGACACTGAGGATGAGTTAAGAAAGGCTATTGTGGCCTTTTGTAAGGAGACCTTTTATGGTGTCTGTTGTATACTAGCTCCTCGAGAGGTGCTCACCTTATAGATAAATAATATCTAAAGAATAGCATAGGCCAACTTTAGGTGTCGGTTTAGGGAATTGTCCATGTTGTAGCCTGTTTGGGCTCATTAGAGCATTATGTTAAATTTCATGGGTATTAATGAGACAATGAGACCTTAGGAAAAAAGTGTAAGATTGTTGCATTTGATGATTCATTAACTGTCGTTTCAGTAGACACATACGTTTATGTTTTCAAGCACCATGAGCTCAGGATATGAGCGCTATATAAATAAGGTTATTATTATTACCTTGATATACTTTATCTTAATAATACACTGGGGACCAACAGTGGTGCAGTGGTGAGAGCACTCGCCCCCCACCAATGTGGCCCAGGTCTAAGTCCCAGCTGGGATACCATATGTGGGTTAATTGAGTTTGTTGCTTGTTCTCTACCTTATTGTCGGAGAAATTTTTCTCTGGGTACTCTGATTTTTCCCTCTCCTCAAAAATCAGCAATTCCAAATTCCAAATCGATCTTGAAGGCCTAGAGTTCTTAAGAAGTCCTAAGTGCTTCATGGGTAAACAAATAAAAATTACAGTACCGTGCTGATTGTTTAATGATAGTTGAAAGAACAAAGAAAAACTCGAAAGTAAGCAGGAGCAGAAGTTTTGTCTCAATCTAGACATCTGTGGCATACACCATATTTTACTTGGCTAACAAAAACCGTTTGTATCCAGCCAGCTCTTGACGTGTGCTGCTGTCTTGAAAGGCTTGTGAAGATTAGATAATGATAAGGTTTAATGGCTGCTACGTAGTCCCATGAAAAAACTATTTTTCTTTTTCGTAGGCCTTAAGAGCATCGCAGTATGAAGAGAAAATGCCATCTGAAGTAAGAGAGCTTATTTTTTGTCCTTATTTTGTTTAGCTACACGTGCAAATTAAAATATGTCTTTACAATTTGTTTTCACTGCTTTGCTGTTTTGTGTTTTCCTGACTCCGTTTTGATTTATTTGTGGCCAATGCTGTCCATTGCCATTAGGTTAACTAGTTTTTATTATTGTGAGCTAAGACGTCTTTCATTTGTCATTTAAGGATGTGTCACACTTGCCTCCAGTTATACCACCAACTAGCTCTACTACAACGGGACCTGTCCCTAGCATTTCAGATGATGGGGCACAGAGGTTTTCTTTGAGTGAAGAGGAACAATTAGAGTTGGCCTTGAAACTCAGCGCAGCAGAAAATGCAATGGCAGGGCACTGCAAATCTCCCGTAACAACAGCAGTTAAACCTTTTGAATCACATGAACATAAAAGTAGCTCTCACAACCCAATTTTTCTTAATAGTAAAACAGAGGTTTCAGACTCAGGTCGTTCAGCTGATTGTGTTGATAAAAAGGGAAATGGAAGTACAGATTGTGAGCTTGAGGAAGTACTTAAACTGAGTCTGGAAGAGTTTAAAAGTGAAAGGCAAGGTCAGGTTAATAAAGATAATGTTTCTGGAGATATGGATAACGATTTGGAGAAAGCTTTGGAGTTGAGCAGAATAGAGTATGAACAATCAAAGAGAATGGAGAGCGGCAAAATGGAAAAGCAAGATGAAAAATTTGGCACATCATTTGTCAGAGATACTCAGCTACAAACTGCACTACAATTGAGTGAGATGGAAAGAGGATCCAAAGATAAGGAACAGGGAACACCAGGTTCTCAAGACAGTGATCTTGAGAGGGCGTTGGTTTTGAGCAGAATTGAATTTACCCAAGGCGGCTATAATTCCCTGAATAAGGTTGCTAAATGCTCAGACTCTGATGTTGTAATTGTGGAAAAAAGTCAGAAGGTTCTGCCATCAAGAGGTGATGAAATGATTGACAGTTATATCCCTTCAAGTGTCCCATCTGATGATGATTGGGAAGAAGGAAGCAGTAATCACAATCATGGAGTTTTTGGTGCTTTAAGTCCTAACTCAAAGGGCAACTCAAAAGATTGTGCAATATTATTGGATTCACAGGAACCACTTGATGACACCGAGGATGATTTTGAATTTGCGCTTAAGGTACAGGAAGACCTCAATAAAGAGGTAAAGGCAAGTCCTAGGCACCATCATGACTCGTCTGATAAGAAGGTGACTACCGGCTCTAAGCTTAAGGAGCAAATTATTGATTGCACTGAGGACGATTTTGCATTTGCGCTAAAGGTACAGGAAGACCTCAATAAAGAGGTAAAGGCACGTCCTAGGTACCCTCATGACTCACCTGATAAAAAGGCGACTAGTAGCTCAAAGCTTCAGGAGCAAATTGTCGGTTACAGAAAATCACAAAAAGAAAAATTTAGTACATGCTCTGGACAGAGAGAAAAGTCTTCTTCTGGGGTTGATTTCAGGAAGAATGTGGCTGCAATTGCTTGTGGAAAACCTGTGAAAATTGGTGTGGCAAGCCCCATCAGTAGGCCATGCCATGAATCAGCAAAGGTTTTGGGAGGAAGGCCTGCATCTTTGATCAGTGGATTATCTGACAGAAGCAATAATGGGTCGCTTGGTTCTCCTAGAAAGCGTTTTTGTTCCAAAGATGATGTCTGTATAGTAAGGTAAGAAAGCATTGTTCAGGCAAGGTCATTGTTTCCCTTGTTTGTGAGATGTTCTGTAATGGACCAACTGTTACCTTTTTTACACTTACCGCCAATCACATCCAAACTTTTTTTTGACTAATTCGTGTAGAAAAGTTGATGGATCCCAGTTATCACAGCAAAGTCAAAACAATTCTTGTGGAAAATTTATAAACTCAGCGTATCTTCAGTTTATTAAGACTAACATTGTTTATTATTGTGAATTAATCATATGCTTTCAAATTTGTTTTTATTTGCTGATGTTCTTTAAAATCCCATTGGAACTTTTAACAGAATGTTTTTTTGGCTTGATTGGCATCCACCAAATTCCACTTTGGGTGTGTGAAATTTTGGTGCAAAGGTCATATGGTGTTTGTTTAAATACTTTGAGATTATTGATTTTCACAAACTAGCTGCTTGGCCTTCTTGAACATATCTGTTAGATTCATAACCTTGGGGAAACAGAAAACTGTTGTTTTAAATTTCTAGGTTTGGGGATTTCCTTATGTCTTTTGTTTTTAAGGGATGATATAACGGTATGTAAGGCTGTTGGTATGCCTTCCTCTTCCTCTCTGGAAAAAAGCAGTGTCAGGACCCCTTTATGCCAGGCTGCAATTTCATCATCTCCAAGACCATTTTCACCTTCATCCAGGTTTGTATATTGTAGTCCTGGAAACCAGGGCCGGGGATCGGGAATTTTCCTTGGCTACCGCAAAATCTCTGGTTACCTTCACAGAAACAAAAGGAAAGCAGAACCAAAAGAACTTCCTAGCTGCTCAGTTCCCCAACTACAAATTGCATATACCCAGCAATTTGAAATCTTAGTTAGGGCCCTGCCTGAAAACAAATGATTAAATCATAATATTCAGACAGTGTCTAAGTGTACATTCATTAGATATGACATACTGTGACTATTTCCCTGATTTGGAAAAGAGTGTTTTCATGTAGGTGGTTACATGGCTTTTTGCTGATGAAGTTAGTTAAATTACTGCTGATAGCTCACTGGAATGTTACAGAACCCAAGTTACAGAAGTTGTGGCCAGCTTTATGTCTTGGAGCATTGCACGGTGAAAAGTGAAGCATTGCTGGAATATACATGGAACTCTTCATAGTCCAAATATTTTGTAGATACTAAAATGTCGTGGGGGTGTTGTTTAATCCAAATGGCACAAGTATGATGAAATGTATATGGTGCGTTACATATTCCAAGTGGCATGAACCTCCTTAAAGGTAGTTGGCAAAAATCCCAATAGGCGGGTGAAATAATGAAATTTTCTCCATATGGCATGTCCATACATGTAACAAACTGAAACTAACTATAGCTGAATAGAACAGTGGCCCTCAAACACCGTTTCATTCCAAGCATTACATCTACATCCATTGTCAATGAGTTTGATGCCATATACCCATGGGACAATGCTGCAAGAAAACTCAGATTACCTGAGCTTATATTTTTCATTTTGAGTAAATTTTAGGTTTTATTAACTGTAAACTGACTTATCTGGTTTGGTTGCAGCACTTTTGAAAGAGTCCACAGACGCATTTCTTCTTCTTTGTCGGGACCTTGTTCGGTTAGTTTTAATTACATAATTTATCACTTAGTGGTGGTTGCTGTTAATTCAAAAATCACATTCAACAGTTTTGATTCTAAAGAAAAATGGTTTTCCATTGTTACTTATTCTTCATTTGTTTAAATTTTCTTTATGTTGCAACTGTTGATGGAAGTAGCATCTTCTCAGTATTTGTTCTCTATTTCAATCCTCCTACACTCCTCTCTATTTCTTTAATGAACAGTTGTTAAGTGGTCCATCTTTCCGGGGTTGTGTAAACAGACTAGAAAAGGGATTGATATGGGTCATCAGAACAGAGACACCTGCTTTGAGCAGACACTGATGGGACTGTCTATTGTCCCCTTATAGGGGTGTCTACTTACCCAAGAATTGTTTCATGGAAAATGTGTGGGACATTCGAAAGGTGACCAGCTCACCTCCCTCTCGTCTACTTTACCTTATGCAGTATAGTTAATGCAGGTGTCAGGATAACTGGCCTAAGCTATTGTGGCATCCCTCTCAGTCTAGATAAGCTAGTAAAATGATTAAATGTGATATTTCTGAGCAAGTATATATTTGAAACATGGTGTTGCCTTTTGCAGTCATCCCCTTCCACTGGTTCTTCATCAGTTATGCCATTCTCCAGTGGCTTGAATCCTGCAACTCAGTGTAAAAGCAGTGGGGACAAGCCAGTGGGGCCAAAGTGTGGTGCTTGTGGAGAAATAGGTCATAATAAAAATTCCAAGATATGTCCACAGTACTTCTCTGAAGAAGCTGTTCAGAGAAGAGAGGTATTGAAAACAGCAGTAAAGTAGTTATGAAGGTGCTGGGGGTCTGAAGGAGTTTTTTTAGTTACAGCATGAAAAGTCTTCATTGCAGCTGAACTATTTTGTTTCTGTTAGAAACTGTTGGATTATGTTTAAGAACGTTGATTGACATTGATTCTTTTTCATTGATTTGAAAGCGTTATTTCAAACCAGTTTTTTCAGTTGAATCGAAGTGAGATAGAAGTTTGTAGTCTGTTTATAAGTCCGCTTACCTGAAGAATGTTTAAAGAATCTGCTAACCTGTAAAGTGCGACTGTTACAATGACCCGCCACAGGAGTTAGTTTACATTGAAGTTTTCTGAATTTAGCTACAAGATTAAGACTATAAATGTATTTCTTTAGATCGAATGATAATTATTATTGAAGCTTGACTTGATGTTATGCGGTTTGTGGTGGTCATTTGAGCTAACCAGTTCCAAGGGAAACAAACAAAATGATAACCCTGCAACCTTCCTTTGGGAAAGTTGGCCTTCTAAGTGGTTCTTTTCACAGAATATTGTATCCCATAATTGTCTGAGGCTTGTTTGAACACTAGATAAGAAAAAAGCAAAACTTTTGGTTACAACTTGAAATAGATAACTTTACAAAGTTTTATGTAATAAAGCCACTTTTCATTTTACCAGGAGCAATCAAGGAAAAGAAAGGCAAAGAGAGAAGAGGAGGAGAGGGAAGTCAATGATCAGTTAGGTGCTCTGGTATGTGATGTACATATTGAATTATTCATGTGTTCTACAGTGTTGTTAGTAGCTAGTAGTAGTGAACTTTATTAACGTGTCAAGAAACTCTAGCGCATAGCACAAATAATTGGTGACACAAAAATAAAAATAAAATAAATATATAAATAAATAAAAAACAAATATTAAAATAGTGTTAAAATAACGTTAAGATAGAAAAGCAAATAGTAAAAACTACGGAGGTTAAAAATGTAAACCTATTTACACGTAAAAAAAAGATGTATGTACATGATAAATTTTGCTTTGTAACATAGGGTCTCAAAGTTAGTTATTACAAAGCATGCAATTTCTACAGCCATCTTCAAATAAGGCAGTCAGGACTGTTCTCCTAATTTTAGTCTTACGTTTGCACAGACTGTCCTCGGCACATAATTACTTTGTAAGTTTCGACCAGACCAGTATCTTAAAGAATGCTTTCTATATTTGATCATATTTTCTATATTTGTTGTTTATTCCATTGTATTTCTAGACAAAACCACAGACAGCATAATCAAATAAACAAGTTATGTAATTTGTAATAAATAGTTACATTTTAATGAGTCCCTCCTAAGAACAGTCCAAGGGTTGAAAGATCACAACAATTTAACTTTTTTTTCAGGCCGCCCAAAGAGTGTTAATTGAAGACCGGACCCGAGTGTTAGCAGAGGAACAAGAACAACTTCGTCAGCAGCTTCAGAACATGGCAAATACACAAAAGAAAGTTGAAGATGCTATAAAGAAAAGAAGAAAGCGGTAGTATAAAAAAAAATTATACAAGTGGGAAACCCAGTTAGTCAAAATTTCATCATAGCATAGCATTTTAAAGGAAAGATAACTGTGTAAGACTTTGTTTTGTTTCCGCTGTTAGCAATTTCGAAGGCTTAGTTTGTGGGGTGTTTTCATGAAACATTGTATGCTTCATAAATGTTGAAAATTATAACCTTTCATGAAATGACTTCTGTAATGGGTTTATACATTGCCCCTGTTTTTAATCAAAGATCAGTATTAGTTTGTGGTTTATCTAGTACTTATCTCTATAAGACTTGTACTGTTTCAGTTTAGTATTCCATTATAATGTACCACTAGTCATGTTCCAGTTTGTTTTCAAACAGTCAAGTTCCATGACTGGGCTTGAATAATGCAGATTCAAATGAAAATACGACAGGAAGTGATCTTTTTTTAATTCTCATCAGTGTAGATCCAGAAGTGGAGTGCCAGTTGGCTTTTAGTCCATCCAAGGCACTTGAAGAGTGTTTTTAATTATTAGGCATTCAGGTGTAAAGCATCTGTAATACTCCATTGTGTCATTTGGATATCCTAATAGAACACTATTTAATAATTGTATTTTGATTTTGATAAGAGAGGCCAATTAATTTTTATATCATATTTTAGTGAATCATAATTTATATTTTTCAAAAAATAGTTGACTTATGGTACTTTGAGGAACTTTTAAGAAAATATCATTTTAGATCATAGAAATTAGTAGGAAAATTTTAATCAACCTTTTTAGCTTGTTTGTTTCGTTTTCCCACGTGCATATGTATGCATAATCAATTTATGAGAAGACAAAAGGCAAATTCCCTGGAGAAACAGAATTGAGAAAAAACATCCAAGCTAAAAAGGTATATTCCTGCAGGTTTGCAACAAATTAAGAAATATGTTTCAAGTAGAGTAAAATATTTTCAACTTAATTCTTTTAAGGATTTTCCATTGTTACAGTTGGAACCTGTTAATATCACCGCCATTTTAGCTACTCCATCCTGTTTGTTCATGGGCCACCCTATCCTTAATAAGACGGCCTCATTTAAAAAAATATTAATAACAATTTTCAATTTGTTACTTTTTGTCTCACTTATTACTAGACGATTCTCAGCCCAAAAAAGAAGGTCACTTATTTTAACTGTGTAAAAACTCTGTAATCACAGTTACTTATTATCCGTCTCTTTCTAGTATAAACAGTTGTTATTCCTACTTTGAAATTTAACCCGATAATGTAAATTAATGGCAGTGCCGTAGCCAGACCAAACGGCCAACCGAGGCAGGCGGGAGTTGCTAGGGGGGGTTCGGGGGCATGCCCCCCCCGAGAAATTTTGAACTTTAGTCTCTCGGAAATGCGATTTGCAGCGTTTTCTGGGCCTTTCGGTAACTTTTTTTCGAGTTAATTTAAGTGGAATTTAAAAAGCAATAATCAGAAACAAGCTACATAATCTGGGTGACCGTTAACCTCGCCAATGGTTTTGATCAGTATTTGTTCAAAAAAAATTTGAGTTAACGTACGTAGCCCCTTGAGATCGATGATATGGTAATTTTTTCATAGTATATTGACTGAATTGCTGAATTCTTTGTAACATCATGATGCGTTAAAAATATCCGATGATCGCTTATGTAAAATAAAAATGATCGGCGAAATTCGTCAAAATTTTACCGAGGCGAGTGCCTCGGTTGGTCTCATACTAGCTACGGCGCTGCATTACAACATTTATGTTCACTTGTCAAGATCCCGTAGGGCTTTGCAGATCCCAACCAACAGATACCTTGCTATATAATATTTCAAAATTTGTTTCACATTTTTATTCCATGTTGAGGATCATTGTTTTCCGGCATGGCAACTTAAACCAATAAGTTGAGAATTATTGTTAAACAGTCTTATAAACGTTCATCCATATTGACGTTGTATATCTTAAAGGCATATCACGGTTCCTGTTGTACCAACCATTGTGGTTGCAGCTTTATTTAGTTTATTAAAATGGAATGGAAGTTTATGTTAGTTCCTTTTTTATTGAGTTGGGATTGGGGGGAGTTTAAAGGTGAATCGCATAATTAAGTAAAATCTCGCGTTCTGATTGGTTAACGAAGCGAGGTATTTAGTGTGGAATTGCGAGTTGAAAACGAGGCTAAGCGATATTGTTTCGCATCTACGTAACAACTATCGTCAAATTCTAACACAACAACATGCAAAAAAAGTTTTCTACAATGTCATTTTAAAATGTTTTCAAAACCATTCATTGTCACTTTTTGAAAAGTTAAAAACAAACAAAAGCGTTTTTTAAAGTGAGCCGGAGGTTCTTCCTTGTTTTGAACTGAACTACAGATTCTCGAAGAGAGATAAAACCTCTTTCACTCCCGACAACGAGAAAACAAGAAAATCCTGTGAACACGGCCCAGAAAATGGCAATCCAAAGTTCAACCAAACAAAACGGAGCAGCGACAACGGAGGAAGTGCCGGGGTCGATTGTCCCAGAAGAAAGAAGAAGAAATAAATACCTTCAAAGAGGACATGGCCCCTGAAAACACGAAAAAGAGTACGCCGCTTGCAATCGTCCTGAATCGTGGTACTTAGAAAAGTACAAAACAGAGCTGAACTTGAACAGCATTTCTAAAACATTTCAAGGTACTTACCTTATGTCAATCGCGACGTTAAACATGTTAAACTTTCAGTGCTTTCGCTTGGACACTTGATTTCTTTCAGTTTTGCCGCCGAAGAGGTAGAAGGTGTAAATTATTTGCCTTCTCGAGCAAATGACCAATTTGAAAAAAGACGTTCTACATAAACGGCTTCTAAATTCAGTAAAATACCTCTATTTATCCTTACGATTAGTGTGAAGCTTGTTTACATGTAAAAAAGTTTGAAAACAAATGTAAAAACAAGCACAAGGTACAAAAAAAGTTGTCGAAGGTTCAAACGTGTACGACTGACCTTGCTTCCTATTCGCTAACGCAATGACAGTTCTGACAGTTGACTTTGAAATGGCTTTCTGGAGCGCGCGCTCAGGATAAAAACAAACAATATTATTGCTTTCGTCTTTTTTTTTCTTCTGATTTTTATTCAATTATGCGATTCAAGGAAAATTCATTACCTGACTCGAGAATTCCACGTTAAATTGTACTTGAAAACCGATATCGCACTCATCGCTTCGCGATTCGTGCGATATCGGTTTTCGCGTGCAATTTAACGTGGAATTCCCTCGTCAGGTAATGAATTTTCCTATAGAATCTTTCTTTACGGGGTTAGAGACAAAAGACAAAATGCACGCTGTCTTGTTTTAAAGCATTTATTGGCAGTTTCAATAACGCAAATTTACGTTATAGTCATTGCTTTTGTTTAAATGAAGTACAGACAAATTTCCAAATCAAACCAGACTCGCATGAAATTTTAAACCCTATCTAGGATAGACTCACATGGTAATATATTTATACCATGTTTAGCAAGAGAGGGCAAAAACCATATCCTGTCAGGTGGCATAACCACGTTTAAGCCATATAAGGGAGTACACCCCAAACCCCCCCCCCCTCCCCTCCCATACCTAGTCATTTTTCCACAAATGTAGGAAGATCATGAAATACGGTTTGTGGGACAGTATTCTTTAATTTATAACTTTCATTTGACACAAAAATTTCTCTTTTAATTAAAGTGAATGTAGTAATCAATCTCTTGTATGATAAACGTGAAAAGATAAGCAGTTGAGAGGTCATATCCAGCTTAAGAAGAGAGCTTAATTTTCAAAACGTTACCCACTGTGGTAAAAATATTAACCTGTTACAGCTGCTGATGGAACCCTAACACATTCCTCGTGTATGCCAGAAAGGAAACCTCATATTAAAATGTTATATATTGTAGTAAAATGTGTATTTGCTAAAGCTGGAATTATGTCAAAGTATCTATTTGGTGTACTCTTCTTTACCCTCCCATGGTGTATTTTTACATACAGATCAACTCTAACAGCCCAAGTACGTGTTATCAAAAAAATTGTGTGGGAAAAACATTTTAAGTTAATTTTGATTCCAAATGCTATTGACATGTTCTTTTTATAGGCATTTTCAATTGATAGTGATTGTCATGTTTTGGCTAGCATTTAAAATAATATTTTATGAAAAAACAGATTTCCTCATAGGATTAACACGAAACTAAGCTTTTAACAGACAAACCGCAATTATACTGCATTTTAAATGCTTTTTCACCTAAGAACCATTAAAGATAGAAACAAAAAGGTATTTTAAAAAGATAAGTGACCTCACGAGAGTAAATACACAAGCACACATTATCTATTTGAAAGGTGTATATGACTGTATGTACTATCAGTAGCAAAGTAAATGACATTCAAAATGATTATTTCTTATGCAGAAACCAAAATCAATATTATTTTTCAACCAAAACTTTAAAATGTAAAACAATACCATATTTGAATTTGTCTTCGTGGTAGTTTGAATATTCTGCAGAGGAAAGACAGAGTTTTCAAACACAAGTGATCAATATGAAGATAGAACTTTTCGCTAAAAATGTTTAATTTTCTCCTTTTTTCATTAACATCTACATGTATGCAAAATTAGGGAATAAACAAATTAAGATGTCTATATTCAGACTTTTTGCCCAAAGCGTAACATGAACATGTTTAAAATTCCCAATTTTTTCAACAAAAGTAGTGTAACACTGAAGAGAAATATTTTTTATTAAATGTCAAAAAAGCAAACATTGCCTACTAGTTTATAAAACTACACCTTATATCAATGAATTGTATGTCTTTTTTCTTTTTCACATCCTCTATAAAAGTTTAAATTTTATCAATGATTGTGTCTATTATCACAGGATGCTCACTGTGAGCTGCATGTTGGAGCTCTGTGTGAATAATTCACAGATTTTTTGTTATCATTCCTTGTATATCAAGCTCTTTTAATATCAAATTCACAAATTTCACAACAAAGTGAGAAATTTGCATGTAAATAAGCTATACTCTGTACATTTTGTACTTAAGTACAATGCTTTTGATGCTGGTAATTTACAACATGCTTTGTAGCTATCCACTAGAAAACAGCATATTCCAACGCTTCATAGACATGTTATTCAAGTTTGACAATGGGTGAAAGCTGTATCAGTTATTTTTCTAGCTTGTTTGCCAAGTTCCTAGTATCAACTTCATAAGTCAATACAAATATTTCAACCAAAATTTTTCTAGATGCAAACTTTCTGATATTTGTCGCCTCTGGACTGGACTCCCATTGGCAAACAGCATTTGTTTTTACAATGTTATCGGCCCCCCAAAATATGTGTAATTATGGAACATCAGTGGCATTTTGGTTGGGGTAAGGCTAAACTTGTAAGTGTAAGTGATTTTGGTTGACAGAAAAATCAAAAATGGTTAAATATGTTGTTTTAGAGAGTCAAGAGATGTTAAACCCTATACCAGCCTGGGCAGAAATCTGGGCCTGTGCACTTGGCAGACGTTGTGCTGCACAATTACATGTTGAATTTCACTGCCGCTGCAAGGTTTGACATTGGGTGGAACTGAAAAAGTGTTTCACATTCAACACTCGCTGGTGCAAGTGCCCAAGTTGATATTTCAGCCTGTCTGACCAGGCTGAAATTACCAGTCCAGTTTGTGACATCCAGGCTGGAAATTAAGGTTAAATAAAATGAAATCACAAAGTAAGGTCGTTTTTTAGAAAATCTGCTCAGAAAACCAAGCTGAAATCTTAGCCTGGCTAAGCAGGCTGAAATTGATCACTGCCTTAAACGGGTTAAACATTACTCTGTTCACGCACAAACAAAAATTCGTGGTTTCCAATATTCATCAGAAATTGAGAATAAGAAGGAAAACAGGTCTAAAAACTTTCACAAATTTTATTATTTTTATCATTAAAATTCTTACCTAATAATTCCTTTGCAAACATTTACCCCTAGGATTTTTTCTTTAAAAAATTCCGCTTATTCTTATCCTTTACTGTAATATTTTTGATAAAATTAAAATCTTATTCCAGTAGAACTTTCTATCGTCATCATAAACAATTTTTCACTTTGCTGTATTTGTGAGTTCTGTTTGGAAAGTAACGATTTTTACAACAAATGTTGAATATTATTTTTTCATGGAAAATGGCCATAAATTTGACAGCTGGTAGTATTAAAAAAAGCAATTAGAACAGTCAAGGAGACTTGTAACAGTACTTGTCGTGCATTCGCAGCATAACATCCCATATTTGATTAAAAAATTGACAGCAATAAATAAAAAATAATATTACAGGAGATTGTCAGAAAAGGTGTGCAAAAAATCCTGCTATAAGTTCCATTAAATTTCTGTGGTTAAATATTAATACAATTCTTAAGGCAGTGGAAATTGAAGTCACTTAATAAGGCTTTTTCCAAACATCCCATCATAAAACAAACCTGAATTATTTATCAGCTTGGGTCTTTTTTTTCAACTGCTTCATTCATACCCACTTTGCACAATTATTATCATAATAAGAAATCGTTGTCTCAAATTACCCGTGAGGTGTTTAATGATTGAACCTGTCAAGTAACCATGACTTGGTTGAATGATACTATTCCTGCTATGCTACAAGTCAGCCATGTAAAATGTATATTTAAACCTGTTCTTTACAATGCTGAAGTAACAAACTTTTTGTCCACTTCATATACTACATGTGGTCTGATACGACGCATGGTTCTTCCTGGTAGACAGTGAGGAACATGACACCATGATGGCATAATGTCCATGCATGCTTCCCGAAACTTGCTAATTCGGACATAATAAATTATTGGCTTTAGAGTGGAGTTTAAGTATGCTATTAAGATGATCACAGCATCACCAACATAAGACAATGAGTTTTCAAATCTTTTTAACAGTAGTTTAAAGCGGATTGCCGTGTATGGTACACCACAAACCACAAATAGAATAAACAAGATTAATATAGTGGTAAAAGCTCTTGTCTTGAAACTGTAGTCAATATTCATCTTGCCTGGCCGATGCATTTTCGTAATAACCCCACCAGGTACTGGGGGGTGATTTTGAATTCGGGTTGAGTTTCTCCTAACCGTTCTTAAAATTGACACAAAGCAATAACCCATAAGAATAAGCGGAATGCAAAACGTTGATACGTAAAAGAACAGGCCATAAGACAGATCGGCTAGATCTAGTTCTCCTTGGCTAGGCCATTCCAAAGAGCAATGAATTTGACCTCGTTCGAAGCCATAACTTCCCCAGCCAAATAAAGGTGGAAGAACGATGGCTATTGACAGCAACCATGAGACTGAAATATACACTTTGGCTTTCCGTGGTGTAAGGGTGTCTTTTCGTCGCACAATTATCATAAACCTATCCACTGATATTGTAAGAAGAACAAAAGTTCCTTCTGTCACCAAGAGGTTGAACATTATGGCATTTACTTGGCAAAACACCTCGCCGAAAATCCAGTCTTGGGCGATTAGTGTGATTATGGTAAATGGCATACACACGATGGCCGTCAAAACGTCCGCCATTGCCAAAGTTGCGAGTAAAATGTTTATAGCCGATCGCATAGCGGGTTTCTGATAAACTATATAACAAACGAGCGAGTTTCCCATGGCACTGACCAAAAACATTAAAATAAAAATCAAACCGAATATAACCACACATGCTGTTGGAAATGGCGTCAAGTTACTTGTGTTAGATGGAGCTGTTCCGCTCGAGTTGTTCACCATAACACCACTCTAATAGCGGCAGGCTCTCTGTTCTGATATGAGATAACCTCTTCCCAAAGTCGCATCAAGAAAGGTCTTATCTCAACGTTTTTTGACGTGATGGCAAAGACCGCAGTAGCCGATATCCACAACCAAAAAAAAATCCCAATACTTGTAATTCTCGCCTCGACTGTGTTTGCCTTTTTCGTTGCTCGTTAAGCCGCTGTCGATGAAAGCATATTTTTTACGCCGACTGCGTAATTCTCATACCATTCCAAACAAAACCATGGCTACAGGCCTAATTTTAAGAACTCCTGTTTAAATAGGAAACGGCAGATGTTCAGAGATCTCAAACTGACAAGGCCTTAAGGCAAGACGGCGAACACAGTGAACACCTTTTCTTTCATCCTGATTTGAAAACGCTGAAGTTCCAAGCAGCTTTTTAGTGTTACATATGAGTTCAAACTTTGCATTTAGGCCAAAAGTAAATAATAAGGTTTCTCGTACGCCACACAATATTTCTTTTCCTTTTTTATAGTTTAGGTTAGACATTCATTTATGAGCCCGCGCTGTCAGCGTCAGATTTGAAATATGTTTTCTTTCATGTAATAATATACGTATTTTAACCAATAAAATTACTGTGCAGCGAAGCATCCCACGCACGCGAAGAAAAAGGGCATCATTTTTGCTATAATGATTGTGATGAACTCAAAAATAAACTTAACATGGTAAATTAAAATAAATAAAAAGGCGAAGCAAAAAATTATTTACTTAGTGTTTGCAAGGGGTGTATTTTATATGAACATACTCCAAATCTTATTTTTCAACAAATTTTCATTTTAGCCCCTGAAGAATATTTGTCTTTCAAACCGATACACTGTATTGGGCAAATTCTTGTAAATATATTTTTTGTATTTTTCTTTTGTTTATGATAAACAGAAAAAGTTCCTTTAAATTCATGGAAAAAACGTAGAAATCAGTGAAACTCTTGCCTACTTGGAGCTTGCTATATCAGAAAAGTGCCCCAGATAATGGATGACTTTTTTCTGTAGGAACCTTTTCTGCCAGTGGAATCAAAGAAAATGGTGTTAACGAACGGAAATCACTCTGATTTTACATTTGTACCCACCCCTCCATTGCTCCTTCACAGCCTCAAAGTGCACGAGTAGACCTGGTGAGGACCTAAGCCTTGTATCATATTTCATGCAAATGAACAAACTTCCTGTCAAAGCGAGTAAACGCTCGCGTACATTTTCTCTTTTTCTTCAGAAGAAGGGCACTAAAAGTTGTCTAGATACAAGAAACAGATGAGGAAATTAAGTTAAATCTTCCTTTTATTTGAAATGCAGTGCCCCTTTTGCCATGAAGAAGTTGGTGGTGAAGATGATTTGCAGATACATTGTTTAGTCTGCACGTCGGCCTATGCAGGTAGTGTAAAGCTTATTTGCTTGTATTTGTGAAAAAAACGTGGATTTTGTTGATAGGGATCGCTGGGAAAGATGCAGCAATAAATTATTGAAAGTTACTTGAATGAAAGCAAATTATTTTCGCGTTATTGAGTCGAGCTTGTGTATGTTTTTTTCACAGAACCAAGTACGCCTAGGGCTCCCAGAGTAGATAGCGTAATTGTTCGCTTTCGTTGGGTTAAGTCAAGACCATGCTTTGCGAGAGAGGTCCATCTCATCAGCTCTTTGGTGAGTCTATTTACGATTAACATACACAGATAAGTACTATAGGGGGTATTAATCCATCGAACATGCCGTTTCAGTCTTTGGCCTTTTTCTTTGCAACGGTTGTTAAGGTTTGTTAATCCGACAGGAAAGGTATCCGGAAGTTGAACACGAAATTGATTTGTTTACCTTTCGGTTTCGTATTTCGCTTGTTGTAAAGTAACCAGTGCTATTATGAACGTCTCTTTTTGAACGTCATCGAAAAAGTTATGGTTTAAAGGCTTTAATGTGTAAAAACAACTGGTACTGTTGTCATTTTTCTGCACTCAGCTGGTCGGAATGAGCTGGTGTAATCTTTGCTTTGTTTCGACACTTCTTCGCAAAGCTGTATTGATAATTCTTTATTTCTCTCTTTCCAATGTTTACTGTGGCCAAGTTAGGGAAATTGCATCGCTTAAAGATGTTATACGGGAAACATCTAAACAGTTACTGTATGTTTAACCTAACAGGGAAGTCCTTCATTAAATTTTAATACACTTTAATTTACTCATGTTTTAATATGGATTTCGTCTTAAAATGATAGTTGTTTCAAACTGCATTTTCTACCTGTTCGCTCAACCAATGCTTTGCCTTATTGGAGAAAAGAGAAGTTCCAACGCAAATACTTTGGTGAATTATTATTAAAAAATAAATAATATGAATTTGATCTACAAAGGTTTTATATATATTGAGAGCCTGAGGTTACATGATATAAAACAGATTTTAATTTTTTTCGGTTGCTGTTAATTAGCCATTTCCAAGTTTCTACAAGCCTCTGTTTTGAAATGGCAGTAAGTGGAAAGCCTTTGAGTGAAAATGATTTCTATTTTTATTAAAATCACTACAGTGTTGGCCTTGCTTTGAAAGTGACCGTTTTTTGGAACAAACAAGCAACAGCAATTTCCAATTTGCAAATTAAATATCGTGCAAGAAGTAGATTTGAATTTTCATTTCAAACCTTGTGATCAATAACTAAGTGACTTTCTCAAGACAAGTAATTTAAAGCTAGCCAGCTATCATTCACATATCATGATGAATTTAATATCTTTTGTCAGTTATGTGAAATTGTTCTCCTCTTTGTCACAATGGTTGTTTCATTGTCACTGTGGACATCAGGGTTGTAGCTAGAAAAAATTCTTATCGAAGCAATATCAAAATAAAAGTTTCTATCTCTAGCCTTCTTAGAAATATGTTTTTTCATAATCACGCTCACAAGAAACTTAAGAATTTAACTATGACAAATGCTTTGGTTACCTCTATGCTATGAGTATCTGTGGCTGTGTGTTAATTATAAACAAAAGGCAGTTGCATTTCCTCAAAATCCTGCATGCATTAACATGGAGGCATGGATGTAAGCTGTCAATATTGCCTTGAACATTGGATCCAAAGGTCTGGGTTTGTGTTCCAGCCTTAGAGAAGAAACTTTGTTTGTCTTTGTCTCTGTTCGCTCAGGTGTATAATTGAGTACCAGCGACATGATTCTGGTAGGTAACCCTGCAATAGACTGGCATCCCTTCCTGTGGGGCAGTGGAAAGATTTCCTCTCACTTCATTCTACAGAAACTAGCATGAGCTCTAGCTGGAGGCCTGATGATGGGCCACTTGGCTCGAATCAGTAGAGATTTTACTTTTTACCTAATGTGCATAGGCACTGAATAAAAAGGTCATGTTTTTTTCTAGGCTGGGTCCGTAATACTTCATTGGAAGGAAGATGAAGGCCTGTACGAGTCTGACACTACTGGTGTTCCTGTTGGTCAGCATATTTGTCAACTGGCTGTGGGTGGTGATGTTATACCAACTGAAACATTTGAAGTCAATGAAGAAAGTGATGTTATATTTGTAATCATTGAAGAAGGTACAATTTTAGATGTTGGTTTGTAAACATGCCAAGTCAACAATTCAATTGTTTTAATGAGAATACTATTTATAGTGAATCACGGGACACCCAATGACTGTTGAAAATAGAAATATAATACTGAAGTCGTTGTAATTTGGAAAAGACTCACAAGGTTTTTGCTAAGGTTTTAAGTAGGTGGCAAAAGCTTTGGAGTACATGTGGTAGAGAAGGAAAAAACTTGCACCAAAGGTGCAACTTGCAAGCACCAATTAAGGGATGAGTTTCTAGGGGGATCTAGGAACATGACCCCCAATAGAAGTCACTAGCCCAATAGCAAAACATTATTAGCCCCAGGCTATCAAACTCCACTCTCTTTGCACCCTGGGATATATTTCACAAGTATTAGCATGCATAATCCATATGGGACATTTTGTAAAAGTGATGAAGAAACCTGTTTCTGGTGATTGTAAATGAGGCTAAAATATGAACTTTAAACATGTTGTCAGTGTTATTGCCAATATGCTTGAATGGGAGGGTAGGGGTCCAGGTTCTTGACTGCTGCATTATGTATGAAAAGAAAGTTAGTCTGCACAAGTACACTGCAGCCTGTTAACACAATAATTTTGCGTAACACTTTTCTGGCCCCTCTATTATTTTTTACAAAATACATAAGGATTTTTTGAAACATAAGAATTGTGTTCTAAACATATGAGCCATGAGTGCTTTTCACTTCCGACGGATAAGTGCTAAAAAGGAAGTAACAGGGGAGCAATAATTTCTTCAGTGGCGAGAAGGTCACCATGGCAAGCTAACCATAGCTCACCTGAAGGCATTGCTTCATGATTTGATACTTGTAACTCATTGCATGCAAAGTGCATAAAGCCTTGTATTATGTAAAAACTGATTTACCTTTTATTCATATAGTTATGTTATTAAAAGAAATTTATCTAGGCTGCAAAAGTGTCACGTCTAGTTGTACAAACCAGTTGTAATTACTTCTTGTTTAAAGGAAATTTTAGAGAAACAACAACATTTGAAGATTCTGACAGAAGAGCAAGAGTAAGAACAAGTGGTGGTTTAGGATCTGATGAGGAATCAGAGACAGTGGAAACACATGACAGACAACGGCCTCCTCTTGGTAAATTAATGACAATGATACATTGATTCAATAGTGTATGTTGTTAACAAGATTAAGTTTTGAATTATTTGTCTAAGTGTACTCACCCTCTCTCTATGATACATGACACAATTTTTATTTTTAGAAAGGACATATCTGACCAGGTTGAAGCCATCATTGTCACATTATTTAACATGGTGACTTTTGATTTGTTTTTAAGCACTTTGCAAATCTTAAGGTAATTCCCTTTTTTTCAAACTTGGTACAATTGTCAGCCATATATTGGACATTCAAAAACTGCAATAAAAAGATCGAGTCAGTACTGTGCTTGTTTTCGCCCTGTGTGCAGCCCATTATTCTGAGTCATGTTTATTCCTAGTTGAGCACGAAATATTTGAAACGTGAATAACCATCAAAAATTGTTATCATATAGCAAAAAATCTGAATCTTACTGAAACCTAAAACCTGTTTGTTTGTCTGGGCTATAGTTTTTGAGTAAAATGATTTTAAATTATCCGATCCTGAAAAAATAGAGAGAAATGGACAGTTTTGATATTATCTCATACTTCTCTGTGTATCTAAATGCCTTGTTTCGCGTCATTCATATCTAAAAATTTACAGCTTGTATAATTATACTTCTCATTTTTTTTCTCTTTAAGAAATATTTTTTGTGTGGCCCAAAAGAGAAAAAAAAACAGATAAAAAATGGGGGTCACCATTCTCATTTCCTCACAAAAAAAGGGACAATTTCAGTTTCAAATGATCATTTTTCACGAGGGAACTGGGACGGGTTTCAAGAAAAACACCTTATTAGCCCTGTGGAGTTACCAAAATCGCTATTAAAACCATTTTGACTACAAAAGGGGCCTTTTTACTTCTTTTAATGTGACTGGTGAAAATCATCGACACCTTTCAAGTTGCAATGTTCTGCGCAGCAGGTGATGTACAGTGCGGAACAAGGGAATTACCTTAAGCTACAAAATGATGTTCTCTTTAGTATTTGATCATGTCTGACCACAGGCTGGATTTTTACAAACACCATTTGTTTAGCAGGCACTGTTTGTCCATCTTAAAGTTTTTTAAGGAAGAAGAACAGGGACTAGCTCTAAGTACTGTTTTAGGGATGTGTTTGTCGTATATAGTTCTCAGCTATTAAGACAGAGCTTGCATCTTTGGAGTACTTGTCACCACTGCAAATTCAACGATTTAAGTAATGGTCTGGATAAGGCGGATAGCAATTTCTTTTGTAATGCGGCAACGGTGCTTTCCCCACATAGGAATGTTCTCATTTTTACACAGAGAAATGCATAAACCTACATGAAGGCCGTTTACGCAATAAAATGCATTTACACTCCACTTTGAAAGGGTGTTTTTTTGTGTTAAAAGATTTTGACCAATCACAAGAGTTGAAAACAATAGCCAAGAAAAGTTTACAATTTTACATGTTCCCCACATAGGATTTCTTTGTTATTCAAACTGAGACCAGATTTTGTTATATGGAAGATGGTTGGAAAGTAAGGATGAATATATGTACCGCTTTATGAAGTTTTGTTAACTTTTGCTGTTTAAGCCAATCAGAAGTAAGTACAGACAATGGAAAAGTCAGCACCTTTTTTGCATTCCTACATGTTTGTTGCCGTTGTTGCTATCATTCTTATGTAGACCGTTTCTTAATAATGTATCAATTTTACTACTAGCAAAAAAGATATTTTTATAAGTACTGTATGACTTCTATTTTTATTAACATAATATACATACATATTAAGTTCATTTTTTACCTAAGTATTGTTTCATGGAAAGGTTGTCAGTTTTAACCGTTGCTATCATTTTATATATAGACATAGAATCTAGAGAGAGAGACAGTGAAGCTTCTAATGGAATGAGCCCATTGTACAGGGAGTTACTTCGGCATCAGGTGTGTATATTAATGTTGTAGGTAAAATCTGGTTTTAGGTTAAACATGTTTTCAACCTAGGTTGAATTGAGCCATCTTTCACTTTGGTAAAATGTGCATTAAACCTAGGTTCAACTGTCTGAAAAGGGATTTTTTATGGGGTGTGGTTAAAAAATAATGGCATGTTTTTTGGGGGGAGGACGTTGAAAAAATAAAAGAAAAAACAAAAAGCATGTTCTTTTTCTCTCGATTTTTCTACTCCATTTTCCCACTAGTCCTCCTGTCCTCTTAATCCCCTTACCTTTTACACCATTCCTCTTTTATGACCCTTTTACACACTCAACAAATCACACTGAAATAAACAACTCTATTTGTACTCACCCACGTTTCAACTCACAATGTCTAGGTTGTCCGCATTTACCACTACACCACACGGAACAACAATACTCATCTGCCCATATGTCTCTGTATTATTATTAACATTTGGTCCCAGATTCACTCGGCCAAAATATTAAAGGGTACCAGGCCCCCTCAACCATTATTTTCTATTTACTCATGCATTGTGTTTGCAAACATGCACATGGACTTCAAAATATGGTGACTCAAAGTACCAATTCAGAAACCTTTTAGAAAAAGCTAGAAGAATTGAAATCTACCTCTAAAAACAAATCAAGCTTCTTGGATGTCTACATTAATGACTCCTTTTATGAGAAAGCATATCAGTGGCTCAAACCAAACCTGCAAGGCAAAAGCTCCATCATTATCAGCCGAACAGACAAGCGTGGGATAATTGAGAAACTATGGAGAGTGACTACCGATGATGGGAAAATACTAGACAAACAAAACAGATAATGTGGTTCCGAGAGCTATTCACAATCCTGGCCAGTTCGCATTCTGCCATAGTGCATTGAGGATGAGACAAGACAGAGGAATATGTGAAAAAGCGCTTTTCAGGTATAACACAGAAGGTCATTTTAAAACATGTTCATATCAATGTGCAGCCTACACCAACAACAAAGAAGTGTTACATCACCACCAAAAGAAACCGATTAACCATCCAATTCAGGCAAATATTTCATAAACCCTGTTGAAATAGCCTTAATAGATTTCAGAAGCTTGGCATGTCAATGTAAAGAGAAAACACACACATGGCTTCTTCATGTATTTGACCACTTTTCAAAGTGTTTGTGGATGATATTCTCTCATAGGCAAACAAAGTCCTCAAGTGACTGCTGAATTAGAGAAACTGTTTTACATGTTTGGCTTGGACCCTAAAAAGCTACGTTCAGACAATGGGGGTGAATTCCAAAACAAAAACATGGAGAATCTTTGTCAAACCCACAAAATAAAATTTGTACATAGTGCACCCAGAAACCATCTGCTCAAGGTCAAGTAGAATGAAATGACACACAGAAGACTTTACTGTGGAACATGAAAGTACAGGAGCTGACCAGCTGCAGGAAATAGATACAACTGTAGAGTGAAACAGCAAAGAAGCACCATGGTCTGGCAAAAGAAAACAAATAACACAGTCGCGCGGTTGTAGATATATAGTCAGACCAAATATTATAACAAGAAGATGAAAGTTATGATGTGACAATAAAAATAAGTAAGTTGATAAAACGACACCACTCCACTGTAGCCCAATGTAATTCTAGGAAAAAGTATTGGCATGGAGAGCAATTACGCAAAAGTAGAGACAAAGTTTGGAATTATTTCGGCATACATTTCCACAAACAGATTTAACAAATGTACTAGAAAAAAATACTGTCTGACTTATACAAGGGAGGTAACATTTTCAACTGTATCTTTAAAGAAAGCAGTTGATCATATAAATTAAACTGCAAATTGTACTATACATTCAAGCATATTTGTGATAAGAATTTTGCGCAACCCCCCAAAAATGCACTTGAGAGCAGGAACAGTGCTTCTTTTATTGAACTTTAAACAGTAACCAAGCTTCACCATAACTCTAACCCTTACACAAAGCTAACCCTAACCCTAACAATAACTTAACCCTAACCTTAAGCTTAACACAAAACATACAAAAATTACAAATTTAGCCTAGATTGAATGTTGTATATAATATAAGTTTAACCTTAGATGAAATACTGATTGCACATTTAACCTAGGTTGAATACTGGTTTAACCTGGGAACAGATTTTACCTGCAACATATACACTGTAATGGCACTTGAACAAAACATATCTATTACTGAACTGGAAGAAAAAACTTTTGGTTGACTCCTTGCAGATATGTATTATTGGAAGCACAGCGAAAACTATCTCAAACAATAACAGTTAATCTTTAATCTTTTACAGGGCCGTAGAGCAGCCTGTGGTTTTAATTAAATATATATAGTTCTGAATAATTGACACTGATCTGCCCAGGAACTTCTGCAGTAATTGAAGGAACTGGTATATGTCCTCAATCAACTGTTACTTATTTAACTTGTTTAGATTTTCAGCCATGAGACCCAAATGCAGGCTGTAGATACATGTGTGCTTAGCTTTAAGGATAAATGTAAACTACTGCATCTTATAGTGCTTCTCAAAACTGAATCCCAACCGAATATATTTTTTAATAGAGTTTGTCATAAAAAGGGCACTGAATAAAAATACCGTAGAATTCTGAAAATAAGCCCCTCCAAATATAAGCCCGTAACGCAAAAAACCCCCGGTTAAATCGCCCCTCCAAATATAAGCCCCCCAGTGCCTTGTACTTGGAAATTGCCATCAAATACCAAGTAAAACAAAGCAAAAATGGTAAATTTTCTTCCAACTATAAGGCTTGCCCAATTGATTTTGAAATGCAAATTTCCCTCCATAGATAAGCCCCTCCGAATATAAGACCCTCCTCAAATAAGCTCCTCAAAAAGGGCCTTTGAAAAATATAAGCCCCGGGACTTATTTTCGGAGTTTTACGGTATTTCAGCTCATGTTGTTGTAGCTATAGTGTTCTAAAAGCATTTGTATGCATTTAAAATGGATCAGATTAATAATCTGTACAGTGACTTTGTGAGATGCCAAGTTGTTCAATTAACTCCCCATTCAATTTTCAAGCTCAAGACTGATGTGTGAAAAAAAATGAGCTAATTAAAAGAAAACACAAGAAAGTGTTGGTTTAGAACTTATTGCATGGGAGCACTAAGAAACAAAAACATTAAATTGGAGCTCAAAACCAATGGAATAACTAACAAACTAATGGTCCTGTTCCTCCAAACTAACTTCATGAAGAACAGCTTCAGTTATAGCAAAGCAGTTCTCTGGAACAGCCTGCCCTGTGATAATATGAGAGTGGCTAGAAATCTTTAAGTCAATGTAAACAATTGGCGCATCTGAATTTCCGATTTTTTTAAGTACTGTGTACAAGGCATTCATGAAAAACAGGTCTTAGTTAGGGTAGTTGTAGATAGTTTTGCATGTTGTTTAGGGTAGTTAAGTTTATTTAAAATTTTTATACTCCTGATGAATTTTATCGTGTTTAAATAAAGAATTATTCTATTTGTTTCTATTCTATTCTAAAAAATCTTTATAAACTAACTGTTATGTACTGATAAAATATTCAACTTATGCTGGCCAAAGTTTTTAAAATCCAGTTTAATTAAAAATTAATTAAATTAATATTCATGGTAATTTAATCTTGTATCACTGCAGTTGTATAATTTTACTGTTAGTGTCGAAAGGTTCTCTAATTTCTTACATCATGTCTGAAATAACAGATTGTTAATAAATTATGTACATTTTTATTAGTTGATGTGTCAATTTCATTCAAGTAGGTGAAAAAAAGTCTTTCCAATTTTAATTAAAAGAGAAGTTGAAAATTTGAATAATTTATTCTCTACCGGTAATCTAGAGAAAAGATTGGTAATTAAAGATTTCTTCAATGTATTCTTTTCAGATATATATTTTTTGTTGTTCAATCTTTTGTAAGCAATGCAATCATTTAATCTTCTCAAAATATCAGGAGTTGTTTTTATATCTTAGTCTTATTTTATCTGTTTACATTTCAAGTAGGACAAAATCTACCATCAGGTGCATTTTAGTGAAGTATTTCAGTCTGTTGGCTTTAGCATTCTAGAGTTTTTCATTTGGTATGATTTTTTTTTCATTGTAGTTTAAGGAAATACTTTTTGAATTGGTGTCAGTTATTTTGAACTTTAAACTTGTTGTTTTCAATTTGTACTCTAAAATCTGATGCAGCCTTGATCCATAGCTGTTCTGCACATGTAAATAAAAGGTTTGAATATTTCTTACTCAAGGAATCTTTCCAAGTGATTTAGGAAACTACATATTGTTATTATAATTTAAACATATTCATTTTATGCAAATCTGCATGGCTGAAGGTACTGATAAAGAAGAATTGATTTTACAATAAGGTATCTCAGGTTTTTTTGTAGCCTTTTATTTATAAACAAGTGTGTTACTTAAGGCGAGTTTTGGGAAGCTGGAGAAATTATTTAGATACTTGAATGATTATGGAAATTATTATGTCACAAAATCTCCTTGCAAAATTTATACCGGGGATTGAAAGGTGATTTTAAAAAGCACAACAGCCGGTATTCCATTGAAGTTAAAAAAAAATTGCTGGTATTTTTTCAGCTGAGCCATGGTGAGCCATCTTGGGTCCCTGGAAGTGGAGTACAGTCACCTGTGATGTCGGAAACAGACCTTACTTCCCTGGCTGGACATCAATATGATGAGTCTTCAATATCCAGCACCCCTGTGGAACATATGGAAGAGCTATTACCACATCAGGAAGCTGAAAGCCACTCAGGTGACTTCTCAGGGCAAAGCGATGGATTACCATCACATCCCAATGGCCGAGGAGATGATGAACAGAGTGGTAAATATCAGCAATCTTTAAACAAATAGAACAAGCACTTGCCCAGTTTTAAACAGTGTTATTATAATGATGTTCTTTGTGGTTTGTAAATAGACCTTGTTACGGTTTTTAACGCCATCTTGACGAGTAGGCAAACGTGTGAGAAATTACAGTGTTTGTATGAGAATCTAATGTCCACAAAAATATGAATTGTAAACTAAAGTTCACTGAAGCATTCTACTCAAAAAATTTGAGAGCGAAGAAGACCCCGAACCTCTTTATTAAATTTTCTGTACATTTGTCTGTAAAATTTTCCTGCAAAAAATTGCAGATACATAATTTTATATGGAAAATCTAAAGCAAGCTTCTGGAGAAATTTAAGCACCATAACGGCCCCCAAATTTTGTTAGTAAAATCCTTTGCTGTGTAGCTTTAGTTTATAATTCACATTTTTTCCAGAACAGCCATTTTACGGAAATTATTCAACATTCTCATACAAACACTGTAATTTCTCACATGTTTGCTTACTCGTCAAGATGGCGTCGAAAACCGAGACAAGGTGTATTGGTCTCTGTGAGTCTAATATCACCTGTATTGTAAGAAACCTTTCTTCCTGAAGTCACCTTTGTTCATTAAATTGAGCTGAACTAATTTAAATACTGTAAAAGAAGGATCACCCACGATTTCCTTTTGTAGATAGTGAAACAGAGGAAGCCAATCTACAACTTCAATCCTTCTCTCCAGTGCCAAGCAGTCACAGTGAGAGAGTCAGCCCTGACGTTAGGTCAGTAAAATATTTTATTTGCAATTTAAACACTAAATAACAACATTGAATCCAAACCATATTGTCTAGAGAACACAATTCCACATTTTAATCAGACCATTTTCTCAAAATTAGTTGGGCACAGGTAAGACCTGTCTTGTAAGGCTGTGAGACTCTTGTTTTAAGACAGTATCTGAGACTTCAAGATCAAGAGAAGTTAACATGCAATATTTAAGATTTCAAGGTTGGATCAAAATTTTCTGAGGACCACCATTATCATTAGGTCCCTTTGGCTACCCTTGATAATTTTATTGGTTTTTAGCACAAAGCTGGCCAATGCTTGGGATTAAAGGGCGTTAATTTTTGTGGCTGGTCAAGTTCCAGTTCGTTAGTTTTTTTTGCTCAAATACTAATAATTTTGTCTAAATTCCTTTCATTATGTATTACAACTTTAAATTTGATGAAGACATTTCTGTCCACAGGGTACCCATCGAGGTAGGTGCAAGGGATTACTCTGTTATAAGTCCATTGGTGATTGAAGCCTTTGTACGGGAGAACTCTCCTCCAGTCCCAGAAGGTCCTTCAGGTGAAGAGAACACGATTGATGCACCATCTCACACTCCGCAGTCCACTTCAGGAAGAGATGGCGATGCTGCTGAAGAAACAACGCATTTACTTTCTTCTTCGGACAGGCACCCCACAGAGCATAGCCAGTCAGCTACCAGAGCCAGTCCTCTTGGTTCTTCAGTGCTAGATACAGGTACATTTCCAGCCAATGGCGATACAGATGTGTCACCAGGCAACCACAACGCTACCATGTTTCCTCAAAGACACAGCCCAACAGGGTCTGTTCAGAGCAGTTCATTGTTTTCATCCGGTTTACCCTCTCCTGTAATGTCTCCTAGAGGTCGTAGCCTGTCCGATACAGGTGTAACATTAGTTCCTCGAGGGAACCCTCCTGGGTCTTTGAACGGTCAAACACAGCTACCGCAAAGACCTCAGAGTCTAGTAGGCTTTGTTCCTACAACAACGGGTCTGTTAACTACCCTGGGGGGCCCTCCTGGTCCAGTCTCTGGTGCTGAGGAATCTCCACCAACTCCACCCCACGTATCTACTGTTCATAGACATAGTCCTACAGGTTCCAATCACAGCAGTGTTGTTCATCCGCACCGAGGAACAGGAACTGTGGATTTATCACAACGACAGCAACAGCAGCAGGGAAGCAGACTCTCGAGCGAAAGAAATACTCCTGTGCTTTCGCCCCATAATGGATCTGCTGCAGCAGGCCAGCATGGCACACCTACTGTACACAGTCCAAGACAAGGAACCTCTGGTGGCCGGGGGAGCCCCACAGAGCTTCTCGTGGAGATAACGCATAGACGAGCTGCACCAACAGTGACTTCTCGTTATGAGGCAACAGAACCTATTCATGCTGTCCTGCCTTCCGCAAGCCAACGAGAAAGGGAGCAGAGAACACCAGTTTTACGTAGACCAGACACAGGAAGCCCAACGGAGCTTTTTATGGAGACAGCGTTTAGACAACATACACCACCAGTGTCCTCCCGTGCCGAAACAAGGGAGTCCATTCCTGCAATCCAGCCTTCAACAGGACACATAAAAAATCAGCATGATACACCAATATCACACAGATCATCAGGCAGAGTAAGCCCAACAGAGCACCTTACAGATACAGCTTACAGGAGAGGCTCGCCTGTGGTACGTGCTTCTCACGAGTCTGCTTCTCCTGTGGCCTCATCGGCGAGCCCGCATCTTCGTCATCGTGACAGTGGCAATAGCACACCTTCAGTGCCCAGTCCAAGACAAAGAGCACCCGGCCCTGAAAATTCTTCAAGACATACTGGTCCAGCCTCTGAGTTGCCATCATCGGAGTCGAGGGTAAACCATCGTGAAAGTGACCATCGCACATCACTAATGCAGGGGCAGGAAGCATCACGAACAGGGACGCCAACACAGAGGTTACAGGGTTTTTCTCATGCTTGCTCAAGTAGATCATCTTCGGTTCACAGCCGACCAGATCATTCCCCACCGCGCGTCTTTTCTCCTTCATCTCTGCCTCGTGAATCAGCTATTCCAAGTCGTGATAGTGCGTTTGCAGCTGTGACTGGAGAGCGTGCTGCGCATGTGGGGATCCTGCCTTCAGAAGTGGAAGAACTCAGACAGGAGAGAGATAATCTTGCCAGGGAGCTGAGACAGAGATCCGCTCATTATGAAGCAGAGCTCAGGAGAGTCAAGTCTAGGAATGAAGATCTACAACAACAGCTGATGAGTATTGAGGTAACTTGATTATTTCCAAGACCTTTGTAACAATTTTAGGTACGAAAAAGGATTTGAGGTATCTCAATAGAGTTTGCTTTTGAAGTTTGTTCCCCAAAGTTATCCCACAGTTTCCCCAAACAGTGTTGCAATAATTGATGTGAGGGTGTATAAGAACTTGGTTTATAAGATGTAAGGTCGCTTGGGGATAAGGTGCTTTACTCGCTTGATGGCTCCGATTCCAGAAGATACTTTCTTTATTATCTTCTCCATATCGCTATCCCAATCGAGATTATCATCGACGGTCACTCCAAGAGATTTAGCAGTAGCGACTTGGGTAACTCGAAAATCATTAGTCGCAAGTGTTGGGAAACTGTTACAATACTTAGCCTCTAGCTAGATCCAATTAACATGAACTCGGTTTTAGTCATATTTAGAGTGAGTTTGTTCGCTCTTACCCAACTGTGAACATTTTGTAAGTATTCGTTGAAACTTGTCTGAATATTGTGAATATTGTTGCTCGCGTATGTAAGGTGGGTGTCATCAGCGTACATCCGAGGCTCGCAATTTGACAGGCAGTTGGAAAGATCGTTCACATATAATAGAAATAGCAATGGACCTAAAATAGTACCCTGAGGGACACCACAACGTACAGAGCAACTGCTAGAGAGGAGAGTCAGCTAAGTATTGTCATAGCCTTAGTAACAGCTGCTGTCTTCACTCTCCGTTTTTTCCTGACAAGATTCGACCTGTTAAGTGTTAAATTTGCTTTGCTATACAGTGCAAATGTAGTTTGTTGACTCATAAAATCGACCGACCTCACCTGACGTCGTTTTCAACGACTAATCAATGTGGGTCAAATGTCTCGGCGATATAAACTGTACATGATGCATCTTCACTCGCCCTTCTTGGACATGGTCATTTATCAGTTATTTTCTGTTGTTCAGACTGTAGCAACCTTAACCAAGCATGATGAAGACAAAACACAAGCGTTAGAAGAGAAAATAGCTCGACTCAACGCAACTTTGCAGGGTAAGGAACAAGAAATAAATACCCTGCAGGAAACAGTAAGGGGACTGGAGAGAACCAATCAGCAGTTGAAGGAAGAACAGGAAAGTTTGAAAACAGTGAATGAGCTGAGACTTGAAGACATAAACAGAGTCAATTCAGACCTACAGCAACAGGTATTCAATAACGAAACATTTCTGAATTATCTTTTTGGGGCTGCACACGTTTCGGAGTCTCTATCCGAATGTATATTATAATTAGGGTCATCGGTAACTAGGCTGCGATTAGAACATCCATTGGCTGTAGATTTCCCTTATGGCAGATGCACCCGGATAACTCATTGGTGAGCCCCCACGCCAAAAGAGCAAGCTCTAAGGGCGCCGTGAAAATTGAAACGTAGAAGCCATATAGAAATTGGGTGCGGCTAGAAATGCAAACCTTACCAAGCGTAACTGGTGCAACTGATTGTCTTACGGGGTAGTTGTATTTTTTGTGTGTCCGGATTGTAATTTCTTACATATTTGGGTTTTCAGTTGTCGGATTTGCGACGCAGATCGGTGGAAGCCAGAAAACGACAAGAAAGAGACGAGGAAAAAATTCTCGAGCTTCAAGTGTTGCAAACTACACAAGAAAGGAGTGGTAAACGTCTTGAATTGGAGAACACCAGCCTAAGTAGACAACTGAAACAAACCCAGCAAGAGTTGGATACTCTCAAGGCAGTAACTAGTATAAGTGGTTCTAGAGTTAGCAGAGCTAAAAGCGAAACAGATTTGTCCAGGAAATTCAACAAATACTCTACGTATGACAAATCTAAATACAGTGATCTTGACCATTCCACAAGAACTGTTAGTTTCGCTTCGACATTAGACAGTGCACGCCTCGGAACAACTCGGCATAGTTCGTTAGATTCGAATTACAGTCGATCCCGAGACTCAGGTGTGTCACCGCTGATAGTGAATGGTCACAGCCCAAGTAGACCTGAAAGTAAAAGAGCGGCTGCATCACCTTATTCTTCCGTCCAGGACAGAGTCCTGCGTGAGTCGTACAGTCGCAAGGTAAGGGTTCCGAGGCACCGTGTGGGTTCTTTAGGAGAAGACAGTGATGTTTCTGATGATTTGGATCTGCATGCAACAGCATCACTGTTAAGACATCAAACACGGAGTCCGGAGTCTTCATCCTCATCACTCATATTGTTTGACCAAGACCCTTCGCTACATCAACCGCGGGATACGGAGACTGGGAGGAGAAGGAGGCCACATTCATATCATGGAGGTAATTAGAAGGTCTTTATTCATATTTACCGAGCTCAATATTTACCTTTATCATGATTCATGTTATTACCACACACCGGGATGCACTCGACGTTGGTTATCCCAGCCGTATGCAGCATGTGTCGGTCGAGATTTTTCTCCATCTTGCGTTTGTCGCATTGTAAGCTCGTAAGAAAAACAGATTTTCTATCGTTTCTTTTCTGACACGACAGGATCTCTTGAAGACCAGTACAATACCAAGGACGATTACTCCAAATCATCCCAATATCAGTCGCTGCGTGACATCCGACGGCATGCTACCTCTTCGGCAAGTTATTCTTCAAACTCTTCGCTTCTAACAACCAGTACCCACCAACCCAAAGTCTTCACCAAGCCCTTTGCACCGACTTCTAGCCACGACATCCAGTTGGGCATGGACGTATTGGTGACTAGGTCACGAGGTCAGATCGGACGCGGAAAAGTGAAGTATGTTGGACCATTACCAGGCCGCCGCGATACCTATATAGGAATTGAACTGGGACCTGGTCAAGGTAAAAGGACATGTACAGTTGTGGCAACCAAATTTACTTCTTAAAAAAAAAAACCTTTCCAAGGGCGGCTTTCTGTTCGTTAGTGTATTGTGATAAATTTAAAGCCGACGGTAGTTAATTCTTAATTCAAAAGAACCTTTTTTTAAATGTCTTTTTTTTTTATCTGATTGCAGTGATTAATTGACTTCATCAACTGGCTGTGCAGTACAGTCTTTAAGTCCCCCCCACCTCCCCCCGTTTTTATTAAGAGTTATGAAGTCTCTGATTCCTTTAGTGTTAGTATAATGTATGAATCAAGATGAGAAAAAGCCCCTACAACTCTTTCCTCTACTATAGTGGCACAAGGATATCCTTTATTATTTCGGGCGACCAGAGGAGGCCGTAATCCTCGTGTACAGGTTTCTGTTAAACTTGTGCGGCACATATGAAGCTAGCAATCGTTTGGCCTTTCACTAAGAATGAATGGAATGCATGCAGCGTAATCTGATGACCGCGCGTTTGAGCCTTCTATCACGTGAAATTTACCCAAAGAACAGCCCTGGAGCAAGAGTGTTTGCGTCAGTCTCTCCCGCTCTCCATAACCATTAGTTATTACTGGATTTTACATGATAACAGTTGTTTCTCCAATTCTTTTTTCAGCGGGTAAACACGACGGATCCTTAGATGGACAGAGATTGTTTACTTGGTAAGTAAACTTCACATTCAAGCAGACATTATTTATTGTGTTATCTTATGGGATTTTGACCCGCTGTTTGACTATGGAGATAAAACACTGTTTTAAACAGACCACTTTAAAGTTGAGCTGTAAGCACTCTGTGTGGCCTTTTAGATGAATTTGGAGGCTGGAGTTAAGTTTGTTTAATGCACCTATCAATGGAAATCCCGTGGGGGGGAGGGGAGTGTGTGCAAGGGGAGAGGATTTGATGCCTGGGACTATCCCCGCTGTCGGGCTTTTGATCGTGCGAAGCGACCCCGGGGTCGGGACATTTGACTTTGACCGACAGAAGCCTGGTATCAATTCAGAAGCAGTTACCAAGTCCGTCCCTCGAGGCTTCCTGAAAGTCACGCTGTTGGAGAAAGGTATATGTATTTATCATGGGTTATGTAACCTTTTCTTTAGGGTGTTACATGGTATGCTGTTCTGTTGCTTCATTAGCGGTAGGCTATATATATTTGAGTTGTTCTCATTTATATTCATTCGCGTCCTACGACCGTCCCTACGCCCTCAAAATTAAATACCCAGTGATCAGGGGTTTCTCTTAGACGTAGTTTTTTGCATGCTGCTATATGAAAGGTTTAGCACGTTTTGTATGTTTACTGAATGATTGTTATACTAGCATAGTTTAGATCATTTTGTTGGGTTGTTTTTCTTGCTGTAATTTTTTACATTTCCGAGTTTTCATTCTGTTTGTTGTATTATTTCCATCCATACTGTTGATGAAGGCATAATAAAGAGGGTCGCACACGGCTCGTGTTGACACACGCCAATTGAGGTTGCTTGTTACATGATAAATGTTTTATATTCGTTTGAGCGGGGTAGCGAATTAGAATATAAGAAGTTTTCATTTGTTTTAATCGCCATAATCCGATACTTTACACTGTCATCTAAACAGATAATGTCTATTTTGAGAAAGTTTTTATGTCCAAGTTCCCATCTGATTGTAAAACTCGATTGGAATCGAATTCCAGCATGAAAGTCAGAGAATTTTTTATGGGTCACTGATCCGACCTGTTCCCACATGTTGAGCAGCTGTTATAAAGCATTTTACGTTTTATTAATATTATATAGCACGGTCAATCTTCCGGGAGTGATTTTGTTGTTCAAGATAAGAGATGCTAGTGGAGAGAGAAAATACTTAATTACAGCGAGTAATTTAATTGAGCTTCCGTTAACCGTAAATAAAAGTAGTAACAACGTGTTTGAAATGTTCTTTTATTCGTTTTACATAGTATTATAGCATTGTTTGTTTAGATTTTTTCCCCTGGGGTGGGGGCTTTTTTTACACTTTTGATTGACCTTTCGTTTCCCACCCTGGGGAATTTGATCGAAAAATTTTAAAATTTGTCAAATCCCCACCCCTTGCCCGCTCCCCACGGGGTTTCCATTGATAGGTGCATAACCTTCGACCTGCTTGTCTTGTAGTAGTAATGTTTAGGAAATATGCATTACCTAAGAAAACTTGGATTTACTTTTTTTGAAAAAGTACTGTGCCAAAACTGAGTGTTAACTGGTGCTACTGTAAACTGGTAGGTTTCAAGTGATATGTGTCTTTATTATTAATAGTCTATTTTTCTTCTTAATTAGTAAACCGAACCAAGGGATCTTCGTCTCGTTCAACAAAGTGGTCATGTGTTATGGTTAAAACTCATCGTTGTCAGTTCGTAATATATTTTATGGTATGTAGGTAAAAGAGTAAAAGATATATGGCTGTCAAATGTTTGTGGTCAAGCTGACTGCAGCGTGTACAACACGTGATGTAGACTTGATGAAGACATTCTTATGTGTAGCCTGCGTTGCAGTCGGCCCACTCCCCACTCCTCTAAATCATTTGTATAGTCCGTGACGCTCTATACAGAAGGTTTAGAGCGTCTGCGACGCAGGCAATCTTATGTGTTGTCATAGTACTGATTTGCTTTAGACTGTCAGTGAGCAGTGTTTGGATTACTTTTTACAGTGAAACCTGTATTAAGCGGACACCGTATTAAGCGGACACCCTCTGTTAAGCGGACAGTAGCCGAAGTCCCAAAAGTAATTTCCCTTATTTACTTTAAATGAAACCTTTATTAAGCGGACACCTCTATTAAGCGGATGCGGACACCTAAAAAGTACCTGAAATGGTCATTTTTATTGTTGCCAACCTGTATTAAACGGACACTTGTAATTAAATTCCACCACCCAACATGCGGCCAGACACAGGAAATGCGAAAGATTGCCTCAAATTGCAACCTACAAATTTTTCGATTTTTACATTAAAAAACGACTTGACGAACGTATTTGATTAGTTTCATAGTACAGTATTGTTTTCTATTTCGTTTTCTTTGTATAAAGCTTGTTTCACTCATCTGTTTTGTTCAAATTTGAGTTGAAATCTATGTTTATGGTACTATGATCAATTGGTTCACTTTGATAAAGAAATTAATGCAAAAGTAAATCGTCATAGTCTCTGGGAGTATTCTAAATGTTTCTACTGGCATTTGACACCTCATATGAAGTTATCTATCGAAACCTGTATTAGGCGGACACCCTGTATTAAGCGGACACTACAGCATTCCCCGAGGGTGTCCGCTTAATACAGGTTTCACTGTATTTTAAATCAAGAGTAAAATATATCGAGTGTTACGCTATCTTCTTTGGCTTGTAAGTTACAATGGTTTTAACTGCTTGGTTTACAGTAAACTTTCTGTCTCCTGACGGACAGCAGATAGCCATCCCCGCCGTCACTCAGTAAGTAGTGTTCGACTCGAGGGCGGACTCCCATAAATGCACAGGGTTCTTACAGAGTCTTAAAAAAGTCTTGACATTTGCCCAGCAATTTTCCAGACCTGAAAAACAGTCTGGAAAATAGAGATTAAGTCTTTTAAAATGGTAAAAAGTCTTGATCTTTTTTTTTTTTGGAAAGCTACAACAAGTGCTTTATATGTGAATCGTTTTCGTTTGGGTTAAATCTTTTTCAATCTTGCCCGCACGTTTGCAGCGCATCATGTTTTAAGGTCTCTATTGATCACCTATTAATTTTGATAACCTTGAGTCTGGAAAAAGAAATTATTGTTTTGGAAAAAGTATGGAAAAAGTCTTGAATTTTGGATCCAAAAATCCGTACGAACCCTGAATGCAGTTCTAATGATCCTGTCTTTCTAAGAGAGTGGACTGTATTCTATTTGAAATTAACCCTCCCATGACACGAACAGAGCTCTCTAGAGATTAAGCGGTTTTTCATTTCTGTTGTTTGCAGTTAACATGGTGCTTAATCTGCCTAGTGTTTACTTTTTTATGAAAAAATTCTTCCGGCGTGTGTGGCAGTGAAAACCTCTCTAAAGAAAGTCAACTCTGTAGGCTTTCTATGCAGATCTACTTAGTATTATTAACTTGTTACTATTATATTTATTAGCGTTCAAGTGAAACGTCTTTTACTGGTTTTATCTCTGAACGAAAATCATCTTAGGCGAAGAAAGCTAGTCAGGTTGTTAATCGTATATATCTTTAGAGTATTTATATTTTATCTTTATCTTGTATATATTTTGCAAACATGCGTGTTGTCCAAGATAGTAGTTCTACATCGCTTTACCAATACTAATTTAATTTATTTGGAGGAAAAAAGCAACTGACAGTTTGCCGTGACTGAAAGAGTAACTGGATAAGATCTGTTGGAAAAATTAAGGCAGGACTAGTATGGACATTGTTGTCTTATATCGTTCTAGCATATGTGCAATTAGTAAAATCCAACTAGTGGTCTATTATCAATGCTGCGTTCTGACTGGTTGAGCTACTACTAGGCTATATGTTATACCCCACTAGTAGCGAAAAACGCCGGCTTTTTGGCGGCAAAAAAGGATTAAAGTCTAGCTTTAAGTAGCTAAATTTTTTTCTATTCTCGATATTTTTGACCAACTAGTTGGATTTTACTAAAACAATTATTCCTCTCGCCCTTATGGCCTCTGAGTCAATAGCCCAGGAGGCCGAAGGCCATTCGGTCTCGAGGAATAATTGTTAAATATTCTTCCTTCAATGATACTGATGAGAATGTGCTTCAGTTGTGATTCGTGGTGTGAAAACGTGTGCAATTATATGTATCGTTGGGGAAAAAGTTTGAAAAAATATCTTGTTAAATCATTGAAAAATGTATTTCTAAGTGATTTGTACGATTTAATCAATGATTTTTAATAAACATACTGTTACCATCTAAGCCCAGTCTTTACATTTTTTCTTTTTTCATTAATAATTTTCTAAGGGTAGCGAGAGCACATTAGGGGAACATAGGGCGCAAACTGTTATTCAACGCACATGTCTGCGAGACGTCGCTTTTTAATACCCGCACCTATCCCCCATGGGCCTCCTCAGCTAGGCAGAAAAAGAACGAAGAAAAATGTGACTCCATATTCAGTTGTCGTGCATTTCTTAAAGCGCATATTTCTAAGGCTGGATACCTTGTTTCGCAAAGCTTCTCAGGCTCTTGACTGTTGAAGTAAAAGTGGAAGAAATAATTTGAGATTGAGATCTAGATCAAGCCGGATCTATTTTCGTCTCGTTTGGTAAACAAAATGTAGCGCAACCACATAAGAGAGAATTTAAAATCCGCCAAAAATCGGGTCTGATCCCAGGTTAGGGAAAAATGTGTGCTATCTTACAATACTATTAAATTCTACGACTAAACGTCGACAAAAATTCCGAAAATCTATCAGTGATCTGAAGCTTCTCATCTATCATATGTTTGGTCAGTAGGTTCCTTATCAAAAGTTATACATGTATACACCATAAAACCTATACTGTCAGGGCTTTTATTTCTGGTATTTTAATAGCCTGCGTAGCACGCCGTTTTTCTAGTGTGTTTTTCATTTCCTTTGTGGTTCGCTACAAAGCCGCACTCCAAACGAGGCGAGGCGGAAGGGAGGAGGGAGGGAGGTAGCCTGCGTTGCAGACACTCTAAACCATCTCAGGATACAAATGGTTGAGACGATGCATGGGCCGCCTGCAACCCAGGCAAGCGGAAGGGGGAGCGCAAGAAAAAAGGAAGATTGTTCTCTCTGCCCTCTTCTCTCTCGCCCCCTGAAAATGGACACCCGCCCGCCCCTCAACCCAAATTTAAAAAAAAGGAAAATAAGCGCTTGCTTTGCTTATTTTCAAATCGGGTGTAGGTTGCCGGCATAACACGCGCTATTTTTTCGCGCGTTTTTCAGCGCGAAGCGAGCGAGGAGAACTGGACACGCGCGAGACACACGCGACGTGACCAAGAAACGACGGGCTCTGGGGACGAGAATGGTATTGGTCGCGAAAACCAGTGCCAATAGTCAGCGGATTGCCTCGCAGCAGACATGGATAAGTTATGTAATACAAAACAAACATGGCCGCCGTTCGTATGACATTGTCTCGAGCACAAATACCGGTTCTAGTCTTAGCCGATTACGTCGGGTTTAAACAAATTACTCGTTTTCTATGTACAACAGCATCCAGTGTAAAGGTGAAGGACTATTATCTTCTGTTAGGTTTGGACTGGAGCGCCACAGTCGTGGATGTTCGCGAGGCCTACTTACGGCTAGCAAAGCAGTATCACCCGGATTGTGGGAAGACAACAGCTGATGCTGTGAAATTTGCTCGAATAGAACAGGCCTACAGGGTGGTCATAGAACATGTTACCACTTCAGTAGAGAAAGGTCCAGACGTTACCGATCAAGATTTCGACAAAGAGATAGTATTTGATATCCACCATACCGCTCCACAACATAGGTAAGTAACGGGTACGCAGAACGGTAGGGTGGAGAAAATCCAGCATAGTTAACCTTTTAAGTACGCATTTCAGCTCACTTAAATTGCAGAAAAACTTCTTCCAGTGGGCATCGATTTTAAAATATTTTAAGCCCCTTCCAATTAAAAATATATCGGATGTAAACGTTCGACCAAAGAACTTTTCCTGATTTTTCTCATTCTACAGGGTAGGGGAGGGGTAACTGGGTAGTTCTGCTCTATGAAGGCATTCTGATATAACAGGCAGTTACCAATATTGCATCACAGTCCAAAGGACGTTTTTTCTTCATTATTGTACATCATGACCCCCACTGATTCTTGTATCATCAGACAAATCTCCTTGAAAACCATACCCTTCCCATCTCCTCCTCAGGCGCAGAGGTGAGTGCAAAATGCGAGAGACATGCGATTAATGTTTTAAACCCATATAGGGACACAGCCCTCTCCCAGGTAGCCTACATAGCAGGTGCTAGGAAATAATAAGACATGACCGGGCACACTGGAGGGAGACATGTGTGCCCATTCTTTCTTGCGCCCATTATTTCCTAGCGCTTGCTCTACAGGCTAAAAATGTGTAAGAGCAAATAACATTTTCCTCTATTATCAAATAGCATTTTCCTTTATTAAATTATGTCCAATCTCTCTTGGGCTATATCAGACTAGAGTTAGAGTGTCTGAAGAAATTTCATTCCTACATATACTATTGTCTCCATACCAACCTAACATTGCACTGTTAAGAGTCTAAATCCCAGTATATAGCAGACTCACTATTTTTCTTATGCTTTTTCTATCCTTGGTATTCAAAGGGTATATCCCTATATATACTCCCTATATATTTTGACATAATTTTGATAGGTCACTTGACCCTGAGCTGCAGAGGGCCTTTTTATAAGTGGTCTATTAATGCTTTTTGTATCTTTTGCCACAACTAGGCAATACCTAGAATATGAAGGCATTGGGATTGGTTCACCATCAAAGAGACAGAAACAGTACCAATATTACAGAGTCCAAAGAGCTTCAGACAAAGTCATAGATCACAAGACACAACAGTTTGGAGAACAGGAAACCTCAATAGCTGAACCTGAAAAGAGAGCTATAAAAAGATCTAAGTACTCTAAGGTAATTGACAGACTTGTAGAAGATCTCATACAAGAAGCCATGTCTAAAGGAGAATTTAAAAATTTAGCAGGAAGTGGAAAGCCACTGAAACTTGAACAGGAGTACTATGTTGGTAAGTACTAAATCTGTACCCTCCGACTACTGAGGTATAATTTTTTTAATTTAAATCGTACCGCTACAATGTTGACTTATCAATAACCATGCAGATTTTAATTAGTTGTTTTGCAAATATATTTATCTCTCTTAGCATATTGTGGTTTTTACATGTCATTTGCCCAAGAATTCTTTAGATTAATTTGCAGTCAGTAACAGTATTGATGTTGTTTAGTTTTGTGTCATGAACTAAATACTAATTTCATAAGCCGGTTGAGTATGAAAATAATAATTTCTATTGCTTATTTTTCTCAATGTAGATTCAACCACGCGGAGGCTTAATAAAGTACTCATAGACTCAGGATTTGCACCAGAATGGATTTCGTTGGAGAAAGAAATTCGACAGGACATTGAACTTTTCAGAGAAGGACTGTTGTTTAGAAGAATGAAACTGGGACCCAGTCCATTAGCACTTCAAGCCACTGTCCAATGGAATCACGACGTAAAGGAGTTTCAACAGAAAATGCGTTTGATCAACAAGAAAATCGATAAATTTAATATGATTGTACCCATTCTCAATAAGCAAAAAGTTCATTTCAACTTTGAAAAAGAAGTGAATAAAACTGTAGAGAGTTTTGGGTATGGATCATCCGCTGAGGAAAGTGAAGTGGAACTTGACTCTTCCGCAACGGAAAACAACAAAGCGCGCAGTAGTGCTACTGTAACATTTATTAAAAAAGTGATGGAAATACTCATCGAAACGTTTTCAAAAGTTCCTGTGCATAAAAGTAGAACATAAGTTGGGATAAGGTATAAAAGAGTAGGTAAGGCCTAGTAGAGCTGACGCCGCGTAACTCGGGTTTGTGGAGTTACAGTCAAACCCTCGTTAATACGGACACTGATCGAGGGGGCCATAGAAAGAGTCCGTATTAACGGTAAGTCCGTATAAAGCGGGTTGAATTTAGAGAAATGTAAGGACATGTTTTTTCCAGGACGAAGAAAACTGTCCCCAATAATGAGGTGTCCATAAAGCAAGGTTTGACTCAGGTAACAGAAAGTACGCCTGAATTAACATGGAACCGCTGTATAAAACATTCTTGTGGCTGCAAACGTATTTTTTCCATTCTTTAAATTTTAAATTAAAGTATCAATCAATGGCAAATAAATTTAAAGTAGTATTAGAACAAAGGTATAAATCACATTTTGTCAAATTTGTCTTTGGTCCCAAACGTAAAGGTCACCACGACCTTAACTTCAAGGCCTTTAAGCGGTCGCATCAACGAGGTTTTAGTATCATCGTCTTCTACAATACTTGCGTGCATTATTTCGCTGTGGTAATCACACCTTTTTCTTCTTGTGCTCCTTCTTCTATCAACATCTTTCACTGGGTCTCTCTTTCCTCGAATAACAGCAAACTGATCCTCACGATGCTAAGAGTTCTCAATTTTTTCTTCTTTGCTGATCCGGGTTTTATTTTTTAAAGCTCCTGGCCGCTGGACTAATTGCATTATGGTCGTTGATTTGCTGATCTAGTTTTAAAGTTTCCATCTTTTTTTGCCCCAAAAGCACTTCCCCTTCGGAAAGGAAAGAAGAGAGAGAGCCTGGGAACGAGGCAAGAGGTATCTCCCAATGGAGATGTAAAGATTGGGAAAAGAAAGTGAATTTAAGCGAGTCTGATTTTAAATCTTCAAGGAGTCGCAAGCAGTCGAATTTTCGTAACCTGCCGTAGCAGACGTTCCCTCGCAAATTTGTGGCGAAAGGTGAAATAAGAACGAAAGCCAAAGTTCCATCTTAAGAAATTTTACCCATATTTTGCGATAGCTTAACCTTAGGTCACGTGACAACCAATACGAATCAAAAACAGGGAACAACCGCTAGGCGAGGTAGATCACACGACAATCCTCGTCTCTTCTTCTTCTCTCCTAGATCCTGGGAACAAGTTTGATGGTCGAATATCATACAAAACACACACACAACTTGGCATGCTTGTAAGCTGACACCAGGTTGGACTTAATTAAAATTTGAAAGCCATTTAATTCCATCTTTCGGATGTGATAAAAATAACGCACCCAATTCTTTTGTTCGTTATCTACTGTTTTGAACAATCAAATAAAAAAAATCGATCAAAATAAAGCTCAAGAAGAAATCTCGGCTGTTTTGCTGCACTGTGTCAGTAAATTCCTGGCAATTCTTATTTCATTTTTTTAGTCTCTGATATTTCTCCCAAATACGAAAAACAATTTAGTCTCAGGCTCAACTCGTCACATCTTTAACCCTGCTTTTATCAGATTATTTTGAAAATATTGTCTCTCATTCTCTTTTTTCTTCCAAGGTGACAATGTTTCGTGGTTAAGACATGAGCGTATGTGATAACAAAACAGCTGAGAAATATCTATAAAAATAATCAATGGATTTCGAATAATTGGTGGTTTCATGATCGCAACCGGAATCTGATGAAGCCAATAGGAATCAAGCCTTCACAGTTCATGAGATAAATCAGTTGTCTTTTCAATTACTGTTGACAGAACTTCCTTTGTGGCGCTAAAGTAAGATCAATTATAAAAGCAATTCAAGCTCTCTTATTGGTTCAGGCAGGTAATGACCTGAGGCTTGTAGGTATTAGATATACTGCTGCTTAGATATTCCAAAAAACTTGCTTCTTTATCAGGCTCTGCATGTCATATCGATCACACAGACTAAGAATTGAACATGGGCCTCAACCGAATTCCGCCAACATTTGTCAACTGACTCAGATAGTTTACTGCCAAACAAGACAACGATTTTATCAGGACTTTATATGATTGACCAAATGACAGGTATCTATCTACGCACTGTTTTGCTTACAGAATTACATTTTTGTAGTTTTCAGCATTCTTTAGGAGAAAAATTTCTCTGGTTTTCAATTAATATTATTGCCGTGAACCAAGATGAGTCCCTTCAATTTAATTAAAACTGTATCGAATAACAATCAGTTTGCTGCCGTTAGTTCTCCCAAGTACCTCTGATCTTTCAAATGCGTTTTACTGATACGGACATTCATTATGAAGCCCCTCTGTCTTTATGTACTGCTGCTTTCAAAACCCTCTTCATTTACTACATAGACCTGTTTCCTGTTTAGCTCGAAATAGAAAGATCCTTTTCTACTCACCCTGTACAATGCCTTATAGCAAAAGCTAAAAAGGAACTCAAGATGATGGGAAACAGAACTGAAATAAAGCCTTGTTTGCGTTTTATCTATAGAGGGTGAAGAAACCATCCAAGAGAGTCACTTAATGGCTGGTTCGGTAAAATGGTTTAACATTGTCAAAGGATTTGGCTTTGTTACGACAGACGATGAGAAAGAAGACATTTTTGTTCACCAGGTAAATACAGCACCTTGAAATTGAATTTAAAGATATTTAATTTTTTGTGTGTGTTCTAACTTTTCGTTTTTAGTTATAAGGTTGAATGAATATTACTTATTTTGCACACCGGATCTTAGATTTTCTTGCGGTTATTCTGTTCAAAGGTTTTTCTTTATGTTTTGAAAACTACTATCAATTATTTATAGATAGTTGGCGTTCCTGATAATTTCATTTGACACTGACTGAATTGCCACGTTTGTGCTTGGCACAACTTCTACAGGAATATTGCCATGTGTTGATATATTTTTTATTGTTTGTGGTTCGATGTCGAAATTGCAAAGCATAAATATTCAGTCTCACGCGTCTAACAATTTTCGTGAAATATTCGCCGATGACTTACTATCATTTCATTTGTGATTATCTTAGTTCGATATAACTATACACGTAAACCGGTCAAGTATCTCGGACGAGTCCAGTATATAACTACCAATATTTTAACTGCAATTTTCCATAGCAGCATACTGATAAAAATATTAGTCAGACAAGTACTCGCGAGGTTTCAATTTAAATATTTTATCATACAAAGGATTTCCGTCTTTGTTAGCATCTTTTCTTTTCAGAACTTACACCTGACCGCTCATGTTAATTTAATTTTCTTTATTCTCTATATTTCTTTCTTAACAAACTAAAAGCGAACTGAACAAAGCTGCGGCTATAAGAAGCAAAAAGCGTCTTCTTTCAAACGGTTTCTAATCTCGTGGAAAAACTATAATCTTTTTCTTCCTAATTATCTATACTTAAATGTTTTCCAAACTTAGCAGATATTTGCAAAAACGGCAAAATCATCGTCCACTAAAAAAAACGGAAGGGGCGAAAAGCACATGACCCAAAACAGTACTTCATTTGAGTGCAAGAAAAAGGTTGAACACTTTGAACGGCAACTCAGAAATGGTCTTTGTTGATTTACTTCAAATTGAAACTCACTTGTTACATGTCGAACCTTTTAATCCTTCGAGACGGACTATGTCAGCTTTGATTCGTTGTAAACGTCGCAAAAGATCGTGACGTCACTAAATATTGGCTACTGGAAAGGGAGAAATAAAATGGCGCAGTCTGCAGAGACACATCAGTTTTATATCATTATAATTTGCAGTACTTAGTCAAACGTTTTCACTTCCACTTGCTATATTTCAGCAAATCTCAGGTTAAAAACAAAGTGAATGTGATAAATCCAGCCATTTTTTTTTCCTCTACTGCCGCGTTGAAATAGCCGTGGTACAGTTTGTATCACTGATACCACTGAACAAGTTAACGATGTACTTAGGTAGCCCGAATTTAATGTTCTCTTGACGTCCCCGCCAGTATGCGAAACATAATCGAAGGTAGAGCATGACAGTAACTCTTTTGCACTTATTTAGACAAACAGTCTTTGTAGAAGTGCACGCTCATTCAACAAGGCAACTAGGTTTCTTATCTTGTATACCTCCATGGGTTATATTTTTTTAGATGCAAAAGACAAGATAAAAATAAACAAACACACGATATAAACGTTTTTGTTCCTGTTTTCAGAGTGCAATTAAGTCCAAAGGATATCGTAGCCTTACTGAAGGTGAGAAAGTACAATTGCAGATTGTCAACACTGACAAAGGCAAGGTCGCAGTGCTAGTGACGTCACCAGATGGTGGAAATGTGAAAAAGAAGAGTCGCTCGGTGAAAAAAGGCGCCAGAAAACACACGTCACTGTGTTATAACTGCAATGAACAAGGTCACAGGATGAACAAATGCCCGTATGCTAGGAGGCACTTACGAACATGTCACAAATGTGGTGAAAGTAATCATTTGATAAGAACTTGTCCAAGACTTATGGAAACTGACAAGGATTCAACTGATTCAACAAAGGAATAATATAAAATGGTTTTGAAAGAGAAGTCGCAAAGATTTGAACCTGGGCTCTATATTTGTATTTTTGTGAAAAATTTTCAAATGGAAGGAAGTTTATTTGCTACAAATAGATTTAACGTAATACACTTTAACTTACCCCTAAGGACCAAGTTTGATTTGAAAGTATAAGTTTTAAATTAGTAGATGTCGTTTAATTACAAAATATTTACACCGTGCTTTCGTACATAAATGTTGACTCAAGTACACTTTGTGTCAGTAAATTTTACAAACGAAAAAAATAATAACTTTTATCTAAGAGTTTTTTCGACTAGGCCACTCAAATGACCTGAACCATAATTACTGTCCAATCGGCGTAAAAAAAAAATTTCTAGCGATTAATTTGGCTGTCAAAGCTCGATGTGTGCTTCTTCTTCTTCAGCGTTACCAATTGTATTTTGTTCCCATTGTTCTTCCGTAACAGTGTCGTCTACTATTGGTCCATCATACTCTGCCATAGCAAGTTCCATCAGTTCATTCGAAAGCATGCGGATTTGGTCCCAGTCCTAAATATAAAATTAACATCAACAGGTATAAGAGGGCGCCTGGGACAGGGATAAAACCTTCCCATTAGGAGCCATAATCTCCGGTCTGTAGTCCCTCAACCTCGTTTCAAGGGCCTTTTTTTCGTCATTTTACGTCACTTCTAAAGAATGAGAAAGAAGCCTTATTTCAGCTGGTCACATGGCACCCAAAGGTGTAGCCTGCGAGCAAGCTCTCCATTTTTAGATGTCGTGAAAAGTAGACGCGCGAGAGGCACGCGAGAAGAGACGCTTGCGCGTTCTCGCGCGGCTTGCTTCGCTCGCCCAAATAGGAGAGCTTGCCGCTACCAAAGGTGCTTTTCGAGATCTGTTTGTCTTGAGGAAAAAGTTGCAAATGTCGCAATAATCCTTTTTGAGGAAGGCGTAGAATCACTACACAATCGACTGCTGATCTTGGGGAACGATATCACTTACCTCGAAACGTTTCATCGGCCGAGTATTTTACTTATCACTCACGAATTTCGGTATAAAATACTTCTCGAGTCGTTGAATAGATAACGAAAAGGATCCTGGGAAAGGCAAGATTGATTGCTCCTACATGAAACAACAGTCATGATACCTCTCCTTGCAGCTGGTCCAGCTCATCACGTGTTATTATTTCGTCCGCTGACTGGTCCATCAAAATAAACATCTTATGATTAAAAACAAAGAAAAATAAAACCGTCAATGGCATCTACTAAAGCTGACAAAACAAACACATTACTTGTCTGCAAAAAGAGCTTCAACACCGGTCACATTCGGCTATGAACTAAAACCAACATGAACTCATCCGGGAAAAAGCTTCCCAGAAAAATTTGGTTGGAGACGAAGTTACCTTTTTGACAACATTTGACATGTCCTCTGTCCACGTAACGCCGGGGCCAAACACATCGGGCTGCAAACGTTGAACAAACAGTAGAAACATATTAGGCAGCTTAGCAACAACAACGGCGACGGTTACCAAAACGTCACTTAAAAACTGAAGTCGCGCTGTCTCAAACTTTATCGCGCTTATTCCATCTCGTTCAACTCGTCAAATATTGGCAATTTTTACTGGAGTTGAATTCTAAAATAATACAATAATTCATAATACAAGAATTTATAAAAGATTGTATCGAAGTTCAAGAAAAGAAAAGAGAGTCCTTGTCTTGTGTTCACGTCCTCCACAAAAACGTAAAATTAGGCATTTTCACGTTGGACTCGTGCAGTGATAGCAAAGAAATTTACAAAAAGCGTGATGCACGTGCAGAGTGGTTGTTTTACCAATCTAAACCTATTGATTTTTTGCCGTTCTCGTTGACGTCGCCGTCGTCGTTGCTTAAGCTCTTTATTAGCTTGGTGTGAACAGTCTAACCGTCTTGTTACGGCCGCGTTCCACGTCAATATGTTTAGCGTTTAGTTCTTTGTATAGTTGCACATTCCTTTCACATTCTTTTCAGTTATCGCTATTCATATTCTGTTAGATTTCTCTGCATAAGTTTCTCTGCTCTTAGATCATTTTGTAAGTTTCATCGTTTATTCTAATTCATTTCGCTTTAGCGTTCACAGCAACATCATTGCAGTTTTTTCGTTCAGTCTTGTTAGCCATCGTACCTTTTTTCCGTTCAACTTTCTAGTCACACAACGTTTGTAAGTATTTTCGCTTAGTTTCTTTCCGTTTCCTGTATTTTCGTCGTTTCATAGCTGTAATTTGTATTCCTTAGTAATTTGTATTTTTTGTTTCGCTTTTAGCAACCGTAATCGTAATTCGTTATAACTGTAATAAAGACGAGTTGGAACCGTGGACCATCCTTGGATTATTCGCTATAATACGTCTGCTCAGCTCGCCTTTCACTAAGCTTCTTCATTATTCTATACCCTTCATGATGGCCTGTTACACTAACAGGCTATTATCATATAAAAGGAATTTATGGTCTTGCTGATTGTCAAAATCTTTGTTGCTTTAAATAAAGGAGCTAGTTCAAAGAAACTTTGACATGGCGGCGTCAAGGTGCTGGTTGCAAATTAAACAAAATCTAAACGACGAGACCGTAAATAACAAAACCTTATGGGTCGGTTATTAAAACAAAGTCTAACTTAGACCTCCAGATCTCTTCCTTGGTGGGTCAATTTAGGAAGATAAATGCTTTTCTTGTCTACTCTATATGCTTTAATGAAACTGTCAAAGACAAATGGTGTTTAGATAAAAGCGTTGGGCAAACTGAAAATGACTCAGAATGCGGTTTTGTTAAAATGGCCAAAATCCGTTTAAATAACTGGCCCATGTTTTTTGTAAAAGGCGTTTCTATGTGCGAGCAGAGCGCCAAAGTTGCCGCAACGCAAGCTATGCGGCAGGCTAGCACGCGTTTTGCCCGCAGGTAACTGGGAATACAGCCGCCTTTCATGGCCTCCCAAGGCTACGGGTTACAAACAAGACTGAAGGTTACCCGAGATTGAGAAAATAGTATAGCCACTGCACTGAGTTAAAACAAACACTCCCGCCCAAGGTCAAGGGCGTTCGTTAGAGTGTTAATTACTACAATTGCAGGTAATCACAGCCGGACGACCAGCCGGACAGGTCTGAACAAATCCCGGAGAACCGTAGTGGTTATCAATCAGCTACGGAGCTCTATCATGGATCAAAGCATGCGAGCAACGAATCATCGCACGCCTAAGTATTTAGAAGGTTACCTTTTGAAAGAACTCTGTAAGTTCCCCAAAAGAAAGATTGCCACTGCTGGATATAACCTCCTTCACCAAACGGTTTCTTGGAAAATAATAAAAAGAAAGTCTAAATATGGAACAAAAGACTAAAGTAAGAGACCTATATGCTACAAAGTGTAACAGCCTGTTGTTAGAGAAGCTGAAAAGTTAAGTGTCCCAAATAGAATAGAGACATAAAAATATGAATGTCATTTCCCACCCAAATACTATAAATTACTGTTGTAACAAGCCAGTAACAAGTACAGTCAGTTCTTACTTTATCATTTTCTTTTGGGCATCATAAAGAGCATTAAACCCAATAAATGTCAGGCCCTTAATAGTTCTCTTAGATTCTGTATCCCCACAGCCACTAAAACCATTCTCCACCGCACGTCTCCACCAGATATTCACAGCTATGTTCAGGCCATAAGATCGCACGTGGTGAACCCTACAAAAAAAAGATCGTTGACAAACTTCTCGTTCCTCCATTCTGACAAAATCAAGGAGTAGAATAAGGAGAACAAAGCAGAAACTTACAGGAACCCATCACCTTAGCGTCCGTCAGCTATTTTAATACAACTTGCACGACACGACACACTTGTAGTATATTTTTTATTGGATTTATTATCCGCGTTTTTCTCTCATGTTGGATATCCTACTCTGCTCTTAAAAGCGGAAAGTTTTCCAGTGCGAAAGAACAATCTTTTGAAAGTTCCAAAAATTCTCATAAAACCCTGTCCTGGTCCTCGTTTGGAATATTCAAACTTCTGTTTGAAATTCCAAAACTACGCTCGATTTTTTTCTGGGGTAACGGTAAGTAAAAGAAAAACAAATAAATTACTTAGGGGTTGGCACACGCAGAAAGCTTAACTTTCATTTATTTTTCGCTTTTTTTCTTTTTTTAGCTGAAACTCAGGGGGTTTACTAGTAGAAATGCTAAAGAACGAGTATTAAAAGTAGTGGGAGTAGCCTATAAGAGTAAACTTTTTTATTGGACTCAAACAGTCAATTTTAAACGTTTTCTACGTTCACCTGCGGTCAGGTGAAAACACCTTTTTAGGTATGCCTTGGAAGAATTATTTGAGCTTCACAGGTTCGTGCATCATAGTCATCTGAATTATTCTGACTGATGGTACAAGTGGTACAGGGAGCAATGAATTTTACCCAGGGTTTTGGGTGCCACAGGTGCAGACGGGTTGTAATACTCACCAAAGAAATGGAACATAGAGACAGTCACCAGGTTCAATGAAGGCAAAGTGATGCTCTATTTCATAGAGACCCGGATACTTGTACAGGTCCACCCTACACAAATGGAGCAGTTAGTAACGAAATGTTAGTTAATTAGGCACAATGTTTTATAGGCGGAGAGGGTGCTTAAAATGACACAAAATTTCTACTTCCAATGAATAAACAAACCTGTCAACGTCTACATCAGAATATCCACGTTCTGTCACATTTACCTACAATCAGTATTATAAAAATTCTTATTACTACAAACACATATATAGCCTCCCACGCAGACGTTCTTAGCGCTTTGTCACGTGTTCCTTTGTCGCGTGTACCAACCCATGATCATGGGAAGGAAGGCATGACAAAGCCCTAAGAACGTCTACGTAGGAGGCTAACAAAAACAAGGAGGTTAGCGGTTGGCAATGATGATGGCCGCGTCTTTTGAAGATCCGTAGTTTTGTGTTTTTTGGCTGCATCTTTCGTGTGTAAGTTATCTTGTTGTAATAAATAACTAAGCTATACTAGAGAAAAGCCAATCTTGTTAGAGGCCCATAACTAGTTTTACTATACTGTGCCCTTCTCCATTCTCAATTTCTTTGCGAACATGTAGTTTTTTTGTCGAAACACCTTTAATTTATGACACAACTGACGTATTGTATTTTTTATAGAATGGAGTAAATAAAAAATACAAAATACAAATACAAATTGGAACACAACTAAACTACATCAGCAATATTAGAAAAATTCTCTACAGGGCTCAAAACATAAGCGTATGAAAGACAAGCGGGCAAGGAGGCATAAAATTCTCTACAGGGCTCAAAACATCGGCCAGTTACTGGACAATGTCTGGCCAAGATGACCATTTGTCTGGACAAACTTTCAGTTGGCCGGTCATATTCTACAGGATGGTGGCACAATTTAACATGTCTTTCAGGTCAGGGCTATTCCATTTAATATCCACAACCCCCCTTACCCCGCTTCCCCCATGGACGAGACTTTCTGAGGGGGGCTTTGAAAGTCATTTCCGAGGGGGATGACTGTGTCAGCACCTTTGGTCTTTGGAATATTTCTAACCGGTATGTAGTCTGAAATGTTATACGTCTCCACCCCCTAACAGTTGGGGGGTGCGGGGGAGGGTGACTCTCCACCCGCCAAGGGGTAAGAGGGTGGAGACGTATAGCATTTTAGACTAACGGGTATGAGAAAAAATAAGCTGTTTCTGAGGGGGGAATACTGTGTTGGTATCTTTATTCTTAGCATATTATTCTTAGCATTCTTATTATTATTCCATAGGGGGGGGGGGGGGGGGGGGGGGGGGGGGGGGGGGGGGGGGGGGGGGGGGGGGGTGTCGATATTAAAAGGAATGGCCCTCTAACCTTCTACCTATTTTCGCTTAAGCTTTCTTTGATTCAACTTTAATAAAAACAAAATACCGCAGAGATTCTCCTGCATAACAAGTGACTGTGTAGGAAAGATGAAGGAGACTATTTTTCCAGAAATGTCGTGTGCATATTGATATTTCATCAATCTTTATTTCCATTTTCTCAACCTCGTCCCCAGGGCTTTTCCCTTAAAAAATGGGTGGGGCGGGAAAAGGTTGCCATTTTCTAGCCAACCTCGTCCCCAGGGCTTTTCCCTTAAAAAATGGGTGGGGCGGGAAAAGGCCCTGGCATCGGCTGGTCACGTGTCCCCTCGTACACCCTAAAATCCTGGGTGTAATAAATTAGCGCTATGTGAAAAGCTAAAATTATGCGTAACCTCACAGCGCGCGATCTTGGGCGGCCTTTTATATCTCTTGACGATTAACGAAAAGTTTTACAAGATTTCTTTTTTGTCACAGATACTGGCTATGGTAATTTTTTGCTTTCCTCCGATTTCTATGAAGGGGACAGCGAGCGGTAACATTTGTAAAACTTCCTTTATAGAGCGATATAAATGACAAACAAGCTATCGTACATGCATGAAGTTTGTACTGCAGAAGTCCGTTTTCTCGACTCTTTTGATATTTTATTTTATTTCTTGCGAAGTGGACCGCCGTACACAACCTAGTTCTATTCAACTTAACTCTCAGCCATATCATAGCGTCACGCGTTGGTTTAGACTTATATCTTGTATGACCTGTCTTTTTAAAAATTCATTGACCTCTGCGAGACTTGACCGAAACCGGAAACCGCGCATGAAAAGTTTCTGGCACCCAGGGTATCAAACGACTGGTAACAAAGAAAGACTTGGGTCCATTTTGACAGAGCTGTAGTTGATTCCAATCGATCGGTCAATCTTCCCTTTGATATAAGGAAAATCCTTTGTACTTATCCTCGAAGAGAAAAGATATAAGAGATCTTAAAATGTTTCAGATCGGCGACCTGTCATCGTTCCTGGCTGGAGGGCTGACTTGCATCCGGCGCGGAGATTTGTTTGTTTCATGGTCGGGTTGTAGAGAAGACCAGACTCTATCATAAAGTATTTTGATGAACAATTCTATTTCAATTAAGTCCAATTTGTTTAAATTCACTGCAGATCCTAGAGGCAAAGGCCCGCATTTTTGTTTGATATTGGACAAAATCACTTTCTGCTTGATCGTACAGTAATTCCACAGTCACGATGAATTTCAGTCGAAGTACTACTCGATAACAGCTTGTCTCAACTCTGAAGCATTTGACATATTTTGTACGTGACAACGTAGAGCCGGTTCTTGTAGCATTTGAATAATACGCAATTAAATGGATCTTAAGCTTTTGAATCGCACAGACGCGAAAATATTGACATACAGTTCGCGATATTATTATTTTCCATTGTTGCTCCGTTCGACTTCTGTCAGCGCAAAACCAGCGGGTTGGATATAAATTAGCTTCTCAGGAATATTTAGGCTGTGCACGTGACCAGCCGATGCCAGGGCCTTTTCCCGCCCCACCCATTTAAGGGAAAAGCCCTGGGGACGAGGTTGCCATTTTCTAGCAAATTTCCAGACGTAAACTTCGCCCCATATGTTCTCTATATACTCATAGCTCAGAATACGTGAAACCCGTACGTGACACAAATAGTGAGCCTGGGTTACCCGTGATGATGCTGGAATTCGCTGGAATAGACAATATTCGTATTCCCCGACGGTCCAGGGACGAGTAGGTCTTCAGCATGAATGCGAGGCTAATGCAGGAACGTGATAAAACCCAGATCATAAGAAATTTTCATCTTTATATAATACAGTTGTGGTAACCTTTTTCCCATATCTTTACTCATGCCGACGTACTTAACAGGGTCCGAAATTAACTTTTTAATATGGGCGCCAACTGGTGAGCAAGTATAAATTTTTGGTCGCCAGAGGGCAGATTATTTTCGCCAAAAATTCCCCTTGGTGGCTTGGAAACGTTCACGTCGTATTGATCGTAGCTGTTGTGGAGGTATATTTACAGGAAGATTCGTTTCCCTTTTAAATTAAAAAAATATCAGCAGGATAAAAAGTAAGACACCTGTTGGCAAAGAGCTTCGAGGTTTCAATTCTTAATCATTTCCTCCGAACATGAAAGTCTACAATAACAACCAGCTTTACGAGTCGCCAGCTGGCGACCAGCTATGAAATTCTGGTCGCCAGGACTGAATTTTTGGTCGCATTGGCGACCAGGAAGGCGCAATTTCGGACCCTGCTTAATGCTCAAACTTGGGAGGTATCCCCACTAAAAAATCCAGTCGAGCCACCTTAAATCAGTTTGATCACTCGACGATGACTTAAAAAATAAAGTTTGTTCATAAATTTAGGTTTAATATTTTATTTATCAACATATTTGCTCACAACTGAGTACAAACATGACAAAAACATGCACATTTTACTCGACAAGAAGTTAAACTCAGACTATTGTACAGACCGAAAAATAAGGAGCAGTTTAAACTCCATTTTACACTGTAAAAGCATAATAAGAAATGAGAAATTAAAAGGATTTGAATGTCGATATTTTGACACAATTCACCATTTTCGATTTTAGGGACTTGTCAGAAATTAGCAGGGGGGAAGGGGCGTGGAAACAGAGGGAGGGTCACAACTTTTTGAGACTCAGAGAAAGGAGGGGTCACGAAAAATGGGCCGTTAAAAGGGGAGGGTCATGCAAATACAAGCCCATGATCATGTAGAGATTCACCCACAGAAGAAAAAGGAAGTTCTCTCTTTGGTAAAAAAAACCTGGGAGAAATAGGAGAGTCAAGTGATCAGCTGTCAGAATCAGAGTTGGACTCTTAATGCTGTCATCTAAAATGTATTTATCTAGCATTACAAAGAACAGATTAAAAATATATTTTGAGTTTTCATAATACTGACTCACCCTAGTGTATTGCAAGAACTAGATTTTATCATTTATTCAAGAGGGGGAGGGTCAGGATATTTTAGGCCAAGCTCAAGGGGAGGGTTAGCAAATTTCACTCCCATTGCAGGGATGGGTCACCTCATTTCCGAACCCAAATTTCAAATTCCCACCCCGCCTCCCCCCTGCTAATTTCTGACAAGTCCCTTAGATTACTTCCAGTCGCTTCTTCCGTTTTAGCTTCGTGGCTTTTTTAACTTTACTTTAGTACGACTAGCTCTTCCACGCACAGTTTTGCTTTTTGAAACAGATATCCCTTTAGCTTACCAGTAAGGTTTCAGCTTTTTGTTTTATTTTGTTATGCTATTTTATTTGCAAGTTTTTCATTCCTGCTATCATTATTTTAATTTACTATTTATTGTAATCTTTAACTGCTGCTGGTTTGAAATCCTTGTAAGTAAATATGTAGAGTGCAAAAAACCCTAGTTGTAATAAGCCTAACTTAATCATACCAACCTGCCTCGACTAGGTTTAACCATTTGTGGGTAGGTACTATTCAAATTGTCAATATCTGTTTCGTAGTATAAGTGTGGAAGTGTGCTTTTAAATCTTGCAGTTTTTTCTTATTTTTTACCGTTTTTTTTACCATTCCCCGCATTAGCCCCGCATTCATGATCAAGGCCGACTCGTCCGAGGACCGTCGGGCAATACGAATATTTCATTTGAAAAGTGAAACATTTGGTATTCAAATAATTTTTTTCAAAAAATAACTTCTCTGTTTATTATTTTGTTCGTATTCATTCATGACAGTAGTTCAAAGCACGATCACTGTGTCGGCGAATTTTTGCTATTTCAATTTGACTTTGAATCCCTGGACAGTTTCGATACAAAACTAATTAACTTCTTTTAAAAATTAGTGGTACTCGTTATTCCAAAGAGAATACAGTAAATTTGTCTTACTTGAACTTTAAGTTTACTGCAAAAATTGTCAGTTTTTTAGTTGGTGTTTCATAGTTGCAGCTGTAAACTTAGTTTTCCCTCATAGTATTTACGGTAATATCAAGAGCATTTAACAGACGCCATTCAGGTAAACAACATGAAAAGTTTTGCAAGCTCCTCTCGCGTTCCCACCTTCCCCGCGCGCATAACCCAAGCGCTTCCCTAGTAAACAATTAATGATTAGAGACAACTTAGAGAAGATTGGGGATGAATTCAGCGAAGGAAAAACTTCAAAGAAGAGTTTTTGAATGGTATGACTTGTTTATGCGCGGGCAGTTGACGGCATACATCATTTCGTTCATAGGGCCGATGACTGACTCAACCGAAGGCAAATGGAAATGTTTTCTTTTTTGATTATAAAAGAAATGGTAAACGTGCAGCATGCACAAGAAGCTAGAGGTGCTTCTTTCGCACTTTGGGCAACATCCCGCATGCATCCATATAAACTTGATGGTGGCACGCTGCACGTTTACCATTTCTTAAATATGCCTGAACGCTTCTTGCTTATATAACACGTTTAGGATTTTGACCCATGGAAAAAACCTTTGGACAGTTGCTCTACATCCTTTCCGGTTAATCCAGGCAGAATTATGCGTATTAAAACAATTCCAGGATACACATTTATCATTTGGTACCCATAAAAAAAAATAATAATGTAGCAGTTGTTCTATATCCTTTCTGGTTCATGATATGTAACACGTTTGGCATTTTGAGCCCATCAAAAAAAATAATAATAATACGGTAGTTGTTCTATAATGGAATACTGTATGAATTTTGCAAGCTACTGGGTATCCAGCAGAGATTGAAGACTAAAAGTCCCTGATCAGCTCAGCTGGATACCAAGGGTTTTTTTGGTTGCTAAGAGCAATAGGCTCATTATGCAACATTAACCTGAACTATCACATTTCACCTACTTCAAACCATATGAGTTATACTACTACACTATCAAAGTAAAAAAAAAACTACTTTTTACCAACTCCTGGTATTTTTCGTCTATCAAGAAAAACTCCTTGGTTCCTTTGAAAACACACATAATGTTTTCTGCATGATCATTGTGAAGGACAGACTTGGTTCCACCACTGCTAAGCCACATCATCTAAACGAGATCAAGTACAGCCATTAGGCCTCATAACCTGGGAAGGGGAGTACAGTCTGTACTCAACAAAGTTTTATACAGGAATTGGGCTCCACCTGAGGTCCAGCCCCTTACCCTTTTATATACCATTTTTGACAGAATAGGTTACCTTTCCGTGTACCTTCCATTGATAAATGGTACCACTTTTACATACCTAGTTTAGAAGCTGCATCCCTTTTATAAGTGCTATAAATTTTCTTGACTTTTTCACAGCCATAATTTTTTCTGTTAGCCCTTTTAGGTCCTTTTAAAGATGGAAATGACAGATTTCCCCACCCTTTTTCATAAAATACCTAAGATAGTACACGCATTCTGATTGGTTAAAAACCTATGGTTTATTGTGCCAGTAAACTCATAGAAAACTTGAAGTGTTATTTTATAAAAACAATACAGCACACTTTCTATGGGTTTACTGGTGTGATATCCCACTTGGGAAGTTGGGAGAACACTCGGAAAGCTTGTACATCACTCCTTCACAGTGCAGGAGTCTTCCTGAGGTTCAGTGCAGAGCTCAGGGAGGCTCAGTGCAGAACCTCCCTGTATCACGAGCCTTCGGCTCATGATTTACAAGCTTAAACCCATAGAAAGTGTGTTCTGTTGCTTAAATACACCAGAGGCATGCTGGAAAAGGTACCCCTTTAGTGCAGAGCCTCCCTGTATTGGCAATTATAGGGTGTACCCTCCCTTGGGACTCATAATCACTCCAGCTGAAACTCTGCATACAATGGGCATATGGGACAATCTAGAGGGAAGGAACCCTCCAAGAAGGGTGGGAGAGGAAGTCATTAAGAGTCAGTTCTAGAAATATTTTTATTGCAAATAATAATTTATTGCTAATGTAGTTTTTATAAATTGTATTTTTATATTTCGAGAGGGCCACAAGTTGATCAGTAATGTTCGGTTACTGTTACGTGTCATCCTCATAAAATAAAGTCTCTTACTTACTTACTTACTACTTACTTATTACCAATAAGGTTGGTGATTAACAAAACATTTTTAATATAGAAATACTTAGGGCAAAATAATGTTAAGGCTAGGGAAACCAACATGGTCAAGATGAAAGGGGTAGGAACTTAAGATATTCTGAACTAACCCTAACCCTCACTGTGGCCTTCTCGTTACTCCCAGCCTCCAGCCACCCCCCTCCTTAATGAGTTGACCCCTGTGTATTCCCTCCAGCAGGTGAAATAATATTGCTAAATATGCTTTGCTTAATGTATTTAAAAATAAAATAGGGCAATTAAATGAGAAAAAGACAAGAAAAGGAAAGATATAGGAGCCTACACAAAAAGATATTTGCAGGTGGTCACGCATCCAGTTCCTAACCCCACCAGTCTAGGTTCAGGAGTTCTAGTTAGACTAGTTTTTTAATCATACTTACATCTTGTACAAGGTTTCCTTGAATTATATTTGGGCAAGAAATTGGAACTGGAAGATAGACATCTTGTCTAAAAAAGATGGTAATGAAAACCAAATACCTCATAATTGGTACTTAATTTTGTGTTTTTCGTAGTCTCAGCAACAGAAATTCCATACTGATGATAAAAATTGGTAGTCGTGGGGTTCCAAATTCAAATTTGCTTGATTTTATGTTTCTCCTGGTCGATTTTGGTAAACGTTTGTGTTTATCTGCGAATGGACTCCAGCAAAACTTAAATGCTTCTTTTATAGAGGAGTATATTCCACGAACATTGACTGTTTTTTTGTCACAGATTTATCCTGTTTACATCTGACCTTTGTGGCCTTTTGTCTTTTGTCTGTCATTCATAAACAAGGCTAAAACAATGTAACTACTATGTCAACCAATCAGAGATCCTGACCAGATTCTGGACAGATTCTATGTCATCAGTATAGAATTCTTGTCAATGAGGTACAGGCGTCTCTCCCTGCAAAACATCCCAAGCGAGGAGCGAGGAGAAATGGCTGTGATGGCAGGCTACGTTTTTGCGATTGCAAAAAAATAGTGAAATTGAAGGCTCACGAAATTAATCCTGGCAAAATTTAGTACCCATCCTGAAATTCAAATCGCAATAAACATGTGATAGCAATATATTAGTAATGGTAACAGGACTGAGCGGAGTCCAATAATAATTATTCGGTCTGTAATCATACGAGTGATTAACAAAATCGGACGACCGCGTAGCGGGAGTCCGATTTGTTTAATCACGAGTATGATTACAGACCGAATTGGACGACACGAAGTTCTGTTACCAATTAATCATAACTTTAACAAAATTTGTGATATAAAGAAGCCATTTAAGCACGCGCGTGATGCCGCGTACTGTCCAATTACTTGGGCATGACGCGTACTGTCCTATTAAACTGTCCAATTAAGGCTGAAATCAGGGCAGTTGATAGCCAATCAGATTTGACAATTTTGTTATAGTTATGATTATAACAAATACAGGATGTGTGTGGACAAATACACAAATAATTGTTTACTGGCCTTACTGGTAAGCTCCATTTTGTACCTTAGCATGTCAAATAAACGTTAATTTGCAAAGATTTCACACATTGCTTGTTTCAGTTTATCTAGAAATTTTTAAATGTTCAGACTTTTCTAAAAAATAAGAAGAAGTTGAGAACTCTTAAATCGCAAAATTTAATGCCCTTTATTAAAAATTATTTGCCTGTTGAAATCACAAAATTAACCTGGGGAAAGTACTTGGGTTAATTGGTTATGAATATGTGCCGCTGCCCTCTCAGAGCCCCTACCCCATTATAGTCTATTCTGTGGCCAATTATAGACACCATCTTAGTTACTTTTGGGAAAATGTAATTTTTGCGATCCCAAGTTAGTCACTTTCTATTTATGTATCTACCTTGTCAATCCTTTAAAAAGGTCATCCTAAAATAAATTGACACATTCAGTTTTAAATTGAATGAAGAACACTTAACTTTTCACCTACAGTACAAACATCATGGTACATTTGCTAACCGTAAATATGAAGAACTTTCTTACCCCGAAAATCCGAGAATGTGCGACCCCACTCTAGTAACTCTATTGAAAATGCAACCCCATTATAGTCAATCCAGTCGTGAAAATGCAACCCCATCCAGCGGCACATCCCCATTACCCTCTCTTATAGGGAAGTACCTCCCCCCTCCCCCTCCCCCCCAGGAAAATTAAGTACCCGCAAAATTAGGTACCAAAATTGAATAGCATAATGACATATCTCAGATTGTACATATTTATCCAGGAAAGAAAGAGAGGTTTCAAGTAATTTTTAAAACTGATGTTCTTCTGCAGCTGCCACTCATTTAACGATGAAAACAAAGTATATTAGCTTAAACAGGAAGTAAAGTCCTACCTGAGAAACTGTGGTACTGAACTGACCATGTACTGTCCAGAAGAATGCAAATCTCGAACAAACTTTGCAAAAGCAACCTCTTCTCCTGGGGTTGTGCGATTTTCCTTTTTTTCTGCCTCAACTACCACTAAATGCTCCTCACTTTCAGGGAAAGAAAGAAAATACTCCTCATTCCATAGTCTGTACGCAGGAGACAGCGTAGCCCCGCTACGAAGGAGAACCGGCTTCGGGATGATGACGAACTTCTTGTAGAATTCCTCGGGTGTTGGAAATCCCTCGTAGACTTCAACTTCTAATCTCTTACCATGAGAGAACAATGGCTCTAAATGCCCTTTCAGATCACGAGCTAATAGTGGAGAAATGGACACATAAAAGAGGTAAAAGAGAGAACAAAACAACAGTTCCTTCCATGTTTTCATGCTCGCCCTCACTTCCTCGCACAGCTCACATTCTTCAGTTTACCAAAAGCCGTGATTAAAACCTTAAAAAAGATACCAGAGTCCTCAATTGCGCTGCACTAAGATAAAGAGATGTTCAATTTTGATGTCACACCGATTTCGTGACTCTGTCTTAGGCGCGGCGCGCGTGGTACATTGGGAAGCGGTAAGACACCGGTAGCTCTTAACGGTAGCTCAAGCTACCCCCTACAGGAATGCGGACGTGACTCTTGCTTGCCAGCGGTATTGTGTTACAAACGGTTATTTACAAAGGCTTGTAAGGGATGTAAACGGTTTTTCTTTAAAGAGAGAAAAAATGTTATGTTTTTAAATAAAATCGACTTACCTTATTGCCTTGTTGTATTCTTTGTTGTTTGCCTGCGTCTCAGGCCGTTTTGAAGCCTTCTCGGCGAGATAGTGCTATTTTGGTGTTCCACTGCTCAGAGTGAGTCTTTCTTCACGCGAATCACGTGAAGAATTTTGCGCATGCACGATAGAAAACTGAACGGTTGTTGGCAGAGGCTACTTTTCGTACGCCAGCTCATACCGCGAAAATGTAGCGAAAATGTAGCCTCTGCTAGCAGGGTACTTAAGCTGGAGTTCAAGACCATAGGCGTACGGGCCGGGGGGGCGAGGGGGGCTGCAGCCCCCCAAATTTTGGGCAACTCAGATTTTTTGGGCAGCGAGAGAAAATTTGGGCAAAGTCAGTTTTTAAAGACGTCTCCATGTTTATTTAATTATTTTAAAGACCTGAATATTAACCTGAAGTCGGCGTAATAATCCAGTTACATTACAGTGGTTGCCTAGCATGTGATGAGTAATTTACATATTTGCAGTTTTTTGTTGGGCACTATACTGCACTGCACTAGCTGGAATGGGCTATTTCCAGTCGTGAATTGGGGTGGGGGGGGGGGAGAGTCATTTCGTTGCTATGACAACTCCGATGTCGTTGCAACCCTGATGATGACAAATTTTCATTTTAATACAACTGTGGTCGCAATTTCCCAAATGTTTGTTTATGGCGACGTAGTTTATGCTCAGACTTCGTATTGACCCTGAAAAACCGTATCGAGCCCCCTTCATATGCCAGGACGGCCTGTGTTGTTGCAATATGGCTCTCATTTCTTTTCGACTCTTTCGTAAAAATTTGGGCAACTTGCGTGATTTTTTTGGGCAAATGGTTTACCGCCCCCCTGGCAAAAAATTTCCCGTACGCCTATGTTCAAGACAAAAAACTTCTTGCTAATGCACCATGGTAAAGTTGTAAAGGAAGTGTTTGGAACCACGACCTCCTGCACCAAAGTCGTAAAAATTTCAATTTTTCAAACGTTTTCCCTTTTTTTGCCATTTAATGGTCGGACTGGGGATAGAGAGGAAATGAAGTTCTACACTGTAGAAGTAAACTATTCCAGGTGGTAAGTTCCAGAGAGATACGAGCCAATCCAGTTAATGGGCTACGACACAAACGGCCAGCTTTGTGCAGCAATTGACAAGCAATCTCAAGAATTTGTTGTGATAAAAAAACTAGATCGTCCTTTTGAGAGTCTTATATCTTGTATTAACACATTCCGTGAGATGCGTCTGCCTAAGCATACAAATCATGATCCATAATTCACTTTCATGACCTGTTTACACCACAGAAAACTTTAAGAGAATTTTCTAGTGTTTATCTAGTGTATGAGTCACTGACACCACCCTATGTTGGCCTAGAGCAGATACTATCGACGCAGATTACCGACGATCACTTGAAATGTGTGGCTTACACGATGTTTCGGGCCCTCTTTTACCTACACTCAATGGAGCTTGTTCTTCTAGACCTTTTTCCTGGACACATTTTTGTCAATGAAAGTGTTGTCACAAACACAGAATTTGACATCGGCTCGAAAGGTTCGTATGTGCGGATCACGACGACAACAAAATGTCTGGGTATGTAGGTCTCAGCTGGTATAGGGCTCCTGAAATTATCCTAAACATTGGAGATTATGACGGTAAAGTAGATGTGTGGTCGGTCGGTTGTATACTGTATAAACTGGCGACAGGAAACGACCACATTAATCAGTTAACGGTGATTATGGATGTCCTTGGAACTCCAGGGAAGGCGTTAATTAAGAAATGCAGTCCTAGAGCCCAGAGATTCCTAAGTAGTTTACCGTTAAAAGAAAGGCGTGATCTCTCTGAATATCTACAGCCTTCCAATACCAGTGTCGGGTTTGTTGAATTCTGGTGATGGACTTGAGTGAGCGGATATCTGCCCCGGGAAGGGACTCCCATATGAAAGGGGCGGGGATGCTCGTCAGAAATTTTGAATTATACCCCTAAAGGAGACCAATCTGGGCGTGGTCCAACCTTTTTTTGACCCCTAAAAGCGATCATTTTAAACTTTGATTACATCAATCAAGTAAATAAAACGAATTGAAGATATATAATTTTTCAATATTTCTTTGAGTGTAACCCCAAAAGAGACCTTTACGGCTAAATATAATGGTGTTTTGCCCAGAACAGCCTAAGCGAGACCAAAATCTGAAATTTACACCCCTAAGCGAGACGACGAGCATCCTCGCCCCTTTCATATGGGAGTCCCCCCCCCGGGACATCTGCAGCTGAAGTGTTAAGGGATCCGTATTTGGAAGAGTACCATGCTAATGACGAACCTTTAGCTGAGCCCTTTGATGTTTCCTTTGAGCAGTGGAAAGACCTTGGAAAGGACGAGTGAAAGGAGAGGATATTTGACGAGATACGTAATGTTGTTGCATGAAATAATGAATGATGTAATGAAAAGTATTTGTGCAGTAGGGCGCACACGACAGGAGAGACCTAGCCTTCAGCCTGTTTGCCGCCAATGGTGAATTTCAATATATATAATCTGATATAATGAAATAACGATAAATAACCGCCAGTAATTTGTAATGCTTCTTTTCAGCGGAGTGACGCTCTCGTCGGACAACGGTTTCACACTACATACAAGAGTAGAAAGACTGGGAGAGGAGTCTGGAAGGAGGTGGTAAAGTTGACTTGCTCTTAGGATTTGAACTCATTAACGCTTGTAAAATCTACGGGATCGGAATGCGTGAATGCACTTTTTAGAGGAGGAAACTTGCTATAGTGCTTGCATTTCTTTGATGGGTGTTATAGGCAAACGACAATTTAAACGTTCAGTATCACGCTATTTTAGCATTGTTCTAATCTTTCAATGGAGACCAAAAAATAACAGTAAATGCCATAGTTTCGTTACCAAGAACCATATTAGCGCACTGAAGGTATTTTTTGTGGTCTGCAGCAAGGGAGAGTATGGAAATGGTCGAACGTCGGACATAGTGTTTTAAAAAAATCGCGAAAATTTCAATAAAAATATTTCACTCCACTAAAATTACCTTAGTTGACAGGAGTAAAGTAATATCCCATCATACAAAAATTTAACATTGGCTGATATTACTTTTATTCCATGGTACCTGTAGTGCTCTGCATGCTACAGTCCATCAAAGTCCATACATTTGTTTTAGGTTCAGTATCATCAGTTACTAAGATATTATTTGTCCTACATGGTGAAACTGATCATGACACACCCTGACCATCAACATACAAAGTTTAATCCAAGTTGAATGTTAAATACATATTCTCAATAAACAGTCCTTAGAAAAAGTGTCTCATGTGAGGGTGGTTGTGGTATATCACCAGTCCTGTACAGGAGCAAACTGACCAGGAAACACTCTCACCATTCCTTCACCCAGAGATGGCGCCCTTTCAGCCCAAAAGAATCCTTTCAGTCCATAAATCCCTTCCTCAGTGATCTTCTTTACAAGGCTTGCATAGCCTGGGGTTTCCTCCCGTATGAAAACATGCACTGATTTATCCACATTATAAACCATTAAATCTCTAGGTGCATCTGGATCCATCATAGTCATAGGTCTTTGTACTTTGACAACAAATGTCTTGCTAACAGGAACAGAGCTTTGAGAGGCAGTAGAATCTTCTGTCGTACTGGCACTCAGTGACACTGTTGGACGCTCAGCTTGGAGTACATTGCTAATAGTTGTCATGTAAGGGTACCTACTAGGGTGTGCCAACACCCCCTCTTCACACCGTTCCTTATGGCCACCTTTCTTCCAATGTTCTTTCTGACATTCTTTCCCACAGTATAACGTCACATGACATCGAGCACAACGCTTCAACTTCTCAACAGATTGACCTTTACAATAAGACATCAAACAACATTTAATCTGAAATCACCGAAAATGATTTCCAATCAAACTTATCATTGTTTTGGTTTGGTCGACGAGGGATGGTCGTCCCTTGAGACTTGGTTTTGCTCTTGGGAAACAGAAACCAAAACCCCACTTTTCACACAAAAATGATGTGCTGGAACCCTGGGATACAGGCCTTGAATAGACACAAAAGCAGTGAAAAAAATCAGTTCTTGCCCATATACAAAACTGCCCTATCATCACTGCCATCTGACAAAGTAACATGCATTGGGAAAACACCTACCATTATTTTTCACTACTATGCAACTTTCAAAAAAACTTTCAAAACTCTTGCAAATAGGTTTCCATCAGCCCTCATCAGTCAAACAAAAAACCTTGTATAGAAACTGGGCCACCAGAACAAGGCTTGACATTCACAGGAAACATGTTATCGGTAAATACTCCACCAACAATTCTATTCGTTCAAGATTTATTAAGTTGATAAAGGTTAATGATTTACTTCAATAAACAGCTGTAGTTGGTGGTTTGAGTAAGACCAACAACGATTCAGCAACTTACTCTTACAGAAATTTATTTTGACATTCATTTGCTTTATTTCTATTCATTTTTGAATAAACTCTTGCTGAAAGGTTATTATCTAACATGTTCTTTGAGAATGTGCATAAAACCATATGTTTTGTATTAAAGCCAGCACTGTTTGTATCCTTTGACTGATGAAAATCTATTTCAAGGTTTGTTGATTTGAAAGGTCACATAACAGTAAAAATGATGATAAACAGTGTTACTACCATAACCAAGGCCACCTAGACAAAAAAGTTGACCAATTGGATTACAGGAAATAAATAGTCAACTCTCTCTAAGATGGACACCTTTGCAACCAGTACTAAGTGTCTGTCTTTGAGATATATTTGTCTTATAGAGATGGAAAGCAGTGATCGATGTATTGGTAACTTGAGTGGATTTTGACATCTTAGGGCTGGTAGTTTCGCACTAGCCACCAAATTTCCTTGCTTTCTTGATATTTGCTGGCATAGCTGCTTTATCTTGGTCTAACAACACCGTCAAAAAATGAGACTTCATTCACTACTACCCCAATACACTGACTTGGTTTTTCACAACTTTTACTGAAGTGCAAGGTGAATGTCTACCACTTTTACTGGCACAGAGGGCTGATCTATTATTGTTTCAGTATATACCACACAAGCTGAGTACCTAACAAACGTGCAGACCAAATGTCTTGAAATTTTAGTCTCTGTGCCAGCTGCTTGGCGGTGAATAGTACTAGGACCTACTAGGCTAATCCCCTCTGAGATAGCCAATCAATGCATGCAAAAGGGTTATTCACTCAAGTGATATACACTAAAGAATTATATTTCCAGATAATTCAAAATCCCAAGAGGAAGCGAGTCTTAATTTCTAGCACTATAACAACAATGTTCTACAGACCACAATTAGCACAGCTTGCTGATCGTTTTGCCACAGAAGAATCAACATTTATGTTTGCCTTGTGCAATAACTTCCTGATCTCTGGTGAAGTCTTAGCTTGATCAAATGGTGTTCTACCCTCACTGCAAGTAGCTTGGGGATCTGCACCATACTTCAACAGCAGTTTAACAACATCTACAGAACCTAAAAAAATAATGGCATTGGATATTTTTACAATAACTGAGTTCTTTCTCACACGCTCACAAGTGGTGGCTAGCCTGGTGAATGAATGCACACAGAAGCATATAACTCTGTTCCAATGCTGGGGTTTTTTGGGGGTCCAATCAAAGTTTACTTCCTAATGTGGAATTAATACTAGACTGTAGGGTGAGTGCTTATGGAAGCCTTGCACTACAATGCAAACAAAGCACTTCAAAGGGCAATTACAGTTTTATGGAGTAAAATTCTAAGTAAATCGGAATATTATTCCCAAAAAGGTCAGAAAAAACATCCTATGGACATGATAAAGTGGACTTATCATGATAAGCATCTTTAGGGCCTGTCTTAACTTGTTGACAGAAGCTCCAAGTGCTCAAAACAGTATGTCAACTTTACACAACTTTTTTCTACATGTATCTCATAGTTTTTTAAGGTTACTATCTTAATATTGTAAAGAGCAATGTATGAAGGCTGTCCAGAATAACATATAAAATGCTTAACAATGCATACTGAGAAGGGAAACTATATTGCTACCTAACGAGGAACAAGATTTTTTAACGGAAAATCTTTGCAAAGAAAATTATTGGCACAGCTTAGTACATGCAAATAACAACAAACTTGTTGGCACCATTACCTGTGAAATTATGTAAATGTTTTTGTATGTTGATTATGTTATGTAACAAAAGTAAACAGCTAAGCTTGTACTATTGAGTTATGAGTGTACTTGGAGAATTTTAAGAACAGGATTTTTTTGTAATTAGCTATTTTCAGATAGGCAAGCCTTTAATTCTCTGATTCCATATTTGGCCAAAATATTTTCCGTGCTTCTGATTGGATGACTAAAAAATCCCAGCATGGTTCTAAACCAATAAGGAGAATTTAGACTCTTCAGGGTTATATGCTTCTGACGCACGCTAACTATACTTACCAACATAGGCAGCACAGTGCAGACAAGTCATGCCGGCATATGTCCGAGTAACGAAGGAGGCATTGCATTGTTCAATTAGATACTTGGCTACTTCTACGTTTGCAGCTCTCCCACACGCATAAAACAGCGGTGTAAATCCAAGAGAGTCTTTCACCTCTACAGAGGCTTTGTATTTTATAAGTAACTTAACCATGCCAAGTTTTTTCTGTGTGACAGCGTAGTGCAAAGCAGTAAAACCGAGCTTGTCTTTTTCATTAATGTTCAGTTTTCCTAAAGCATTTCTCATAAACATATACGCTTCCACTAGACCTCTGCCTTCTTGGTCATCATTGCACTCAGTGATCATGATGGACAGCTCCGTCTCTGGCTCGGCACGATACGCAGCCAGAGTTTCGCTATCCATGTCTTCCTCTTCCTCGAGGTCGGCCATGATGTGATGTGAATTGTTGAAGTGGGAAATCAGAACCGATCAGGGTAGGGTAGGGAAAGGTTTCAAACGACGAAAGAAGACCTTGAAAAAAGGAGGTCAAATGAGGAAGCTAACTATACGGATAAAAAAATAGAAATTTATACCCTCATTCTAAAAAATAAAAATAACATAAAAATAAATCGACAATAATTCTTAGAAAACGTATTTTCCATTTTTTAACAATTCTGACAAGCACCCCCCCTCCCCACAAAAGATTCAACGCTTGAAGCAAAGTGGTTACCAGGCTCACCGCATAATGTTTGATGAAAAAGATCAAGAGCACCGGTGTGAAAAAGTTACAAAGCAATTTAACAGGAAAATGCACGGCATTCTCGGCTCAGTGTGGCCCAAAATTAATCTACCGCCATTCCTCAAGGTCAAAGAGGAAAGATTTTATGTCTACTGCCTATACTGTGTGGGATTTTTGGTAAGAGATCAGATGTACAGTATTAGTCTGTGAAGGAAGCTTTTGTTGATCAACACACGTGTGATTTTGACCCATGCTCTTTTTGGTTACCATAACAGGATCTATTTGCTGTTAGTTGTCTGATACCATTACTAACCCACCGAGCCAGGGAATTAGGAGCATCGCCGTCACTTGTTGCCCTTATCGGTTGGTAACTTTAGTATCTAAATAGTATTAAAAAAAACCAGCTAGCTCTAATTTCTATATCAGATCAGAGAACATACGTGTAACAACACAGAAGTTTATGGTGATAATGAGGTCAAATTATTTGCCTGTATATATCTGTAAGATCCTTTTGACCTGCCTTTTTAAGGCTAATGGGAACAAAAAACTAAATTCACTGTCTACACTACTGAAACTAGTTTATGGGATAATATATATATATAGAACTCCATGTGAAGGTTCTTTCAATTTATTTGTAACTGCTACCACCCCACTGCCCCCCCTGTTATCTATAAAATGAAGAGAAGTGACTGTAGAACTCATAGACTTAATATCTACACTGTATCTGTGCAGAGTGTACTGTGCCATTTTGAGCCTTGGCATTTTCACAGACTAGTTTATTCTAGACGGGGTTGAAAGCCCTGTCTCCCATAAAAATGCTGAACTATTGATCACTAGTTGCATTTGCACTGGTATGGTTAAATGTCATTAAAAATGTAAGAAAACTATTTTGTGAACTGTTTTTTGCTAACTGGTTGCATGTGGGATTTATGCGATAATTGTTATTTGTAGGAAAATTGATCGAGAAATAATGCATCAGTCAATTCAATAATGCATCAGTCAATTCCAGCTGTACCCAATAGCTTTGCCATGGATGAACAAATAATAATAAATTAATGATGAAAAAATTTTTTTGACAGGTTCTGTCTATGGTGGTCTTCAGTTTTTTTCCAGTCCTATCATGGTGAGAATAAATTTTAAAATATTCAATTTTTACTTAGCGAGAATATGAAAGTCCCCTATTTTAAAAAAAATCCCACACAAATTTTCAGTTGAAAGTTTATTTAACAAAAAAATTTAAAGAGAGATGGCATGGAGCTGTTGATTGTCAAATTTAAACTTGTGACAACTTTGTGTCAACTCAGTATGGGTAGCTGACTTGCCAGCTTGTAACTTCTTCTTCAAAATCACAAGCTAGAGGCTTAGTAGACAGGTAGAGCCTAAAAATCTATCCAATAAAACTAATCTCCACCAGTAAATGTTAAGTGTCTCTGTCTTAACTATAAATTAGCATTGCTGCTTATCACAATAATTATTAGCCTTTTCTTGTGCTTACAATGTATTACTCATTGCTCCCTGATGATGCTGTTGATCAGCAAAAGCGAGGCCGATTTTAATTCTAATTTTTAATTACAGTAGTTAAAGGCCTCTCTCAAACAATACTTAAAAGCTCAATTTTGTATATTCCATCAGGGCAAGCTCAGCGATGTTTTTGGAAGAAAGCAGCTTCTTTTGGTGAGCCTCCTGGGCACCGCAATGGGTTATTATATGACTTCTCTTCCAACATCTTTAATTTTCCTGGCACTCAGTAGGATTCCTGCAGGTACGTACTGTATGTATGTGAACTCACAGACGGTTTAACTTGCAGGTGTACAGCTAGCCAGGTGTCAGACCTACCTGCTGTAACTCAACCTTAACACCTTTCAAGTTGCAACTTAAAAAGTTGCTTCTGCAAATTAGACCTTTAGTGAACATGAACAATGTTTATTGTGATGCAAAAGGCGAATAATAAAAGAAAAAAAAAAGAAATGAAGATTAAATTCATCGAGATATCCCAACACAGACATGCTGCTGTACTGCAGTGTTAAAAACATTACAGAAAATTTACTAGGAATTTTTTGCAAAGAGAGGTTCATTATGCTTAATACTGCACGTATATGAATATTTACTGTGACCTTCCCACAATTTGAGGCTTGAAAATGTGCTTAATCCTTCTTGAAATTTTACTCTCCTTGTTTCAAACTCATTGTACTGAGACTATGTATGAGTATCGATGAATTGAAGCCGCGGGACCATTACTGTGGATGAAACAATGAATGTAGGGATTATATAGCGACGATGACATTACCATGCAATCGAGTTTGACAATGTTAGTCGTGCAATGATTATGATAGCAAAGTTTGCTGCATGTTAAAAGTTTTTGTTTTGCATATTAAACCTATTGCTCACTTTTTATTTTCTTGTTTCCTTCTTTGTCATGTTGGTTGCTGCACAAAAATTTCTTGATATGCAACAATATCGTTGAAAAAAAACCGATTTGTTGAGAAATGCACGACGTCCCTCGATTACTGGTCTCCCTTGAATAGACACCCCCCTTTGATGGAAATGTTTATAATAATCGCCCCCCCCCCAACCCTCTCGCCATCTTCTCTTTCTTTTATCCGCTCAGCCTCCTTGTCGACTTGAAGTGGAATCTGATCCAGCAAAATGGATCAGTGATGATTCAAGCTCTGAAAATTAATCAAGGAACAAAATTTGGAACACTTAAAAAGCCCATGTTCAGTTTATTTTATATGATAATTATTTGATTTAATGGGATAATGATACATAATATTTAAGGCACAACTTCCAGTGAGCAATAATTGAAATAATCGCCTCTCTTGAATAATCGCCTCTCTTGAATAATCGCCTTCCCCCAAATAATCACCCCCGACTATTAATCGAGGAAATACTGTACCCATAGAGAAAGCTCATTATTGCCACACCCCAAAACAATTGCAAAGGAAAATAAATTTCAACCAATGGCACAAACTGAAACATACATGTAGCATTTTGTACATGTATGCACTTGTGGCTTTACATCATCTGTAATTTGTACTCCAGGGGAAACAATACTGAAAAATCCTTAATAACAGGTGTGCAATATTTAAAAACCTGACTCCTGATCTTGTTGTGATTTATACAATGCAAATTTGAAGGGGAACATAGCACTCAAAATTCCAGGGTCACCTAATTTTTTTGATATCTCTTTATTTTTTCACAGGAATTTTCAAGCACAGTCAGAGTGTTGCCAAGACATATCTAGCTGATATTTCAGAACCTGTTGATCACCCCAAAGTGTTTGGTAATTTCAATGCTTTTTCTAACCTTGGCTTTGTGATTGGTCCTTTGATTGGTGGTCACTTAGCGATGCAATCAAATGGCTTTTTCAAGGTGGCTTACGTGGCTGCTACAATTTTTATTGTAAATTTTTTCTTTGTGTGGTTTTTTGTGAAACAAGTTGAAGAAATTACAGCTTACCACACTCACAACTCAAGACAAGAAATAGTCCTTAACAGAGGTGATGCTGAGGAAACTGAAAATAAAAGAGATGATCGTCCAACAGACAGAGAATCTGTTCAAGATAATCTTGGAAATGTGTCAAACGGAGATGCAAAAAGAACTACTGAGGAAGTCAGTAGTATTAGTAAACTTGCATCAGTCAGTTCCATAATGGACTTGTTGGTCCTTCGCTTTCTTATGGGATTTTCAATGCTAGTGTTCCGCAGCAATTTCATGTCCATGTTAGAATTTCACTTTAATACCAGCCCAAAAACAAATGGCTACATAATGTCATATAATGCCTTAGTTAGTGGCTTTTCTGGGATTCTAATGGGTTCTATCGCAGACTTCTACAATCACAACGATTCAAAAATGCTTCTTCACTTCTCATGTCTCATCACGGTATCAATCCTTGGCATAACATTTTCTCCAAGTATTTACTTTGTAGCAGCCTTTATCACCCCACTTGCAGTATCAAGTGCCGTGTCTAGGGTCTGCTTGACAAACCTAACTTTCCGCCGATCACGAAAAGATGAGAAAGGAGTGATCTTAGGAGTGGGCAACTCATTACTGTCCTTAGCACGCATGATTTCACCTGCCTTAGGTGGGTTTGTTCAGGAAATTAGTGCGTATGCACCAGGTAGTATTGGTGCTACCATAGCTGCAACTGGTGTTTTAATCATGATACTTTATCCTACCGACAGATATCCAACAAAAGCCGACAGAGAGAAAAAAAATGACTGACATCCTTAGGGGATACTCAAATTTAAAAATTTGTATTCATACTTTTTTGTTCTGGTGGGACAGGCAAAAGTAAAATTTTAAATTTATTGTCAGACAATGGATATACAGTTGACTCCCGATAACTCGAACCCTCGCTAACTCGAACCTCGCGCTAACTCGAACCAAAATCAATTTCCCCTGGATTTCCGTCATACATTCACTGTAATTTTACCCTCGGTAACTCGAACCCTCGATAACTCGAAACTCCCGCTAACTCGAAGTAATTTTTGTTTCCCCTTAGATCATTTCTATATAATTTTACCCTCAATAACTCGAACCATGTTTTGAGCCCTTAAAAAGTCGGGAAAAAAGAGTGTACTGCCTCCGAAACATTGAATTTTGAATTTCCCATTGACGTGTTGTAGGCATATAGTTTACGAGTGGATTCATAGTGGAGGCTGACGTTGTTTGCCACAAATCTAACGTGAAATAGCTTTACTTCTCAAAAAGTAAAATGCGTGCTCTATTTAGACAATGTTTTGTTACTTTACGTTCTGACTTATAATCTAACAGTATCTTTGAATTTTCACTCAACACTTTTACAATGTGATTAGAATACTCACTGTGCAGTAAGAACTGTTTTTTTCGTTACTCCCGGCTATTTTCTTCGAGCTCCCGATAACTCGATCCTTTTTCGATTTCCCTTGAAGGTTCGAGTTATCGGGAGTCGACAATTGAGTATTGACAATATTCTGGCTTTAAAAAATACACTTCTATCAGTTCCTGTGGATTGTTTTGTGGGTGAGTTAAAAAGGTAAAAAGCAAAATAAAATAAAATTCATGCTCATGCCCTCCAAATAATAGACCTCCAAACTTCAATGCACACTTGCACAAACATGCTGCAGTTGCAGGTAATTTTAATGCTTCAAACACAATTCTACCCTCACCTTTAAACTTGACTAGTCTCTTAGGATCGAGCATTCTTTACAAACTATTTCAAAAATGTACCATGCATAAATTCCTAATTTTCTAGGAAGACATCTCTTTGTGGATATACAATCCTTGATTACTAAATTCTTGTTTAAAATAACAGGGTTTTCATTAAAAAGTCCACTAGCAGGAGAAAGGCGTAACATCACAAGAGAATATTTAGCCGAACGTTAGCCGAAGAATTCTGCTCAATAAACAGAGAATTCTCCGATCTCCGGTGCCTATGTATAATTGTTATTATTCAGTATACTCAAAGCAAGAATCAACAAATTATACTGATTTTGAGACTGTTAGGGGACAGGTTGTTAATTATACATCACTGAATCTGTTTTTATCAATACACTTTCTAGCTAAAAAAAGTACCAATGGATGGGATGGTACAAAACAACAGTTCAACCAGTAACTCTTCAGTCAGTATCAGGTTTAAGATTTTAGTGAGTTAATGCAACATTATGGCAGAAAGAAGAGGACGGCAAAACGCTTGTGTGTGACAAACGTGACAGGGCTTTTACTTTTGTGTTTTGTCATGATCTTCACAAGTTAATGTTTTCTGGTCTTTTCCTAAAAAATCTGTTTAAAGGAGGCTGAAATTTGGCGGAACATTTTTTAAACAAAATTTTTGTCATGCTTGTCACACAAGGTTTGTAGTCTTTCCTCCTCCCCCATCCTGTTGTGTAAGTTCACTATTATTAAGATAGAGGATTAAACTATTTATGTGTAAAAATATAGAGTGTATAAAAATGTATAGAAAGTTTTGTAATAAAAATAACAATAAAAGTAGTATGCTAGAAAGCAAATTAAATAAAAAAACATTAGCGTGAATTGAGTCAAATAAATTTGTACAGAGAGTGGGTTTAAGTTTCTTAATAAAAGGTATTTTAAAATAAGACCATGAAATGCTTGCCAATAATTGAAGAGGAGTGTTAATGGTCATCATCGTAGTCTTAGAGATGGTATTTTTACATTGCTGTGACCACTATCTACCAGTAAAATGCACCCCCCCCCCAAAAAAAAAAATTTTTATAAGAACTAACCAAGGCCACTACAGCTATACTGTTCAACACACTTTACAGTGTGTAGATAGACTCAGGCAGCGCTAACATGGTCAAACAGGCCAGTAGAGCAGCTGTGTTTTCTTTGGGTTCACAATTTTTTTTGCTCACATGATTGCAATGCTGAATCTTTCTCAGAAAAAAAAAACGTGACCACAGTATTACAAACATACACAGTTTTAATGTCAATGTCGAGTGTTTGTACATGTATTTCTAACCAGAATGTAAAAAAAAGTGTAATTAAATCTCACCAGCTGCTAGTTTAATCGGAAATAAACAGACCAAAACCTGAACAGTTGGCTGTGTAGGGCAGAGGCTTTGAAGACAACTGTGAAGTATTTTTTAGAATCATTCCATGAGTCTAATTCTTCACTTTGCACAGTGTCCTATTAATTTCACAAACACAGTCATTTGCCATCAGGATATTATCTTACCTTTACTATCTGCTTACAGTATTTTGCTTTATCACTATGTTACTGATGTCTGTTACTATCATTATTGTCTTCAATATTGATTTGTAAAAACTATATTAAATTAATAATTTATGGTTATCTTGGGAGTAAAGATGCTGGACTGTGAATTTTGATGTATTCATCCCATGAACAGTCTGCAATCTGGAGAGAATTAAGAATTGATGAAAGCATTAGTGGCTGGCTCTATCCCTCTTATGGTCTGTTCATCAAGATTCATCAGTGGACATGATTATTTTTGCTCCAAGTTCTTGCATTCAAGCCTGCCTTGAAATGTCCTTTGGCATTTTTTTGCACTTACAGTATTTCTGTGGATTCAGGAGACACTGTCCTGATCAGGACAATCCGAACAGTTGGGGTGGCTACAATATACATTGTATTGTCTGGATAGAACTGAGGTCTGTAAGGTATACTTTTGTGAAGTTTAAGATGATCCCAAATGATTGTATGGAAACCAGAACTCTTTTTATGATTAATTGCAGCAAAATGTTTGACATGTGCAGTACGTGCCATTCATCACTCAATAATAATTGTAATTGATATTTAAATTCCAATACAAAAACCTCTGGTTGATAATATTATTACTAACCAGAGGATAAGATGGTGGTATGACATACATGACTTAGGGCCTATTTACTTGGAGGTGGGGGGCCCCAGGTACAACTGTAGGTGAGGCAACCTGCTTAGGTGGGATAACCTGGCTGTTCATATAATCTGTCATATGGTCACCCCACCAATCATGTAAACATGATCAAATTATAATGAGAGATTACAATGTACATGGACAGGTGGGTTACCCTACCTAAGGGGGTCACATACCTGGGGTCTCCCACCTCCATCGTGTTAACAGGCCCCAAGTAAACAAACAGGATGTAATAATTCTGTTGTAATCCATCCATACCTGTCCTGGAATATGAAGGTTGAAATCCAGGCCTACAACAAATTCTGTATGGTGCTCAATACTCTCAAGTGGGTGTGGTCCCCTCTCAATGTCCCACGTTCTTACTGTAAAGTCATATGAACAGGATGCAAGCAATGATCTGTTATGAGGGGAGCACTACAGAGAAAAGGTAAATTCAGTCATGTTTCTCATAAAAAGATAAGGGGCCATTGATAAAGTCTGTATCTGACTGGTTTCGATCAATCCCACAACCCTTACCCCCAACCTTTTGTCATTTCCAATAGTGAGATACAGGGTCCAGTCCACTCCAATGATGCATGAAATAAGGGTAATGATGACATGACAGGGGATCGTACTTACTAGTAATTAAAATTCAACATCTTGGGGCTTTGATAAAGAGAACACTGAAGGGTAATGTACGTGTTAGTGTACACGTATGCCACCACAAGATCAATACAGTACTTTATTTACAGCAAAGTTAGTGTAAATATCCATATAAGAACCTGTTACATGTAACATAATCATCGTACCTTGACTCGCCTCACTGCATACTGGTGTCCTTCAAGATTAAAGACTGGAGCCACTGTGTTACGTAAATCCCAGCCCCTTAAAATACAAAAAAAATTATCAAAATAAGACCAAAAACAGGAACTGGATTGAAAATAAAATAACTGGTTTGACAAAAATATACAAACAAAATTAAATGATCCAAGATGAAAATTAAACCACAATGTAAATAGCAATTTGGAAAGAGAAGTGGGAGGTTTATCAGAAGTCTTCTTACAGCTTATTTCTAAGCAGCCCTTGAAGCCCAAACATAACTGACATAAAAGATAACAAACAACAACAAAACAAATAAATAAAAAGTATCGTACCGAATTTGAGTATCCACAGATCCTGTGACAATAAGATTCTACATCAATGCAAAAAATAAAACAAAAAATAACAAAACAACAGGAAAAAAAAGTCACAAAGACAGGTGATTGTTATTTTATTTGTAAATGGGTTTTTTTTTTAACTTTTGTAGTTTACATGTACACCACCAAGACCATCTATTTGTTTAGGAGAACAAGGTAAGAGCAGGCTTCCTGGGAAGGCACTATTTAGAGAAGCAGACTGGGATAAATAAAGTTTTGTTGATGTTTTTATTGTTGTTGCAGACTGCATAGTGCAAAAGAGGTGCATTTGTGCCTCTTTACATCCAGTCCTCTCTCATTCACCAAGAGACAATAGGAACTGAGTAAAAGCTGGGAGTGCAGCTGAGAGTGACTTCTATGTGGATGGCCTATGCAGAATGGTTAACTGCTGCTGCTACCATAGACGTATCCCATATTACATGTATCCCATAGTATCTCACATAGCTGATAGAAACAGGATAACATTAATTGTCGAATCAAAAAGCAAACACGTCTGTATCATTCATTTTGTTCTGATATAATCTATTCTATACGTTGGGTATATGGAGGGGCTTATTGATGTTCCTGTATGTTATTCAAGGGTGTCAGGTGTATCCTCTGATATACTCACTGGATCATACTTTGCCCAGTCACAAGTCAATACTTCTCCACTATGTGCTCTGATGGTCTGCTGTGCAGCTGGAGGAGCTGAAATGTCCCATATTCTGAGGGTATTATCGCCTACAAAAGAAAGTTGTAAAGGTGGGTATAGAAATAACATGAAACATGCATAACTATAATAAACTGAAGTGGAAAGTAATGTCTTGTGTAATCTAACACTGATCAAATATAAAAAGCTGCTTGTGATATCTTCACTTCAAACTGTCTAAGAGATCATTGACATCTAACTTGTGCCGGGGGAAGAGATTCTCAAACCATATCCAAATTAGTATGATTCAATGAAACAGGCCAGTGAAGAACAAAAAAACCAAGTACAGCTGACACAAAAATTTCAATAAACAGAAGCCTGTGAAGTTCTTAACTCATAGACAGCATTTGGGGCATTTTTGTTTTTTTTCAGCCAGGTAGTGACCAGAATCGACCCCAAAAAGCATTTCTCAGAGGATGACATTGTGTACACTGCCCAAGACCATTAGCCAGTTGGAGCAACTTACAGTCAACTGCTTTTTGGTTGACCAATAACGGTGATGATGAGTGACCAGAAAACAGCTCCACAAGGAACGAATGGGTAAAATTTTATGTTAATTGCCCACCAATATCTGTATATACAAAGAATTTTATCCTGGTAATTTATTTCTAATAAATTAACACATTTGAAACATTTGAATAAAGAAATAAAAAGAAGTTTGTACCTGAAGCTGAAGCAAATGTTCTTGCTATATGAGGAGACCATACAGCACTGTAGACCACATGTTCATGATCAGTAAATGTTGCCAGCGACTGTGACTGTTTTGGATCCCACTGTATCAGAAATAAAGCTGTACATGATGTAAAATATTTACATTGTACCATTATGGTATAAAATATTTGGTATACCAATCTTACACTGAAAATTGTCCTGATGTTGCTACGTTGGATTTTGATTGGTTTTGTATTATAAGGAACCCATTAATGTTATCAAACATTTACATTTATAAGACTTTTCAGAAAGCTATCAAAAACTTTGTTTAGCTGGCAATGGTAGCATGATCTAGTATAACATGATGTTATTTATGAGCTATGAAAGACCTTTAAGTGACACTGTACAGTGTGTTAAAGAAACCCCACTGTCCACTGTCTTATAACTACTACATGTGGTGTTATAATTAACTAAAGCAAAACAAACATTTTCAGTTTACATTTTACATTTGTACATTACAAACTTTACGGTACCAATTTTATGCTATGATCCCATGATGCACTCAGAAATTGATCAATTTGCCGACTACAACTCCAGTCAACTCCATAAACCTGTGAGAAAAATATCCGAGTGTCAAACTAAAATGTAACCACTAAGACAAAAACTAGATACACTGGTTATCATTATCTTTTTTTTTTCAAAACAATGAATTAATTTGTTTATTTACCTCTGCACTGTGCTCTTTGAAAACTTTTACTGGACCCTAAATAGATTATACATGTTTTATTAGAAGTTAGTTTCTAATGTTATAATTTGAATGCAATGGCAGGCAAATGAAGAGCTGTCTTATAACATTTAATGTGAGAATAATATTTACCTTTGGGTTTTTAAGATCCCAGACCTGTAGTGAACCATCTCCACTGGCCGTCACATTAAAATCTGGATTGTGTTCACTCCATGAGCAGTCAAAAAGACCCTCACTCCACTCCCACCTGCAGGGAGGAACAAAGTTGTAAAAGAATAATGCAATATATCATTATATAAATATATAAAATAATATATAAATCCCAGTGATTTTGTTACCTGACTGCACCCTGCATCCCTAATGCATAAAAATACCCAACAACGAAAATAATTTGTGGTATGTGTCCCATAGGACAGAAAGATCGATTGATCAATCTGAAGATGTTTTTTTAGAACATCCTGTTCGTGTGATTTCTGTGGCGGGCTGTTCTTGTGGCAGTTGGAGTATATTTTTATTTCAGTAAACTGTAATGCAGAGTTTTGGAGTCTCTCTTTAGACCAACTGTGTGGTTACATGAAGACCCTGAGACTCACGTTTTTGAACTGGGACTCAATGGTTATGGACTGGGGCTCATGATTTTTCATAAGTTGAGTCCCAGGACTCACCATAACTATTTGTACAAAATCACTGAAATCCAGTGAGATGTCAGCACAAAGTAGGGCTCACAAATCTGACCAATACCGTAATTCTTACATCTCTTATCATGAAAAACAACTACTGTAAATACACAGTCATGCATACATGTTAGTGAGCTAAGGAACTTTTTGAAGAGCAGTTAATAATATAATAATAAAATAGCATTAATTATGTTCATAAAATCATTATACCTTCCTAGTACCTGAACACCAGAGGGAAGAACATCCAAAATATAGAGAGTACCCCGGCCTGCAAATTAAAAAGTTAAACTGTTTATATTGTGGTTAGGAGGTGTCCTCAGAGGGTGTTACCCACCTCGATCTGCTTAATTCTTCATATCCTACTCAGCCTTATTCATTAACTGCCAAATTATATTAATAGTCACATGCATGACTTGCCTGCAATCCCATAATGCTGTGAGGTGGCACAGAGAAGTCTGGGACCAAAGTATGGTGAAAACTTTACAGCATATCCATGACGACCACGGGTGTGAAATGACACAGCCATGATCAGTACAAATAATCATGCATTACCTAAAATAAATAAATGATTTTAAGAAGTTTCCCATAGTAGTTTAGGTTTCAATAAATTTCTTGGTTTTTGCACGGCTTGGCCATGCAACAATGAGTATTTTCTTGAGATTGCCAAAAAACTCTCATTGATTATCTGTGCAGTCATGGAATTTATTACTTCAAGTTTTTGTAGAACACTGCTTTTCAGCTTTCACCACAGGGAGCCCACACAGTCTGTTTCTGTAGCCGATTGTTATTTTATAGTAAATGTTCTGGATTTACCATTTGCCTCACCTATAGCGATATATCACTAACTATGTATATAAATCATATTACCTTGCCTGTGGTATATAGTCGTCCTTTTGCCTCAAAAGCGTTTTTTTAAGCGATTTTGAAGGAGCTTGAGTTCGCCATTAACTGTTCCCGCTGATTGCCTTTTTCTTGATTGGATGTCGTTAACCAAATAGTTAAATAATAACTGATTTAAAGAAGACTTGGTAAGTGTTTATTGTTTAACAATGCATCCAATCAAAAAGAGGCAATCAGCAGGACGGTTTCTTGCTGGCACGTATGAATCTTGCTACGCATTCCTGCCACTCGAATACTGTGGGATTTTAATTTTCTTTGACTGCTAGCTCCGGGACGTTTGGATGGATTTTCGATCGGAAGGTACAAGGACAAACGTGAATCTTTCAACCTTTTTGCTACGAAGTTTGAAAGCAGAACGATGCGATTTTGGGGGGAAAAATCGCTGCGGTGCTGGAGCCCTTTAAACATGGATTCCACCCTTGTCCTTCCATTATAAGGAACAGTCAATGGCAAACTCAAACTCCTTCAAAATCGCTAAAAAAAAACGCTTTTGAGGCAAAAGGACAACTATATACCACAGGTAAGCTAATTCAAGGTTTATTTATCATTGATTTATATACATAGTTTGTTTATAGCGATATATCGCTATAGATGAGGCAAACGGTAAACCTAGTACATTTACTATATAAAAACAATCGGCTACACAAACAGATTGTGTGGTCGCCCTGTGCTTTTACAAAAGGAAGGTAGTTGGTAAGACTTTCGCGTAACCCCAAAGACTTTAACCCCATAAAAGGAAGTTAAACTGTTTGTGATAAAAAATGAAATTTCGCGTAACCCCAAAGACTTTCGCGTTACCCCATAAATTTATTATGACCCCTAAAATTGAATCCGTCGAAATATAAACATGTTAAACTGTTTGTGATATCAAAAGTTTTATGAAATTGTCTTGCGTAAAGAGGGAAAACTAAAGACCCCCCCAAAACAATCTCTAACATTTCTACAAAGTCGAATTACGACCGTTTAAAGACTATAATCCGTAAGACAAACAAAAATTACTATCACACGCGTGCTAGACGATCCGCTTCTGCTCACAAATTTGCAGACATACATTATCAATATTGTCCACGACAAGCGGTGGACACAAACCCCCTCAGGTGATAGTTACAGGTAACGCAATCTCGATCGCAGAGACACTAAGAAAAACATCCATCTCCAGTGGAAAGCCAATTTCATGATTCAAAGGATAAACAACAAAATTAAAGGCCAACAGGGGTAAGGCATATTTTCAGTGTACAATAGATCTGTAGGAAGTCTATCGCTTTGGTCCTCTTTTTTAAGCGAGTCTTCAAATTGTTAGCGGATCGTAGATCAGCACGCGTGTGATAGTAATTTTTGTTTGTCTTACGGATTATAGTCTTCAAACGGTCGTAATTCGACTTTGTAGAAATGTTAGAGATTGTTTTGGTGGGGGTCTTAGTTTTCGTAATTACGAAAACTAAGAGGGGTCTTAGTTTTCGTAATTACGAAAACTAAGACCCCTAAATTTACCGTTAAATTTGACCTAAAACTCGGTGGAAAGGATCGAACATGATATAATTTGACAGATCAGACCTATTTCGGTTACAATTTGACTTTATATTTCGACGGATTCGATTTTAGGGGGTCTTAGTTTTCGTAATCTCGAAAACTAAGACGGGTCTTAGGTCTTAGTTTTCGTAACACCCCTCGCACTCGCACTGTTGTAGTCGCGGTAGCATTGAGCAACCAATGTAATACAATAGCCGTAGCTGTACCATTACCTTGACAAGCTAGGTAGTGAATGCTAGTAGTAAGCCACTCGTAGTTATGTCGAAGATTTTATAAAAATTAGCGTTACAGCTGTATTCGCGTTGTTCATGTGACCGCCATGTTGAGGACTTTGCTACCAAGCCTCTCTGACCCTTCAGTACATTTTACATGACGGGAAACAACTGGTTAAACTTCGTGCAGTTGCTGCGCACTGAGATAATTTTTATCCTGTAAAACCTTAAGTTCCTTCATCCAAATTTTGAAAATGAGTAATTCAGATACTAAAGAATTTTTAGAGGAGCTCAAAGAACAGGCCAAGAGCGCGGAAAGTAGAGCCGAAAATGACGAGCTGACATATGTGGACCCGTCTGATGGGACTGTTTATGAGTGGGATTCAGACAAAAAAGGCTGGTTTCCTAAGGTATTTATACATTTAGTTTCCCAATTATCAGTTCATACAAGTTATATACACCATTACTTTTTAAAATGTAATTACTGACGCTTAAAACAAGTTTCTGTCAATCAAAAGGCTAGATGCAAACTAATGACTTTCGAGACTGTTGCAATTAATTTTATTTATCAAGTGTTTATATCATGTATTTGTTGGATGATGGGGTGGGTCGCATCCAGGATATTTTTTAGGAGGGGGTGCACCACTATAAAGACTGGTGATGTAAGCAAACTTTAACACAGAATACCAGTTGTATCAGAACTAAGCCACAGGTCATCTCAGGGGGCAGGGGTGTGGGGGGCTGAAAACGCAATTAAAAAACAGAACCAAAATGCATATAGATAGGTTCGGGTCACCTTAAAAGTCAGCAGGTTTCAAATCAGCCAGATTGCCATAAGTTAAAAACTGCCAGTCAAGTCAATATCTAAAATATTTGGCAGTAGAGAGGTCATTAATTACCCCTGGCAAGAAATTTTCCAGATATTCAGAAAATTATATGTACGTGTAGTCAGGTAAGGGATGATATGAAAAGGAGAACAGACTGGGAACTGTGGTGAGAAAACCTCTTCTTCCTGTTTCCTCTATTTGAAAATCATCAATGATAAACTTCCGTGATTTGTAAACAAATTCTTCTGGCCCCAACTGTTCAAAAGGTGGATAGTGTTATCCGGCGAATAAATCTCTATCCAGTGAATAGTGCAATGGTTTTCCTAATACTTATCCACCGGATATGTGATTTATCCGGTGGATAGCACTATCCAGTGTTTGAACAACTGGCACCTGATCACTATAATAAGAGACGGATGGAAAATGGTCTGGAGAATATTGATGTTGATACACATTTCAGAGGTCAAACTCATCAGTATATAAAATCCAAACGTCTGCAGGTTGATGAAGATTTCATAGCAGCATATCAAATGAACTATGGTTTTACACCAGATGGTGAGCAAGCTGATACTACTACTACAGAAAATAATTCAACTCCTACTACTTTTCCAGACACCACTCAAACAGCCAAAAATGAGGTAAGAAATATTGTCAGTAGCTTAGTTTTAATTTACATTGACTAAAATGACTAGATCACCCAAAAATGTCACACAGATTATTAGATTGACTTTGGAGACAAAAATAGTGGCCAATTAAATACAATCAAATCATGTTGTTGATCCACACTCTACAAATAAAACAAAGATAAATTTATAAAGAATAAAAATGCAAATACATGTATCAGAAATAAAACTTGAAAGTCATAGGCTTCTTTAAAAAGATAAATTTTCAAGTGTTTATTGTAGAGTAGTAACTGACAAGGGATTTTTGCATGATGAGAGGCAAGTTATTCCATAGTCTTGAATCAGCATTATTAATCACCCAGTCTCCATTTTAGTCTGAACTTTAGCCATTTGCACAGTGAGCAGTTCTTGGCTATTGGAATGTAATAAAATAAATTGTTTTAAATTTACATGTGGTGTAGATCCTTTTTTCTCTGAGATGTTCTTAGTTTGTACAGATAGATTTTTATGTATGCTTACCAGTCTGTACGTGTGGCAAAGTGAGGTCCAAATCACCACATCCAACCTGCTTGATCAAATAAGGATATGTATGTATGCAGTGTAAGCAGCTCAGGAATATCACCAGTCTCCTACCCTTAATACAATGTTGGACTGCTTAATTACTGAGCTTGAATCATTAGAGCATTATTCTGCTGTATTGTGTAAGTGTATCCATCAAAGAATGGATTAAAATTGCTGCCAACCATTGTTTTTTTCTTAGACCAATAAACTAGAAGAAGAACCACCAACAGATGTGAAGAAGAAAAAGCGGAAGGCAGATGAAGGTGTTAAATATTTCTTGTTGGCAGATCAAAAGAGATTAATTCACCTGTTGGATATCTGAACCTTAAACTGCCAAAATAATTGGGAAAGTTTTGCTGTGCCTTGTTCATTGGTATCAGCAGTTTGCATTAGTAACTACATAATATTAAACACAGTCACACTCAAAAAGAATGTTTTGTCAGTTGCCTGCACCCATACAGTTAAACATTTGATAACATTTCTTGACTGCATCTACATCGTTTAGTGATATCTGCAGTATTATTCTGTTGGTGTTTGGATAATTCTATCAATTATCCTTCTTGTGTTATAGTAAGGTCTTTTGTGATCAATTGATGTAATCTGAGGTTTTAATCACAGGTTGTATGTAATTGCTTCTCTTCACTACTGTTTAGGATGGTTTGAAGTTGACGAGCAGAAAAACCCGAATGTTTACGTTTCTGGTGAGTTATTCAAATGTCAAATATAGTACTATAGTCATGGTGCTATTTGACTTTGAGGATTAAGCTGATATCCACTGGTTCTTCCTTGACAACAGGATTACCACTGGATATAACAGAAGAGGAATTTGTTGAACTGATGAGCAAGTATGGCATCATAATGCAAGACCCTGATACAAGTAGGTTTATTGTAAAATCCTCACTATGGCACAACTTTTAAGTGTTTCCACACCTCAGCTCAAGATATTTATTCTGGAATAACCTCATTATATTGGCAAAAAAGCTCTATAGATTTCTAAAATGCCAGATGCATGATATTAGTAACTGTCATGTTTTGAAATCAGCATGATTATTTAGGTATGCCATATCTGGAAGACTAACAAGATACCAACTCTGCATTACAATACAACAGTAAATCCAGACGAATACTGAGAGTGTTAAGTGCCTTTATAATGGAAATGTACTTTGAAATTCCAGTATTCATATATGTTAAATTCTCTTGTTGTAGATAAGCCTAAAATAAAGCTTTACAGGGATGCTAATGGACAGATTAAAGGTGATGGAAGATGCTGTTATCTCAAGGTGATTTACATCCAAATTTGCTTCTGTGTCTAAAATAACAATATTCTATTTCACTTCCACACATAAATTTAATCTTTAACTACATGTAGTTCATGTTCTCCTAAGATTCTAGTATTCATTGAGTCAACATTTGTAGCACTTTCTTCTCACTAACAATGCTCTTGTGGAGTTAAGATTCATGGTCATATGTTTCAAGTAGCAGCACAGGCATCCCAAGCTTACCTTACAAGAGTGTTATGTATATTTTCTCAGAAGAGAGTCAGTATCACGTTACAAGCGACCACTGAGACTTTGTATGAAAAATAAAATACTGAGGTCTGCAAATGCTAAATACCATTTTATTTTTACTTTTTTTCTCTAAAATTAATAAAGGAGACTTACCTTTCATGTATTCCTAGTCGGTTTTTTTGGCTGCTATTGTGTGACCCCTGTCACTCTCTTCAAAAATCAAAGCATTTAATGTTTCTATCCCTCATTGACACTGTACTGCAGTTTTATTAGAACTGACTCCTTCAACGTCAACAATATTTTCTACTTCAAATTTTTTGGAAATTATCAGCCAATTTTCAAGTTCTTATTTCTTTTGTCTCTTCACCAGACACAAAAGAAAAAATTTCAAGCCCTTAAATAACAGAAGTTGAACCACAAATAGCATAATGAATACCCTAGATATAGTGACACAGTATGCCCATACCATTCATGAAAACAATTGCTTCCTTTTACAGCGTGAAAGTGTTGATCTAGCTATCAAACTTTTAGATGAGGCAGATTTCAAAGGCAGCACAGTACATGTTGAACAGGTAAAGTATTTTCATCAAAATTTCTTGGACTCTAAACTGTCCTGACAGGAATATATCTGGCACATCTTTTTGTCCGAAAGCTATACTATCAGAACGTTTTCAATGTTAATTTTCTCTAGCTTACCCTCCTTCATCAAACAAGTTAAAGCTGAACCAGGCCTGGCAACAGTTTTGTGACTTTAGCTAAGATTCTTTAGTGGTAATAATTTAGCTTTCTTTCTCTTTTTTCCAGGCTGAATTTCATCTTAAAGGTGAATACAATCCAGCGCTAAAGAAAAAGAAAAAGAATAAAAAGAAAAAAGCGGGGAAAGGACAAGAAAAGTGAGTATTTTTGAATTTCTAACCAGGAGGTAGCGTGGCTAAGTGATCAGTGTGTCCCGCGGACTCGCAATACCAATCCCGCCGGTGGTCCCGAGTTTGGATCCCGCTCCAGCCTCTAATAATAATAAATAATAATTTTATTTATATAGCGCTAAAATCCAATAATTGTCCAAAGCGCTACCTAATTACAAAATAGAATATAAATATGAATATAAATTATAAAATATCTACAATATACAATATAATTCAAATATAGCCTAAGTTATCTACTATATAAATCAAAAACATCTTAAAACAAAAGGAATCTCATAACCTATATGCTAACTTAAAAAAAAAAGTTTTAAGGGATTGCTTAAAAGTTGCCACTGAAGCACATTTCCTAATCTCTAGAGGTAAATCGTTCCACAATTTAGGTCCTGCAATAGGGAAAGCTCTGTCTCCATATTTTTCAATCTGCTTCTTGGAACCACTAAATATTCTTTACATGAAGAACGCAATGACCTAGAGTATGTTTTAAAATTCAAAAGGTCAGAAATATAAGAAGGTGCAAGGCCATGAAGGGCCTTGTATACCAATAAAAGGACTTTAAAAGTTTTTGTAAACTCAACTGGTAACCAACGAACATTAATTAAAATAGGAGTTATATGAACATGCTTCGGTGTCAGTGTGACAACACGAGCTGCAGCATTCTGAAATGCCTGTAGTCTAGCTAACAGATACTTAGGAAGGCCATGTAATAAGGAATTACAGTGATCAAGTTTCGAACTAATAAATGCATGGACTAAGATTTTACATGTATCTTGGCTTAAGTACTTGCGGATTTTAGCAATATTTCTCAAATGATAGAATGATGATTTACAAATGTTCTTAATGTGCTCCTCAAAACTAAATATGCTATCAAACTGAACCCCTAAATTACGAACAGAGTCACGAGGTGCAATGCACTCAGAACCAACAGTAATGTGACCGATGTCAGGCATAGGATGGAATCTGGAACTGATGACTACAAGGTCCGTTTTGTCCTGGTTTAGTTTAAGATAGTTTCTTATGATCCATTCATCAATGTCCCTCACACAGCATTCCACGCTCTAGTGATCAGTGTGTCCCGAGGACTCGCAATACCAATCCGGCGGTCCCGAGTTTGGATCCCGCTCTAGCCACTTGCTGGAAGTGCACTTTCCACTACAACTGATCCTTTGAGAACATTTTGCTAGCTACCATTGTACCTCTATAGTTTAAGAAGAGCGGGGCGGTACTTATAGTATTAAATCTAAGGAATGATTTGATATGATTTGCCATGACCAATAAATACCGATAACGAAGGTTAAGAAACCCAGTGATCTTTATTAACTTGTAGACCGCTAAGCTTATGAACCGCTTGAACGCTAAGCTTACTAACCGCTTGACCGCTAAGCTTATGAACTGCTTGACCGCTAAGCTTATGAACCGCTTAACCGTTAAGCTTATGAACCACTTGACCACTAAGCTTGTGGACCACGAACCGCTTGACCGCTAAGCTTATGAACCGCTTGACCGCTAAGCTTAGGAACTGCTTGACCGCTAAGCTTGCTAACCGCTTGACCGCTAAGCTTACTAACCGCTTGACGCTAAGCTTATGAACCGCTTGACCGCTAAGCTTACTAACCGCTTGACCACTAAGCTTATGAACCGCTTGACCGCTAAGCTTACTAACCGCTTGACCGCTAAGCTTATGAACCGCTTGACCGCTAAGCTTATGAACCGCTTGACCGCTAAGCTTATGAACCGCTTGACCGCTAAGCTTATTAACCGCTTGACCGCTAAGCTTATGAACCGCTTGACCGCTAAGCTTACTAACCGCTTGACCGCTAAGCTTATGAACCGCTTGACCGCTAAGCTTATGAACCGCTTGACCGCTAAGCTTATGAACCGCTTGACCGCTAAGCTTATGAACCGCTTGACCGCTAAGCTTGTGAACCGCTTATGAACCGCTTGACCGCTAAGCTTATGAACCGCTTGACCGCTAAGCTTATGAACCGCTTGACCGCTAAGCGCTTTATGAACCGCTTGACCGCTGTTTACTAACCGCTTGACCGCTGTTTATGAACCGCTTGACCGCTAACCGCTTGACCGCTGTTTATGAACCGCTTGACCGCTAAGCTTATGAACCGCTTGACCGCTAAGCTTGTGGACCGCTTGACCGCTAAGCTTATGAACCGCTTGACCGCTAAGCTTATGAACCGCTTGACCGCTAAGCTTATGAACCGCTTGACCGCTAAGCTTGTGAACCGCTTGACCCTAGGCTTATGAACCGCTTGACCGCTAAACTTGTGAACCGCTTAACCGCTAAGCTTGTGAACCACTTGACCGCTAAGCGCGTGGTGGTTATAACTTAGTTAAATTACATTTAACCAAAATATTATCATTGCAATAATATGTAGACTGTGAGCCTTCCCTTATTTTTTCATTAACACGTTCAGCGGGATAACACTTGTTTACGTGCGAGATGCAAAGACGCCAACCTATATATTTCTTTACTCCTGGTGACGCTCTCGTTTCTCGCGTTTCGCGTCCTTGTCACTCGTGTAGTACCCCACTATCTTTGCTTCAAGAAAAATAAGAGAAGCCGGCTCTCAGCCTCAGTCTATGTTAATGTTTTTTTTTTTCTTAATAGAGCCCAACATTGCACAGTACATGTTATTTTGGATTATAATAATAACATAATGCGATTAATTTTTTCAGATTACTGGACTGGGTTGATAGAGATTCAAGACAGAAGAAAGAAAGGATCATTGTTTTTAAGAATATGTTCAATCTTGAAGTTTTGAAGGTTAGTGGTGACAGACAAACATTCTCATTCAACATTCTTAGTTTTAACTAACATAAGAAAAATCTGATAATTAGAATTACCTTAAAATTACTACGTCATATCATATTGATAATTTTGTTAACTTTTTTTGCAGAAAAATCCTGTTCTAATTACAGACCTCCGTAATGACCTTAAAAAGGAATGTGAGGACAAATTTGGAGAAGTGAGAAAAGTGATTGTATTTGATGTAAGTATGTTTCCAACCAGACTCACAAACATTGAATCAAAGGTTAGGTTTGCTAGGAAGTTTTAGTAAAGCTCTGTGAGCGGTGAAAGGAAGCCGTTGCAGACAGGTCTCCATTACTTGAGAACCTTATTCGTGTACAACGAAATTTGACGATAACACATATGATAATAATATTGATGATAATCATTGTTGCCGGAGTTAATGCATACATTGTTCTCTGGTTTATGGTAAAATCGTCCCTTGTAAAAGGGACTGTTGTCCTCTCGATTGTCTCGTTTTAGTTTGACGTTGTTTTATTTTTATATATTTATTCAATGATTTAGCGCAACAAAGAGGGAGTTTGTTCTGTGGCATTTGCAACCTTTGAAGCAGCCGACGCTTGTTTACCTGTGAGTATGTTACATGATGCTTTTGATACTTTTCCACAGTACATGAGTGTAACTGTAAAAGACTTGAAGCCAGGAGTCATTTCATAAAGTAGGTTGAGCATGATCGTCCGGGTGATCGTGGTCCTGAATAGGAATGTTGTTGACAGTCACTGACGTTTCGCCGTCATGTTATTGGCTATGAAGGCTCGAAATGTCATTGGTGTGTTTCGATTTTAGCCAATACTGAACATCACGGCTTAACTGACAGACGACCAACAACACTAAGTTTAATACCATCAACTGACGTGATACAACTCACTTTAACTCTGAAAATGACTACTGCACAGGTTGTCGAAAAGTCAGTCACTGTCAGCAACAACAGTCCTATTCAGGATACCACGTTCACCCGGACGATTATACTTATAATGATCCTAACTAACGTTTCTCGCTCGTTCTGTCATGGGTATGTTCCAGTTGAGCTCATGCTGCCGGCCAGAGAAGCCACACTGGTGTTAACAAAGTTTATTTTTAGGTGATGAATGGACGGTGGTTTGCTGGTCGCAGAATATCAGCTGAGCGATGGGACGGTGTAACTAGTTACAAAGTGGAAGAAACAGATCAGGAACGAGAACAGCGACTTGGAGAATGGGAAAAATATCTTGCGGGTGAACTTGACTAACCTTCCTCGGAATCCTAACGGAAGGTAATGAAAGAAAAGGCGATGCTGATCAGTTTAAACTAACCCGTTTAGCTTTTGTCGTGGCGTTAACACGTTCATTTCCAAGAATCCCTGAGATGAAGAGTCAAGAAGCTGCTCACTAAAATAAAAGTAATTCCGTGTTCAACAGAAATTTCAAGACCATACATTATTTATTCTTTGTTTTATCACAAATGGTACAAAACAGAAAATTATTTAATTTTTCCTGGAGGTGAGTGACGATTTGAAGAAAAAGTCGTTTCGTTCATGTTTGCCGTTCAGTGATTAAAAAAAAAAATAGTGAAACTACTGACTTGTCCGTCCCCACTCGTCTCTTTTGTCTCATCATAGTCTCCCGCGACCTTTCCTTGACCGCCTACAAATGAGAAGAGACGACTGGGGACATGTCAGGTGAAACTAGACATTGAGGCCTTTTCACCAGTTATGTAAGAGCTGCTCGTAAGGTGTTTCCTCATTGGTCGCAGAAAACAATAACTTATCATTGTTTATCATTATTTCCCATTGTTTGACAGTTAGGGTTTTCACTGGTTAGTAGCTCTAGTAACTTTGAACAATAAATAAACCTATTTAATTTGTATTAGCATAATTTGATATATCTATTTTCAGGGAAACTTTTCAGGACGAACTATCACCTTCCGCCATGCCACATTGTTAAAAGATACAGCTCGACCTAAATTCCCTTAAAGTGAGAAACAGCATAGATATTTCTACAGCTGATATTATGCATCACGTGGCCATGGTACGAATCTCAGCACGAGCTGTTCATGTGGTTTGGTCTGTCACGTGCCACCGACAACGCATGATCCGCCATTGGCGAATGAGAATTCTGATAAAGCACAAGAGGTCGTCTTTTTCCACCAACAGCAATACCGTATTTATTCGATTAACCGCCCTGTTAAATGGGGAGGTGGGCGCTTATTTGGCTGGGCGCTATTAAATTTTCATTTTTCAGGAAGTGAAGTATGTTTATTTTGCAACAAAACAATAAATGCTAATAACAAAACGCGAAGAAGTAATGAAAGGTTTCTGTATAATATGAAGAAAGCTCCGTCCTCCGGGAAGTCTCTTATTAGAATTTATTCACTCAAGTGGGTGGGGTGGGGGTGAGCGCTTATTTGAGTTTGATTGGGAGGAGGAGGGGGTGGGCGCTTATTCGAGGCTGGGCGCTTATTAACTTTTTCTGCCTTTAGGATGGGCGCTTATTCGAGGTGGGCGCTAATTCGAGGTTGGGCGCTTATTCGAATAAATACGGTATATCTGAACACAATACCAAAGCAATGCCGAAATATATTTTTACTCATCTCATGTTATTTCACTCCATTAGACAATATCTAATTACTTTGTCAACTGGCTTCTTCCAATTTTATTCCTCAAGTAACGCTATTGTTTCTGCTAAAGTTACGCATCTCTACTAAAGCCCCTGGGTAAAGAAAATACGTTTCATTGACTAATAATGACTCCTACGCAGCAAGCATGTGTCATGTTGTTCACTTAATTCATGTTTGGTGCAACGAAAAAGGTCTATTGAACTTTGTAAGCGAAAGAGTAAAGCTTGTTTACAGGATGAACTTACTTGGTACAGCTTTTAATACATTAACTCAAACAGCAGGTATTTTTTACAGGCCGCATTCCACAGATCACAATACAGGACACCGTACTACAGATAAATAAGGAAGACCAGAAGTGTCACTTAGCCCCAGTCCTTATCCAAGATCTTGTTTTTGATCGAGGAGAAATGACTTGATTTACTTAACTACCAATAAAACAGCGACCTGTAAAAGAAACCTCTCCTAACTCAAGTAAAAGAAACTTTAAGCCAGTAAAAGTAATTCTCCTTTTGAAGGTTTTTTTTTCGGGGGGGGCGCTGGGTGATTAAGAAAACGTATTAAAAAAAAACACCTGAAATTCAAAATCTGCCATCAAGCTAAAAGTTATTTGTTTACAGCACAATGCTCTTTGGTAGCAGCCAATTTACAGGTTACGATTTCTAGAGTCAAAATGGAGCTTTAGCATCGACAACGGCGACGCCGGCGAAAACGTCACCTTTAAGATGAATTCGCGTTTCGTCAAACTTATTGCATTTATGTCAATAGTCCATTTTCGAGTTCGCTGTGACCGCTGAATTAAAGAAGTGAAGACGCATTTTTTACAGCCTTAGCCTCCATCTGAAGTAATATATTCACAAATTCCAACGAGAAAAAGACCTGTTTATTACTCTGTCTATTGTGTATATTCAAATTTCAAACACTTACTTGCCAGAATTTCTGAATATTTTACTTTACGTCGAGGCTAACCCTGTATGAATGTGTCCTAAATGTTTGTATTCAGCGGTAATTTTTAATTCGAAACTAGACTATTCGCTGAAAGTGTCAAATGTATCCCAGGAATTGATTTTTGGGGACCGCAGTGAAGTTTAGATAGAGAAAGAAAAATTCGTCGTCGCTCGTTTACGTCCTCCATAAAACGTGCAGTTAGGCATTTTCACGTCGAAGTCATGCAACGATGGTAAAGAAATGTACAAAAAAGCGTGGTGCAGGTGCAAAGTTGTTGTTTTGCTTAACAAACCTATTGCTTCTTGACGATCTCGTTGCCGTCGCCGTAGCCGTCGTGGTTGCTAAAGCTCCTTAATTAAATGGCAAAGACCTAAAAGAAAATCTGGCCGACTATTGTATTCGCCATAAGTTTATTATGTTTTCTTCTATCGGATCCCGAATGGAACAGTTATAAATAAATGAATAAATACTAACGATTTGGAGGTAGCACATCCACAAAGTGGTTCTTCGTTTACCTGATTCCTTGTCGAATTGGAATTTGGAAATGTTGGTTTTTGAGGATAGGGGACAACCGGAGTACCCGGAGAAAAACCTCTCAGAGCAAAGGAGAGAACCAACAACAAACTCAACCAACATATGATGTCGACGCCGGGATTTGAACCCGGGCCACATAAGTGAGAGGCGAGTGCTCTCACCACTACGCCACCGTTGCTCCTCAAAGTTAAGGTGATGTTGCATGAGACGATTCGCAACGACGATTTTTAGCGCAACACTGGGTTGCAACATTGTTGCGACAGTGTTTCAAATAGTTGCAACATTGTTCCAACATTGCAACGATGTATTGCGCTAAAAATGGTCGTTGCGAATCGTCCCGTGTAACGTCACCTTTGGGTGTACTTGGTGTGAATTTTTTAAAAAGCGTGACCAAGCTAAAAGCGCACATCCTTAAAACTATATTTTTTAAAGTTTTTTGTCGTCAGTCAAACAAACGGAATTTTAATATCTTTTTTAACATTGGAAAAACTACATTGGCTGCCTGTAGGTTGACTGGCCAAAGTTTCGCTAAGACAAACGCAAGCTACATGTCTTGGATTCCCAACCCCCACCTCTGCAGAGTCTACTTAGTACCTCCCTGCCAGTCCTTACGTACGGGTAGGCGTATGCTGACGTCATAAACAAATTTTCTCGCATGGATAATTTCCCATTTCTCTTAGCTATGGGGCTCCGCCGAGCCGATTTGCGGAGGCTCCGCTAAAAAATAAGCGTTTTCTTTGAAACTTCTAAAACCACAATTTATAGGCCGCATACTTCCGAGGTAAAGTCCATATCTAATATCAATTATTGACGTTTCACGGGAAGAACTGAAAAATATATGACTTTTATACTCTACCTCGAAGTTGGTGAAACAGAACTCATAAATTATGAAATACATGCGTTGTACCGTTCGCGATGGCCGAATTGGGCCAGAAATGTCTTGAAGCAGCACGCATACTAAAATTTGAACCCTTAAACAGCTGCATCACTGTATTCAATGTTTGAATCATAGAGATATTTATATGTTATGCTTCTTAAAAACTTTAGCCGTTAGAAAAGACGAACAATTGAGAAGAAACAAGATGGAGGTCTCAAAGTGCCCTTCTTTGACCTTTAACAATGTCTTGTTTAGGTGCCAAAATCTCATTGGTTCCTAGCATTAACTCATACTACCTCCAACCTTATTGGCCCCTGCAACACAAAGCCACAAAGTTTCATACGCTCAGGCCACAGACAAAAAGACATAAAACTAATGAAATACAGCTTATCTTATGACGTTTCAACTGAATCACATAAAATAGGTTGCAATTATGATTCGTTGAGAATAGTCAATACAGATTAGAGAAAATGCTATCAACTTCTGCATGTTAGTGGCCAAAATGATGGCATGTCTTTATATAAAGTTTATAGTTTTGGTGACAGTTTAGGTAGAGTTAGCAAAGAGAAGGCGACGTGCGCAAATCGATAAAGTGGCTTGACCAATAGCAGAGCGGGAAATTAAGCACCCAAGGTCGCGTTCAGTTCTTTGCGCGTGCTTGCATAGCCTTTGTACCCCGATTGCCATAAGACTATTCATGCGCTTTTTCTGGTTACTTCTTAATAGGGGCTTCGATTTAGCCAGGGTGCTAAATCTGCCTAAAAATGATTGTAGAACGAACTCTATGGAAAATATTTGGAAGCACGATGAGTAGGCGAACGTTATTTATGTAAGCGAGACTAGAAAGTTTGTCTTAAGACAGAGAAGAAGAAATTTAAATTGTCATTTAACAGCGAAATTGTGCTGTTGGCATGGGGTAATAAAAAGGAGTCCGTGATGACGAGTTTATTTCAGTTAAACTGTGGCTGCCGCCCGTTTTAGCGAAGAAAAGGTAGACTACAGTAGAACCCAGTAACTTGAACTCTGAAGGGAAACGAAAAGAGGTCAAGTTAGCCGGGAATTCGAGTTATCGGGGTAAATTTCAATGAAATTTTGATCGAGGGAAAAGAAATTTGGTTCGAGTTAGCGGGGAATTCCAGTTATCCGGACCGAGTTCGAGTTATCGAGCTAGGTTCTACTGTACACACCACGAAGCTTCAAGACGTGACAAATAACGGTTATGTTCATTTCGAAATTAAGGGCAACGAGAGTAGATCTCTGTCAGTTGCTATCGACGCTCACTAACAGTTTCAGAGTTTTCGTCTCTATAAAAATCGGGGCAAAGTACATGGGTAATCGTGGATGGCTTTATGAAGGCTCTTTCTCCGACATTTTGTGGTAACCAACCTGTCAATAAAAGTTATTGACTCTAATTTTCATATAAGCAGGGAGGATTTCTCTCACTAGAAAAATATTAAAGATAAAATCCACAAGTGAATAGAACCTGCGCAAATAAAGTCGAGAATTTTCGGTAGTCTTAGGACATCTTCGGCATTCTTCGGGCATTTACGGTGGTCTTCGGCAATCTTAACAAGTTTGGGAATCTTCTGAAATCTTCTGAAATAATTATAATCGGAAAATGGCCGAGAACTCCTTGATATGCTGGAGCCGTTTTTGTTTCTTTCTGATTTTTTTACTGTTAGTGTTAAAAGGCCTAAAATTTAACTGTGTCCTGTTACAGAGCCCCAAAGTGTTTAGTGTTATCAAAGATACCCCCTTTCAGATCCTCTGAGGATGTCTTTCTCGATGTACTCAACACAACCGTCATGTCAGCTGGTACTCAATTGTCTCCTACTCCACCTGCTTTTATTGTATTTGCCTTTTAATTTCCTTCGTCACTCGAAACTTCCTCTACCTCTTGACGCCACTAAGAATTAACATTAAAAAAGGTTGACAACGTTCTCTTATATTCTATTCGTCCATACTGCCTTGAAAAAAAGGAAATATTCTTTCCTGAGAGAGATTAATCTAGATTAGGAAAAGAGGACTGACATGTCTCAACGTTGTGACAACTTGGTTTAAAATCAATTTACCGGCAAACTCTCTTTCAAATTTCCTAAAGCAGCTGAAATTTTGATAACTTAACGATAAAGGTTTTTCTCGTTGACGTCAAATTAAGAATTAACGCTTCTGGCTACAATTTTCTGTTACTCACTTAGTAATAATGTCTTAAAACTCTAAAATTTGCAAGTAAATGGTAATTATTTGCCAAACTGTTAACGACAGTCATTAATCGTATTGGTTATTCCCGGTTCGTGTTATTTATTTACGCTCGTCTTAGAATATAGACGACATAAATCGATTTCATTTAATATCATGTCGATCTTTTTAAGTGTAGAGCGCCGCTACGAATCAGTATGCGGGCTAGCCTGAAATTCATCCGATTGCTTCGAGTCGTTTCCTCCTCAGGGAGTAATAACGAGCTCGAAGTAATCGGATGCAATTCAGGCTATATGCGGGCCGCAACGGCTATATATTTCACTTGTGCGGATTTTCAAAAGCGAAGATTTCAATCA